TTTTGCAAGGGATTCATGTCGCACTATAAGTGATGCATCGAGGCTTTAAGTATGCAGATCTGTTTCACAAATATTGATGATAATGTACTTCGTTCAGGCCAATATCTAGCTCAAAAATGTTGTGTGTAGGGAGGACAAGGGCTTCTGGGGGTGCAGATATGTACCCACACTTGACGGTCCACGGCAAATGGCACCGTGGACGTGCCTCTCTTCTGAGAAGGGTCATGCTCTCCCCCAGAAAATTTGGGAAAATAGGGTTTGCACCTGAGGATATGAACTATGAAAATGACGAAAAATTTCAATTTTGGGGCTGAATTTGTGATATTGGCGTATTAGGATATTTTGATATGAACTTTATAAAATTCTTTTATCTAAAGCCTAAATAATGCCCAGCACTACAAAAAATGTACTTATGTTCACCATAGTGCCACCTGCCAGCTAACTTTCTACATCTGTATTAGAGCGGGAACGAGTCTACGGAAGCCAGACTGTTAATCATACATAACTGTTGAATATACATATATTAATTACAGAAATTCTAACAGTTTAAAGATGCATTCCCACGAAAGTATTATTTATAGGGTAGTTATTTCCCCCCAAAATATGGCATATTTGGTATAATATATGCAAAGTAAAGACACCCAATCTTACTAGAAAAATACTGGATTCCTTGAAAAACATCCATGAAGTGTGCACAGGACAAAAATGTAAGGGGATCACTAACTGGCAGCCTCTCTGCTTGTCTGCTTGAATGACGTAGCGAGCACTTATCTTTGTCGATCGGATTGCTAGCAGTTGTGTGAACAGTGAGAGACTTAAACGTACTGCAGACTTTGTGATTAAACTAATACAAGAATTTACTTGGGCTTTGACATTTATGGTAATGATGGACACCGAGTAACAAGAAATTGTACACAACTAATGATGGACACCGAGTAACAACAAATTGTACTCAACTAAAAATAGACCCTCCCCTCAATCAAGGAATGAGACCAACAAGGATGCTCAAAACTGATTTATACAGCAGGGAGTAGTTTTGTACCGATTAAAACAATAGAAAAGTTAGTTTGAATATGTTTTTAGTCCAAATATATCATCAAACTGCATAGTGTGTAGTAGTTTGTATGTGGGAAGGCATCTTTAAGCTCTGACTGGTACTTGCAATATTCCTGAATAATGCCTATTGTTTATCTCTCTATGACATAACAGCTATCTAGTCATTCGGATGGGATGAAAAACTGAGATCACATGTAAACATTGGTGCGCACGTTAACAATTTGATATAGGAGTAGGCCGTAGCGTCGCTGTCCAGGCAAAATTTCCCTCATAGCACATTGTATGGCGTATGCCCATCTTCATTATCCCAGATGGAGCAGAACAGTAGGACGTTAAACCCCATTTCATTTCATTTCATTTCTATGACATAACATTATATAAACAAACCTTATTTTAGTAGCCAAACGATTTAAGAATAAGAGTTTTTGTAAGATTCAGTAAGTTGGTATATAACCCTAATATAACCTAGTATTGCATGTAAAGACTTTTATAAATTAACAACAATATTGCTACTTTAAACATACATTATTCAAGAGCTAAATCTGCCTATTGAACGTCTTTATTTAGGCTTCAGATGTTATAGAAATTATTAATTAGATCGGTCCGATTTAAAGTAGATTAGATAGGTTCGGCCATTTAATGATTTAATTTAAAAATGGTGAAGCCATTCTAAGCTTCGAACAACCAGTATGGGTGTAACAATCAATACACACATCTTGTTAAATCTTCAAATGCTAATATCTTTGCTCAGAATAAAGTAATTTGTATGAATTTTTCAATATATTCATTTTGCATTATCAATTTTTGATATACTATAGCAAGAACGGCCAACTCTTTATCTAAATCTTACATAATGCTTCTTTAAGAGAATGATTCAAATTTTTCAATTTGAAAAATGTTTGAATAATCTGAAGGTTTGTAAAATTCAAGAAGTTTGTAACCATTAAAACTGGACTGAATGTCTTTTTATTTTATAGTTGGCAGTTCGCACTATAATAGTTAAAAACTAGATAATGTAAAGGGAATTTGCTGAAAATTTCATTCAAATTGATCCACTATGAACCGCAAAAAAAGCGATTGAATTTCCGCCTAGCCTCGATCATCATTACTAAAATCAGTACGATAAACAGCATAGTCTCGATTATCCATTTAATCGTTAAATTGTGAAGGAAAGTTATGCAGTAAATTGGCTCATAATCCACTAAAGTCGCGGGCTAGTGATGCCATCTAGAGTTGATTATGGTCTGGATAGGTTAATTAATGTCTAATTGATAATTTAGATAACATTTCAGGCCTAAAGAAAGACCTGCAATAGACAGATTTAGCTCTTGCATAATGTATGTTTAAGAGCATTGATTAAATTTTTCAAATTGAAAATGTTTGAATAAGACTAATTGTAGGTTTCAAGCACAGGTAACTACTAATTTTTAATTTTTACTATTGAAACACCTGGTGTGTGTCTAGCAGACACATATTTTAAAATAGGTAAACTTGTTTTGTGTATTGATGTGGAATAAATAAAGTTAAAATCAATAATAGTTTAAACATCTGTTACAAGTTATTCCCTGACATACTTACATATATATATATTCACACATACCGGTATACATATATATTGAAAATCTTTTATACCTGGAAATAAAGATTTTAGTTTTACCTGATTATTATTATTATTATGTTAATTTTTATAGCCCATCTTTCACATAAGTGCCCAGATGTGCTTAAATAAATAAATAAATTAAAATAAATAAAATTAAAAATTGTACTACACTTAAAAGAGGTCTGAATGGTAAAAAATCAAATCAATATGCATTTAAAAGGGAAGTTAAGAAGTGTTATAAAAGGCAATTTTAAAAAGATGCGTTTTGAGTTTTGATTTGAAGAATTACAACATCGTAATTGGTGGGGCAGCTTGTCCCATAGTTTAGGTGCTTTAAATGAAAAGGCCTTTTTTCTGTAAGAAACTTGTTTTGCATTACGTTCAAGTAGTCTTATAGCTGTCTTATAGGTTTATAAAATTGGAGGAGATCGGATAGATATTTTGGTGCGATGTTGTTTATGCATTTAAAAGTTAAATTTTATATAGTCAATTAATAAAGTTGCTTCAAACTTTGTGCGGATTCCCTTTATCCCTGGTGCAGGACGAGGGTCTGGCAAGGCCAGTGTCTAGTCATTAGGATGGACAAAAAACAAAAATCTCGTGCATACATTGGAGTGCATGTAAATGAACCCTTGACAGTTAGAACTTGAAATAAGAGTAGGCCGTAGCACTGCCTTACCATGGTAAAATTTACCTCATAGCACATTTTTATTAACGGAGCAGAAAAGTATGACATTAAACCCGATTTTATTTGTGAATGAGTCGGAGTGTGTGTATGTGTGAGGCATCTGTATAAACATGACAAGAACATCATTATTTTAGTTAATTAAGTCTGTTTAATGGCATGTCTGGTAAATGGGATTGAGGTGGGGCATTAGGCTCTCTTTAGCCTCTAAAACAATTTTCGTGCTGAAAAGGAACTATGGCATGATACCTACCAGCAGTTTGATGTTTTGCTAAATTATAAAAGATGGATTAATGTAAGATTTAAATCTGCCTATTGCAAGTTTTATTTTTGGCTTTGAATGTTATATATTTAAACTATTATTTATACATGACAAGTCCATAATCAACTCTCCAGGCCATCGGATGGCAGAGATTTAAATGGATTAGAATACCTGTGAGATTTGAAAATTTAACGATAAAATGGATCTTCGAGACGAAGACTTGATGGTCACGTACCGTTGCTACGATAATGTCAGAAGATCCCTTGGCAGTTGGAATTTGTGCTGCCGCCCAGGCAAAATTTCCCTCATAGCACACTGTATGGCAATGGCATACACCCGTCTTCATTAGCCCAGTCTGAGCAGAACAGTAGGACGTTTAAACCCCCTTTCATTTCATTTCATTTAGCCATTATGTATACCTGTGTACATTAGTATATCTTGTAGATATTTATATAAATAGCTTACAGTAACATAGTAGAAAACTGCTGTATCAGCACAAAAATGTTTGAACCTACAATTTATATATCACCTGTGTGTAATATATTATCTTAGACTACTGGTTATATAGCTCATACCTTAGAGAGAGAGAAATGGGGTTTAACTTCCACTCAACACAAACTAGGTCATTTCGGGACTAACACATGGTTCAATTTTATTTCAATAATTCTCTTGCGCGTAGGGGTCTTTAGCAGTGGAAGGAAACTGGAGGACCAGGAGTAAACCCATGAGGTTGGACAGGCGACCCTACTCCTTGTCACGTACAACCGGGGATTCAAAGCCACGTCAGTTGACTCAATGACAGACCTTATGATACAATATGCCCGCACTAACCATTCAGTCATCCAAGCTCCATAACATAGACAGGGACAGACAGAAGGAGAAATGGGGTTTAAGGACCACTCCATACAAACTAGGTCATTCTCACTATTTTAATTTGATTGGGCGTAGGGATCTTTAGCAGTGGGAGGAAACCAGAAGACCCGGAGAACAGACGACCAAACTTCTTGTCTCGTACAAGCCGGGAATCGAAACCACGCCACTTAACTTAACTTATGATGCAACGCATACGTGTTAACCATTCGGCCACCCAACCCACCCTTATGCCTTTCACTACTGGTTATATTAGATAAACTGAGGAACAAATTCCAGGATTTGATCTAATACTATATTAAGCATAGCTGCTGTTTCACCCATATATGCCAGACATGTCCTACACAAGTTGGCAAATGTCCGACTGGGAATATGCCCAATCGGACATCAAGATAAAGTGAATCATATTCAAAATTCCAAAATATATTTACTTTACTGATCACGATTGTTGTTGATAATAAGTGGGATGGATTAAGTAAATATTGTGTATAATTGTGTATAATTGTGTATATTTGTGTATTTTTCAGGATGGCTAATGCTAGAGCTAAAGCTGAGCAAGCAGATGCAGCTGGAGATAAAGCGCAACAAGACTGTGATGTGGCAAGATTAAAAGCCAAAGAATATGCCCCAGAATTCCATCAACCAGGTAGGTGTAAAATAATCTAGTGGTTTTCAGGAGTGGATTGAAGAAAATAAAATTCATTTTCGCATCAACTGAGAAATATTATGGCCAAAATCTAAGGAGAAAAATGATCTAATAGCCCGATTAGATGCTTAAGTTTAACTGGTTTAAAAAAAAACGGGGATCGTTAAACAAGTTTAACTTAAGCGTCTGAACGCAAATGTGGGGCAGATAAACCAGTTTAAAAACCCCAGCCTGTACCTGTCTTCGAGAAGGATTTTTATTTTAAACTGGTTCATCTTAGCCGTCTGAATGGGTTGGCTTAAAAACCCCGGCTCCAGTTTGCTTTAAGCATGTGCAGTACGCAGTAAGTTACATTCCTGTGAAAATATCGGGGTCAGACAGTGCCAATGTTATCGAAAACGTGTGAGAACCGAATAAAGAATATGAAGCTACCCATGCGTAGTTAACTCTAACCTCCGACCGAAGAGGTCAGAATAGTTAAACTGGTTTGGCTTATATTACGTGTGAACGCAACACGATGCTGTCTTAAAAACCCCAGCGATTATGAATTGGTTTAAAAAAAAGCGTCTGAATGGGCTATATGAGTGGGATGCGGGAACGTGAATTAAAGATGCATTATGCAAGAGCTAAATCTGCCTATTACAGATCTTTCTTTAGGCCTTAAATGTAATATAAATTATTGATTAGACATTTATTAACTTAACAAGACCATAATCAACTCTAGATGCTCTAGGATGCTCTAGATTTTCAACAGATTTAAACACTATTGGCAGTTAATGATTTAATTAAAAAATTAATAATCGAGAGATTGATTACTATCGTAACAATGCTAGCAATGACAATCAAGACACTGCTATTTTCTAAACTTGAAATTTTCAACATATTCCCATTTCATTATCTAGTTTTTAACTATTATAGCGAGAACTATCAGCTCTTTATCTAAATGTTACATAATGCATCTTTAAACTAATTTCAGCATCTAATTCTACAAAAATTCTTCACAAAGATTAGGCCTTAGGAAACCAGTTGGTCTGGGGGCCTGGTGAAATTTTTTTAACTGATTCGAGTTTTTGTTTTATTTGTTCGTCGCTTACTCCACGTCTGTTTGTGAAATAGCTCTGCTTCCACCAAGAAAACTAGTTGGGCCTGGTGGAATTTTTTAAAATTGATTCCAGTAATTTGCTTTATTTGTTCTGTTGCTTACTCCACTTATGTGTGCAAAATAGCTTTTTAAAGTCTACTTCCACCAAAATGATATCGTGGATAAAAACTAAGATGTGTTCAGTCACGCATAAATTTTAATTGAACACCAGATCCACCTATCAATCAAACTCTGGGAAATACGAAACTTATAATGTCTGTTTACAATTAGCTCCGCTTGAGAACAGACACAGCCAGTTGACCGACATTTTAATTCTTATATCGATGATTTTAGTTGAAAACAAATGAATATTTGTTGTCTTCTTGTTTACTATTTCTCAAAAGAAATGTTTTCAGTGAACAAAGTAAGATGGCCACAACAAATTACAATATAACTCAATTTGTCATAAATAGCGGTATATTTTCAAACCCCAGAAAATGGAGGGGGGGGGATTGGATGGCCGAATGTTTAGCACGTGCACGCTGTATCATCAAGCCTGTCATTGAGTCAACTGGCGTGGTTTCGAATCCTCGGTTGTACGTGACAAGGGTTGCCTGTCCAAACTCATGGATTTTCTCCAGTCCTCCGGTTTCTTCCCACTGCTACAGACCCCTATGTTCAAGCGAATTATTGAAATAAAATTAAACCATATGTTAGTCCCGAAATGACCTAGTCTGTGTCGAGTGGACGTTAAACCTTATTTCTCTCTCTTTCTCTCCAGAAAATGGGGTAAAGCTACATGTATAAGAGCTCATACTAGTTTAGTTTGAGGCAGGGATCTTGCAGCCACTTGATGTTTCGGCTCAAATACAAAGTTGATTATTACTTGCTGATTAAAAAGTCAATCAACTTGTCAACTACAATCCGTAACAGTCATACTTTAGTGAGAATCGGTCACGTAGAGCATAATGCATCAAACTGATAGGGAAGCTGAAATCTGGTAAATCAAATCCTTGAATAGTGGACTTTTCATGTTTGATGAGATCTTCTGTGTGACAGGCCAGAGTCAAGACACGATAATAATATTAACATTATCCTTCACCAAAGGAAGTTAGGGAGAGATATTCAAATGGGCTAAATCCGTCCTTTGGTTCTGATTTTGTTTCCTGTGCATATCTCTGTTCAAAATATCTCTATGAAACTTTGTACATACATTAACCTATCATAGTAGCTGTGCATTTTATAATTTGATATTTCTAAGATTTAATAATTTATGTGTTTCGATGGAAATAAATTGACTTAGTGTTTGGTATACCAGGATGTTGATGATTGAGACTTCCTGTTCTGTTTGAATTTTGTTATTTGAGCACCCTCTTTAGGATTGACTAACTGAATAATTTATTCATTTTATGATTTTTACACTTTCTTTTAACAACCTATCACAAAACATATACTGCCTGGGCGATTTCTCTTTATATCAGTCAATTTTATTCTGTATGGTTATCACCGCTAAACGAATGAAAATCACTCTTGTATCTTGTGGGTTTGAAATCTTGTATTTCACCACAACAATACAGCCCTGTATATTAATAACGCGACAATTTGATTGGTCCACAAGTTGATGTATAACAGAACAAATATAATGCGCTGTGATTAACATACATTAAGCAAGAGCAAAATCTGTCTATTGCAGGTCTTTCTTTAGGTCTGAGATTTTATCTAAATTATTAATTAGACATAAATTAACTTAACCAGACCATAATCAACTCTCAATATCATCGCTAGCCTGCGATCTTTAGTGGATTATGAGCCGATTTACTGCATAACTTTCCTTCACGATTTAATGATTAAATGGATAATCAAGACTATGCTGTTTATCGTACTGACTTTAGTAATGATGATCGAGGCTAGGCGGACATTTCAATCGCTTAATTCTCGGTTCATAGTGGATCAATTTAAATGAAATTTTCAGCAAATTGCCTTTACATTATCTAGTTTTTAACTATTATAGTGAGAACTGCCAGCTCTTTATTTAATCTCTCATAATGTATCTTTAACATCTTATTTTGATCACATTGGTGACTTAATGTACTTTTATAAACTAAATTATTTTGTTTTTTCCAGGCACAGATATTTTAAAGAAACAAATGGAAAATAATGAACAGGATTACGATTTTAGTTATGTGAAACCAATGCAGAATCACAATCCGCATCGCTCTAAGTCTATGACGGTGCGTTCGGATCAGGAGCATCTAGATCCTGGTGCTATTCCAATGATGTCGAATCTTTCATACCAACAACAAAACAGTGAACCTCGACAACCTAATGATATCGGAAATACGGCGGGATACACAGGGTATGGCAATGGTGGTGCAGGATTCAATACTTTATCCGCCAACCCTCAAGGCCAGGAGAAAATGCAGGCGCTCAATGTTAACCAACACCATCGTAGCCCATCGTTAAAAGTTCGCCGCTACAGTTTCTTGGCTGGATCTAGACGTGGTCGCGGGTTTAGTGAAATATTTAATTCAACTATACTTAATGATCATTTTGATCAGTATTCAGCCCTAAGAGATGACAGCGGATTGGGTAAAGATATTTATACTAATGATGAACGGTCTCGTATGGGACCGATTGACACTTCCCCTGATTCAGGTGTTTCAGACTCTCTAGATGAGGATAGTAAAAATCGTCCGCTACAACGGCGTCGAACTCTACCATGTATTATAAATAAACCTGACGATAATATCAAGCAAGAACTAGCGGAAAAAGAGACAGCTCACAGTAGTGAAAACTTAGCAAGTAAAAATAGCGAAAGTTATATTATAGAAAACGGCATCCGAAAACGCATTAGGGCGGAAGTACATCAAAATCCAGCACGTAGTAAAGGTGATTTACCCAATGAATATAAAATAGAAAGCCAAAATAAATTAGGGGCAACTTCAAACAGGGGTAGTCTTCCAGACTTGAAAATGGTCAATCAGCAGCCAATGGGGCGTGAGGAAGTTTATCGTCTGGGAACAGCAAGGAGGGAGGAGATACGAAGATTACAGGATGTAGCTGAGAGAAGACGCCAAGGAGATGTTGGGGTTATACTAGGAGATCTTAAGGTAATTTGGATTGTGTATATTTATTAGGGAGCCATGGTGGCTAAGTGGGTAAGACGATGACACGCCAGCCTGGAGGTCTTGAGTTCAATCCCTGCATTGGCCGAGAAAGTTCATCAGGATTTTCCGGTGTGGTTTTCCTGGGTTTGTGGTGCCGAACGAAGGTCATGACAAGGACAGCTGTCTAGTTGTCCGGATGGGATGAAAAACCGAGGACCCATGTATACACTGACGTGCACGTAAAAGATCCCTTGGCAGTTGGAATTCGATATAAGAGTAGGACATAGTGCCGCGTCCCGGGTACAATTTCCCTCAAAGCACACTGTATGGCATATGCCTGTCTTGATTAGCCCATTATGAGCAGAACAGTAGGACGTTTAACCCCATTTCATTTCATTTTGTATATTTATTAAATCAATGATCTGTTCAGATCTGTAAATATTGAACTTTGTGAACATGTAATTCAGTATTTGGCTCACCCTATCAAAAGTAACTGTACATAATTATACATTTTGTATAAATATGATCTAATATTTCTGCTGTTTAGTGTCTGTCAGTAACTTCCTAAAAAATTATTACATCCCAAGATCAGTAAAACTATGTAGTAAAATATCAGATTTACTGATTAACTGGGTGGGGAATGCTCACTAGTCGGCGGGTTCACTTCTTATAGTATTTCTTATAGGGCGGACTAGTGAATCCCTCTCCACTGTGTAAGCGATGGCCTGATTAAGCTTGCATGGGGCCCCTGGCTGAAAATGTCACATGGCATCAACAGTGAAAACGGAGTACATTCTGGTCATTGTTCCTCATAGTCACACAAATGTAATTTGTATGCCAGTATGTTAGATAAAGAGATTTATCTGGCACAAACATATACAATATATGGTACAATATATGGTATAATTTTTTGGTAGAACTTACTTGGGCCCTTTAATGTTGGGGCCAGCCCCTCCCCTTAATCCGACCCTGCACTGATTATAATGTTGAGATCTACTAGGTATAATTATGTTATATCTGAAACACTTTCGTCGAAAGGGATATTGAAAGTTATGCTCAGCCCTGCCTTATACTTAACTCCGCTTATGGTTAAATGTGATGTATTTTTCAGGACTGGTGCCAAGAAAGACAACTCCTGGTATTAGTTATTGCCATCAACCTCAGCCTAGCAACCATGTTCTTTAACTTGCTTTCATGAGACAGACCTGCTACCTTTCTCCATGGCAACAGAATGGTTGATACCGTCACAGGAAAGCTCGACCCCAGATTTTGGGTCCCCGGAACGAATGAAACCATTAGTGTCCACTTGTTGACCTTTGACTCAAGTGACCTTTGACATGTGGTTGAGATTAAAAGGTTACAGGTCAAGGCTGTTTGTTTGACTGTTAATCCCTAAAAAAAAAAAAAAGTATGAGAAGTTTCGACAAGTACATGCTTTCTATTGAGATTTCAACATCTGTGAATAATGATGTTCACCCTATCAGAATTATGGAATCGTTCATTTTTAAAACTTTTTTTGTTTGTTTCATACATCATAATGTGAACCATGACACTTCTACCCCGAAATCATTTAGTCTTACTGCTAGAATTAAAACCATTTTTAGGAGAGAACCAAAAACGATCAATACGAAGTGATATTAAAACAGTCATAACAATGAGTGATGTGTTGTTCAATCGTGTTCATAATGGAGAGACCTTAACCTTGCCAACACCATCCAGTGACCTTGACACCATGGCAACAAGTTACCCTTGATGATATATTTGCATAATATATAGTTGTTATGACAACCATTAATGAAAGAAGTATTTGTCCAGATTATCACAAAGTTCAATGGATGTGTTTGTCTCCAAGTGTGTGCGTGTTGATTATTATTATTATTATTATTAACATGATAATATATTGTTTGGTTAATTTAAATATCCAACGGTTGAGATTTTTTATTTTATTTTTTCCCAGAATTCCCCTAAACTGTGATAAAAGAAGAAATCTCTGGGCCAAGTGTAATATATTTATATTTAAAAAATCAATTTGTAAATTTTATTGGGACAATTTAGCAAGTCATAATATCAATTATTTTGAGAGAAAATTTAAAATGGTTTCAAAAACACATTAATAATAAAGTTTACTTTTCAAATTTAGAAATTATATAGATACTGAAGTCAACGTCCTTTTTTGGGTTGAGTTATTTATTATTAGCCTGATCTCATATAGATAATATTAAAATTTAGGATGTAAATAATTCAAGACAAAATTGGTTTGAATTGTAAGATTGAGATTTCACCATTTTGCATTTTATGTTTTTGAATATTTGTATATTATGCCTTGCTAATCTTCCAAACATTGTGTACAGATTGTGTTTCCTTATATGGAAGTAATTTATTAATAATTTATTATTTCATCTTTAAACCAAGTCGATAGTTTTTTTGTCAAGTGTTATATTGGAAGGGATAAATTATTGATTAATTTTTAAAATCCCTTTCTTGTGATTTTTGTCTTGGAAATATATCTGAATGGGCCGATATAAATTATTCTTTATATAATTGCCTCCTTTCTCCCTTGTAAAATATTTTCTTAAGATTTCAAGAAAGTTATCTTCCCTTTGTACAGGGTTCCATGTGAGGCCATTCGATTTATGTCCCTTGGTTTAAAAAAAGACTACAATTGTATGATATTGAAGAATGAAAACATGTAAACTTTCATTACAAAACAAAATGCAATTTGCTCCTTTAAACTTCCCTGCCACCACTGGCCACTCCTTTACCATTGATTTTCGTCAAATTATTTTTAATAATTTCTATCAATGTGAATTTGCAGGATATAAGTTTGTCCTTGTACATTTTTGACTTAGTTTTTGGGTGTAGAATCTTTTTTTTTGTTTAATTATTAACATAACTTAATTTATTTTTCAATTTTTTTTTTCTTTCATTTAATTCCATAGTATTTCAAAGCGTTCCAAAACCACTGAAAACGAGACTTTGTGTCCCAAAAAGTGGTTTAATTTTAGTCTCATTTGCCTGCCGTAGACTAGAATACCATAGTCTCTTTTTGCCTGCCTATTTGTAGACTAGGTTTTTTTGTACATTAGATGAGTCTTTGATGTGTTTGTATTTTAGTCAAAACCAGATTCTTCAGTGAATTTCAACCAAATGCCACCATCTTGGTTGCCATTCTGGCAGCCATTTTGGATAGAAGTGTTGGATGACATAGCAACATGTTTAGAAGCGCAAGATGGGGTCACATGACCAGCCTTGTTAATTAAACATGAATTACTATGGTTATTTATTAAACTGACAACTTTTTATTTGAAGGAGTGTTTTAACTGTGAATAAATAGTACATAAATTTTAAGTTGTTCTTTGTTTTTTCTGAACACCGTTAAAGATGCATTATGTAAGATTTAGATAACGTGCTGGCCCTTCTTACTATAATAGTTCAAAAATAGATAAAAATGAAATATTTTGAAAAGTTCAGTCAAATTACTTTAGTCTGAGTGAAGCTATAAGTGTTTGAAGTTTTGACAAGATTATCCATTTTAACGTTATATTGTTAAACAGCCAGTGAGTGTTGAAATATCTTGGCCACTCTATGCTCTAGAGAGTTGATGATAGACTTATCATGTGGGCTTTTTGAAACCCAAAAACGTCCAGCAATAGGCATATTCAGGTCTTACATAATGCATTTTTAAAATACTGCTGCTGCTTTCATTTCTTCATCCAGATTTTCCGGCGTGGTTCCCCCTTGTCAGTGATGCAGGAAGGAGGGCCTGACAAGGACAGCTGTCTAGTCATTCGGATGTTACGAAAAACCGAGGTCCTGTGTATACATTGGCGTACTCATAAAAGATACCTTGACAGTTGGAATTTGATATAAGAGTAGGCTGTAGTGCCACTGTCTGGGCAAAATTTCCCTCACAGCACACTGTATGGCGCATGCCCGTCTTTATTAGCCCAGTTCGGAGCAGAACAGTAGGACGTTGAAACTCATTTTATATTTGCTTTCATGTCATGTCATATTTATAATAATACAAGATTTATTTTCTTGTTGTGGCTTTTGATATATTAAGACAACCAAACATGTATTGCTATGTTTCGTAGAAACAGTTGGTATGGGATCAGTGTATATTATTAGGAATTCCACCTCCTCTTAGGCATGATTTTTAACCAAATGGTTTACCATAATTTATTTGACAATTTGCGTTTCAGTCAGGTATCGGCAAAATTTCCGTCATAGCACACTGTATGGTGTATGCCAGTCTTCATTAGCCCAGTTCTGAGCAGAACAGTAGGATGTTAAACCCCATTTCAATTCACATATGTAGTGTCATACATGTACATCCATAGTCACTGTTGGGTGCATTTAAAAATCACCCAGGACAAGAAATAAACAGCCTCTCTAGGAGCCATAGAATGTAGTATTCAGAAGGAGTGAATTACATTTTATTTAACCAAAGACATTTTTACTGAGTGTAATAATACTATGGTTCCAAGGATTAAACTGATGGATTAAACTTTTTTTTTTTCGACCTAGCAGATTTATTTGATTTATGATTTTCCAGTTGATGAGATGCCAGAGTGAATCAAGCTTTATGGACTGAAAATGTCGATGAAAATGATAGATTTCATAGGATTAATAATTATTATCCAAAAAGAAGACTGGAATGGGATTTAATGTTTAAATAGAAAGTTCTATACTGAATGTGGTGCCTTAAAATACTAAAAATATACAGAGGATTTTCCTTCATGGTTTCCCCTTGTCAGTGGTGCAGGACAGCGAGCCTTACAAGGAACAGTGTCTAGTAGTAAAAGAACCATAACCATAGACTGTTGGAATTTGATATAAAAGTAGGTCGTAGTGCCGCTGTCCAAGCAAAATTTGCTTCATAGCAAAATGAAATGAAATGGGGTTTAATGTCCTACTGTTTTTCTCCGAACTGGGCTAATGAAGACGGGCATGCGCCATACAGTGTGCTGTGAGGGAAATTTTGGCCGGACAGCGGCACTATGGCTTACTCTTATATCGAATTCCAACTGTCAAGGGATCTTTTACGTGCACACCAATGTGTACACGGGACCTCGGTTTTACGTCCCATCCAAACGGCCCACCTCCTGCATCACTGACAAGGGAGAACCACGCCAGAAAGTCTGGATGAACTTACTTCATAGCACACTGTCTGGGGTATGTCTGTCTTCAGTAGCCCAGATGGTAGAGCAGTATATTGTCACGATTCCATTCACTCTCAGTTATCGGGATTAACAAAACTGTGACAGGACTGATTTCTGTGTCTGTCAATGCAACAGAAGCATAAAGTGTCCTTTATTTTTATAATCATGCATAGGGTTGTTTTTGCAGTGTTTGTATTTTGCCTTCCAGTAAACAACAAAACACAGCTTTTTCTCTCTTTTAACAGGGGGTGGGGGTGGTGGTTGATGTCCGAATGGTTAGCACGAGCGCACTGTATCATAAGGCCTGTCTATAGGGTCTAATGTCTAATACCTATATAGACACCGGAGGGGCTTCTCGTCCATGCACCAACAATCATAACAATAATTCGGAATCGTATATACCATACTCAGCTGATGACTTTATTACTATTAATGATGATGATGATTTACTAAAAAATACAAATATGTTTCAAGAATTTAAACACAGAATAAAATTATTTATTACCGTAAGTTATATTTGTCTGTAAAATTTGCACAGTGTGAAATTCAAGGTAACATGACTAGAGGGAGACAACTCTTGTTTTGCGACAGCTTCCACCGAACCAAAAACACACAGTTGCCCAATGGAAATCCAAACATGCATGCTGTTTAGGTATAAATATGTATAAACTAAATAAAAGGCAATTACTTATTACTAAAAGTAGCTATGCAAATACTAGGTCAAATGCCGGGTACCTAATGAAAATGGCGGGCGGGCTAGTTGAAGAAATACAAACCAGCGTGCACAAGCAAAACTCACATTATTTTAATAGTAAAGAACCAAATATGCTAAGAAATGATCATAACTATATATGAAAGATTATACAATTGTAGTTACCGAATTTGTGAGCCTCCATGGTCCTAAAAATTGCGAAATTCTACAGCTCAGTCGTAAGGCGCACATGGTCATTCCACTTACAATTCGCTAAGCCAAAAAAAACCCAGAAAGTAGACTCGCTTTTCCATGTCGTAAAATGAAGATAAGGCTTACACTGTCATTGAGTCAACTGGCGAGGTTTCGAATCCCTGGTTGTACATGACAAGGTGTAGGGTTGCCTGTCCAACCCCAAGGGATTTCTCAGGTTTCCTCCCACTGCTAAAAATCACCTATGCGCAAGCGAATTATTGAAATAAAATTAAATGTTAGTCCCGAAATGACCTAGTTTGTGTCGAGTGGACATTAAACCCCATTTCTCTCTCTTTTAACAGCAAAGGAAACATCATCATCGGTATCCCCAGTGGTCTCAGTCTGTTCCACGTACCCTTAGGTTCATCCATGGGGGAGACAAATATTCAAATTATCTGCCCTTGACTACTGTGCTATTTTTATCGACCAATCAGAAACATAGTTAAATACAAAGGAACTTAGTGAGGGGAATTAACTCTCATCTTATTGCAACAAACAAGCAATAAGGCTAAGGTTGGTTTTTTGATTGGTTCATAGAATCAAGGTATGATCAAGGGCTTATATAAATTGAATACATGAATTCCCTATGGAAATGAAATGAAATGGAGTAATGAAGTTGGGCATACGCTGTCCTTGTCAGGCCCTCAGTTCTGCATCACTGACATGGTGGAACCACGCAGGAAAATCTGGATGAACTTTCTCGGCCAAAGCAGGGATCGAACACCCGACCTCCAGACTCGAGACCCAGCGTCTCACCCACTTAGTCAGAATTCCTCATGGATGAACCCAGGGTATAGTGGAGTATACCTAGGATGAGGGTATAAAATGAAACATAGTATTATATACTTCTAACATAATATTTATTTCTTCATGTCTGATAAAGCTTTTTTACATAATTCATGTGCTAATTTCTCTAATTTCTGTGCTGATATCTTAGATTTATCCTCTTCAAATATTTCAGCAGCTTTATCAACCCAATAGTCTTTTGATCGTTGGAAATAATCAGCCACAGATTCGTCATCCTTCTGCTTTGGGGCATCTTCAAATGTTATCTCTTCATCATCAGAATCTATTAAAACAGAATAATATATGTAATTAATCTGGAGTGAACATAGACTACAAATTCTAAGCTTTTATCTCACATATTTCTTTTAGTTTTTGTGGTTTCAATTCCCCAGTTCATCATGACAATGAGTAGAGTCGCCTGTCCAACCTTGTGGGCTTTTTTCTCTGGGTCCTCCACTTTCCTCCTACTGCTAAAGACCCCTACGTGCAAACGAAATATTGAAATTAAATTAAACGATATGTTAGTCTCAAAATGACCTAGCTTGCATTTAGTGGGCATTAAACCACATTTCATTGCACATCACATATATCTACATGTAGTATCAGAACTCATCCACTTATTTTTTTATAATTAGAATGATGCATCATTCATATATGATTCAATTTTATTTCAATAATTTGTGGGCTTTTTTCTCTGGGTCCTCCACTTTCCTCCTACTGCTAAAGACCCCTACGTGCAAACGAAATATTGAAATTAAATTAAACGATATATTAGTCTCAAAATGACCTAGCTTGCATTTAGTGGGCATTAAACCACATTTCATTGCACATCACATATATCTACATGTAGTATCAGAACTCATCCACTTATTTTTTTATAATTAGAATGATGCATCATTCATATATGATTCAATTTTATTTCAATAAATTAGCAGTGGTAGGAAACATGAGGACCTGGAGAAAACCCATAAATTCATCCTTCAGGACAGTAGAATATATTGGATTGGACATAAAATAGAGAAATGGACAAATAGAAAGTTTTAAAAACCTTCATCGCTGGAAGATGAATCATCTCCACCATCTGCCCCTTCCATTTCATCATCATCATCATCATCTTCCTCATCTGATGATTCTTCCCATACCTGGTTGTAGAAGATGATACATGTATCTTAGTTTATGGTGATTAATTAAAAAAAATAAACAAAGAAAACTATAACTTTATAAACCGGAAAATTCATTAACATGGCGGGACAGAAGGGCAGACGGACGGACATTGTACAGAGCCCATTTCAATATCACCACGCTTGACTTCATTCAGTGCAGGAAAGTAATTGAAAGAATATAACTGTACTACCCTTAGAAATACTGGGAAGAATTTAATGCAAATAAATCTCTTTTTTATCCCATGCTGAACAAAGTTAAACATACATTATGCAAGAGCTAAATCTGCCTATTGCAGGTCTTTCTTTAGGCCTGAAATGTTATCTAAATTATTAATTAGACATTAATTAACTTATTCAGACCAATCGCTAGCCTGTGATATTTACTGGATTGGGACGCGATCTGCTGCTCTACACTCATAAATGATTAAATCAAGAAATGGATAAATGAGCTTATGTATTTAACCATACCGACTTTAGTAATGATGATCGAGGCAAGTCCTAAAATTCAATCGCTAAATTCTCGGTTCAGAGTGGATCAATTTGACTGAAATTTTCAGCAAATTCTCTTTACATTATCTAGTTTTTAACTATTATAGTGAGAACTGCCAGCTCGTTATCTAATCTACAATAATTTATCTTTAAGGCATTTGTATTAAAATGGGCACTCAGCATATTCAAATTAATGCAAACCTGCTAAATGAGAGGAAGTCTCTTTATTATCCCGAATGAAGTTAAGGATGGGGTGTTAAACGGTGCACTCAAATATTTTTTTTTACAAATAATTCATTTTCAGTGGAGTAATTGATAATTGTAACCATAGGAACTCTACCTGAAGTTTTTTGTCCTCTGGTATGATAATATTCCATTCATCTAATTTATGTAAATCTAAAGAATAAAGATCAGCTAGAGTTATCTGTTTATCGCCGTCCTCTACAAGACCCCCGTACAAATACAACACACTCCCTTTAACACTTAACGCACAGTTCATTCTGGGAGAGGGCCGAAATATATCGTCATTGTCTTCTCCCTTGTTATCACCACTACGTGACGACTGGGGTCCAATTTTAACAGTAAATACACTACTAGATTCAGTCTCCATATCTACATCATTAGTTGCCTCCCTTTGTTTATCAAGTTTTAACTCATCTAAACATTCTTCTGCTTCCTCAACGGTTTCTTCATTCATTTCACTCTCTTCTTTATTTCTTCTTCTTTTCTTTTTCTCTGTTGTACCTTTTTTGCTTCTAAAATAGGAAGGAATCAATTACAATAATATTCACAGACCACACAACAAAAATAATAACAGAGTGAGAGAGAAAAAAAATGGGGTTTAACGTCCACCCAACACAAAGCTGGTTATTGTTTATTTGGTGCAATGTCTATTTTCTGTCTTGTCCGGAGGTTTATCTTGTAGATTTTTTTTTATGTGTAGTGCGGTCCTCTTGCACTTATTATATGGTTCAATTTTATTTCAAAAATTTGCTTGATTGTAGGGGTACCCAGAGAAAACCTATGAGGTTGGAAAGGCGACCGTACTCCTTGTCACATACAACCGGGGAATCGAAACCACGCTGGTTGACTCAATGACAGACCTTGTGATACAACGCGCACATGCGCTAACCATTCGGCCATCCAATCCCCTTCATAATAACAGGAGATAATGGTTTGTAAGCCATTGGGGAAATATGAGGTCAAAATTTCAATTACAATGGAGCCTATATGCTGCTACTTATAAAGCATTTGTGCCTTTATCTAAGGAAACAAAATCAATTAGGTATCTCAATCTCTCACCCTTCTCCAACCAAACCATGTGAGACAAGCCTTTTATTTGGCTCCTCTTGCAAGTTTCATAGGAAACACTTGTCTACGATATTACCCTTCATGCAGGTGGAAGCAGACGTTAAGCCCCATTGAGAGAGGGAGGTTTAACATTCATTCCACCAAAACAATGTCATTTTGGGACCAACATGGTTCATTTTTATGCCCAATCTGATGATAAGATAGAAAAAGACGGGAAATAATAAAAAAAATTAATTAAAGGGGTTTAGTTCTTTAAGGCAACGTTTTGTTCAATTTAAGACTAACCTATGGCAATATTTACTTCTATGGTTATGTGTTCCATGTGAGGTAGGATACTTTTGCCCCGACAGTGGCATCTATTTGTCTAATCTTCTTCAATTTCTAACAATTAACGGTTCTTTTATGTGTAGGCCTACACATGTGGAGCCCGTTTTTTTCGTCCCATTTGAATCAGAACGACTGCCCTTATTTTACTGTACTAACCTAATGATGACATCGTTCCATTTGCCTTTATCCGTATCTAAGGACAAAATCTCATTAAAAAATATCCCTTCTTCATCATCATCATCCAATTCCCCCTAAAAAAAAGTTAGTTAATTAAAAGTTATAAGGCAATGAACATCAACTACTCCATAAAACCGGAATATAACATAGAAATACAACTTATATTAGGTATTAACAACAGTTAGTTTTTTAAGACCTTAAAGCCAAATCAAAGACTTGAATTGTAAATAACATATAATCCAACCCCAAACACGTCTACAACATACACATATTGAAATTATAAACTTGTTTAAACATTTACCTTATCATAAACTCCACCAAATAATATGGCTCTGTTACCAGGAGCAACAGCTGCTGATATACCACTCCTTGATGTAGGACGTGATCCTGATTGCTTCATCTGTGACCATTTCCATTTCATAGCATCTCCTTTACCTTAATAAATGAATAAAAATTTAAACTGAAAAATCAACAGGCCTTACACAAGTCTAAGTAAAAAGAGAGAGAGAGAGAAATGGGGTTTACATCCACTTGACACAAGCTAGGTCATTTTGGGACTAATACATGCTTCAATTTTATTACAATAATTCGCTTGCGCGTAGGGGTCTTGAGTAGTGGGAGGAAACCGGAGGAACCGGACAAAACACACGAGGTTGGACAGGTGACCCTACTCCTTGTCATGTACAACCGGGGAATTAAAACCACACCAGTTGACTCAATGACAATTCTAAGTATAAAGACATCAAGTACATAGATTAATAATTTATTTCGCTTTGTTATCATTCATCATGTTTTTTTTATTTGTATATCAAGTTTTACTTTAAATTTCTAGAACAGTCTGACAAGTAAATATATTACATTTCAACTCAATCCATATCAAATGATAATTTTGCACGGAACTGTGGGTAATCCTCTGGTAACATCAATGCTGATTGGTTAATCAAATGTCTGACGTCATAGGTCAAAAGCCGCTCGTATGACCTCTGACGCGACCTATCGCTACAACCGGTCAGATCTTCATGTAGTGTAGGCCATCGAAAGTATAAAAAACGAAACGAAATATAAATCTGTATTTTAATGAGATTGCCCAGCCCCCTGACAGTCAACGTGAATCATACCTTCTATAGTCAAAGAAAATAGATCGGTGTAAGTAGTTGGTTTATCCACATCTTTTTTAACTTTTTCTTTACAAAATCCACCATATATAACAATCTTGCCAGAATCCTGATTAACAGCCATAACACAGCCTGATCGTGGTGCAGGAGGAATACCTGTTGCAGTTATACGAGACCAAGAATAGGTTTCCAGATCAAAGGTGTATAAATCATTAAAATACTTGTATTCTCTAAAGGAAAACAAAAAGACCTGTTTATACCACGTTATAAGGGGTTGGGCAACATTACAGTCAAACCATGATCAAATTGGAATGCAAGATAATTTGTATTTGATTAGTAAATCTATGAGACAATATCATGAAAGGTGGCCCTTTAACCCTTAACCGGTCGACGTCATGACGTCAAGTGGTCAGGCTAAATAAAGGTTGACGTGAAATATTTTGCATGCCTATTTCAATCGACTACTGCCGAATAATTATAAGTGATAGACTCTTGACACCAATAAAAAAGTTGAAGGGGATAAGTTGATCTGTAATTTGCAAATCATTCTAAATCCTTTTCATCAGAAATATCGTCTTCAGAATCGGTGTCATCGATATAATCCGAGTCGGAATAATTCATAAGTATTTCAACCACTTCGAGCGTCTTTAACTTTCCCGACATCTGCAAATAACGTTTTTCGTCAAAAAATGTTGAACAAAGACATGTTTTTCTCAATGCACTTGACAAGACAAGTTTCTGTCTGACACGCATGCGTGGCCATATCAATTAATTACAAAACTAAATACTTAAATGTGGCTTATAAAAAAAGGTTCTTGCTGTGGTCGACTTTAGTCGACTGTGACCACTTAGCTGTATAACGTTGTGGTGATTATAGTTGACAATGACCGGTTAAAGGTTAAAAGAAATATTAGACCAAAAAAGGGTTTGGCATCATATTGAAATCATCACCAACAATACGAGTTGCGGAAAATCTTGTAATAAGCCTCTTTTTAGACTGGGGAGTCAAGGTGGCTAAGTGGGGCTGAAACTGGCTCGCTAGTCTGGAGGTCATGTGTTCGATCCCTGCATTGGCCCAGAAAGTTCATCAGGATTTTCCGACGAGGTTTCCCTTTGTCAATGGTGCAGGACAGGGGGTCTGATAAGTACAGCTGTCTAGTCAGAATAGGACAAAAACCGAGGTCCTATGTATACATTGGTGTGCACGTAAAGAAGAACTCTTGGCAGTTGGAATTCGATATAAGTGTAGGCCATAGTGCCGCTTCCCAGACAAAATTTCCCTCATAGCACATTTTTCGGCGTATGCCCGTCTTCATTAGCTCAGTAGAAGCAGAACAGCAGAACGTTAAACCCCATTTCATTTCATTTTAACTGGTTTCGGTTGTACGTGTAGAGTCGCCTGTCCAACCCCAGTTTCGTCCCACTGCTAAAGACCCCTATGCGCAAGCGTATTATTGAAATATAATTAAACCATATGTTAGTCCCAAAATGACCTAGTTTGTGTCTAGTGGACGTTAAACCCCATTTCTGTCTCTCTCTCTCTTTAAACTGGTTACAACCAAGCTGGGAGATTACCCACCGTTGATACTTCGGTTTAGTTTTTTTTAATTAAATGTGAATTAAGCTATGAACAATCATCCGAAAAATGTGAATAACGATACATGGTTTTAATAGTCTTCAATGGGAATTAGAATCTATGAGGATATCTTTACCTTAAATTATCATGAAATCCTCCAAAAACCACCAATAATTTTTTCCATAATACCATCCTATGACCACTTCTAGATGATGGTCCTCCTGGAGCACTAAATATTTAACAATATTTAAACAGATTAGTAAATGCAGAATAGGGATGGTTTTAAAAGCAATACAATACCCGTTGCAGCAGTGGAATTATTTCAAATACAGAGATACATGTACCATCAAATTCATACATCTGGTTGTTACCCACGATTTTAATCCTGTTTGATTTTAGTCTGTCTCTCCCTTTCCCCCTTTTGCTGCCAGGTTTTGGTGAATATACATGATTTTGAATCAGAATCCTAACAGAGTTAAGAGGCTGGCATCCTTGTTATCCCCAGTGGTCTCATTCCATTCCATTCTACTAACCCCTGGGTTCACCTATGGGGGAGACATGTATTCAAAATATCTGCACTTGATGACTGTTTTTATCAACGAATCAAAAAAATTGTTAAATACAAAATTAATGGTGTACTGTGTCCAACAATAGAGATCAATTGTCTCCCTTGATGCATTAGACATTCTGATTATCTCCCTTGACACATTAAAAATTCTGATTATTTTCAATTCAGTAACAGATGGATACTGTAATAAATGAAGATGATAAGAATAGAAGTAAAATCCACATTTGAGAGGAAATAACTAGGAATTCTATAAGTTTGGCTTTAGTATAAATTGTGTTTTAAAACTACTTGTATAATTAACAGGTAAAGAAAAATAGAATTCAATATAAGAGTAGGCCACAGTGCCGCTGCCTGCGCAAAATTGTTTTTTTAAAACTATAATCAACAGGTAAAGAAAAATGGAATTCGATATAAGAGTAGGCCACAGTGCCGCTGCCTGGGCAAAATTTCCCTAATAGCACACCGTATGGCGTATGCCCACCTGGAACAGAACTGTAGGACGTTAAACCCCATTTTAACAGTAGTGAGCCAATCAAACAAACAAATCAATATATTATGATAATCTCTAACCTGATCATTTGCCACTGTTTATCTTTAATATGATAAACCCATAAATCTCTATAATGATAAAACTGAGACTGACTACTGCTAGAAAACTCTCCTCCAAATATCCACAACTGTCCACCGCCTTGACTAGAAGCAACTGCCTATAAACATATGAAAGGATATTAATTCTATTATAAGTGTTGAAAGCTGACATGAGTGTTCACATCACAGCTCTTGTTTCAGTTATATTTGCCAGTCTAGGCATGAAATTGATCTTCTTACCTGTCAGTCAAGAGAGAGAGATGAAATGAAATTAGGTTTAACTTCTACTGTTATGCTCCGAGAGAGAGAGAGGGTTTAACCTCCACTCGACACAAACTATGCCATTTCAGGACTAACATATGGTTCAATTTTATTTCAATAATTCACCAGCGCGTAGGGTCTTTAGCAGTCCAGAGGACCCAGAGAAAACCCATGAGGTTGAACAGGCAACTCTACTCCTTGTCATGTACAACCAGAATAAAATTAGAATTTCAAAGAATATATATTTAAATACAACTGATACAGTTAAATTTATAGTTTTTATGTATAAACATGTATTTTAATAAAATTTGATAATGCTAAAATTAAAGTCATATCCTTCCCAAAAATAAGTTGCTAATCAAGGCAAAAAAATGAAATGAAATGGGATTTAACATCCTACTGTTTTGCTCCGAACTGGGCTAAAGACGCGCATATGCACAGTGTGCTATGAGGGAAATTTTGCCTGGACGGCGGTACTACAGCCTACCCTTATATCGAATTCCAACTGTAAAGGGATCTTTTACGTGCACACCATGTGTATACACGACCTCGTTTTTTTGTACCATCTGAACGACTAGACAGCTGTCCTTGTCAGACCGGAAAATCTGGATGAACTTTCTCGGCCAATGCAGGGATCGAACACCCGATTTCCAGGCTAGCGAGCCAGCGTTTTACCCACTTAGCCACCGTGACCCCAAATCAAGGTAAATAGAATATGTCCAAAATTGACCAGCGAGCAAAAGTTTGAAATGAGAGCCATGATTCACTTCTTACTTTGAGGAAATACTATGTAATTGTGACAAGATTTATCAATTTTTAGGCACCAAACGAATTGAGAAAATACTGCATATGAATTCTAAAAGATGACATTTTTTGAAAACTTACCTGATGCGAACTGCGAGGTGGTGGAGCATTGGGTGCTGTGATGCGGGTCCACTCATTCTTCTTGATATTATAAATAAACAGATCATTATATAACGTCATCTGAAATAAATAAAATATTCAATTTCATATCTAACTACATTTCAATTATCCAGTGCTAAATTTTAATAGAATTAATCCCTCCACTCTGCTGGCAATCATTTCCTTTGGTAAGAGAAAGAAAAGAAATGGGGTTTAATGTCCACTTGAGACAAACTAGGTTATTTTGGGACTAACATAGGCTTCAGTTTTATTTCAATAATTTCGTGGAGTGTAAGGGTCTTTAGAAGTGGGAGGAAACCAGGTCACTTCGGGACTAACATAGGGTTCAATTTTATTTCAATAATTTGGTTGAGGGCAGGGGTCTTTAGTAGTGGCAGGAAACCAAAGGACCTGGGGAAAATCCACGAAGTTGGACAGGCGACCCTACTCCTTGTCACGTCTGATCCAACGCGCATGCATTAACCATTCGGCGACCAACGCCCCCAACCCGTCCTTTGGTGATCAGCCTCGGTTCTATCAGCAGAATTAGTCAGAAAAGAAGAGAGAGATTAGGTCATTTGGGGACTAACACATTGTACAATTTCATATCAATGCAAGCTTGGGATCAACATCTAACCACTTGACTCAATGGCTGCCTCTTATGATCTGAATGGAATATGTTAGACTACCTAGCTCCTCCCCCCTTTATGAAAAAAGAGAGCTAATATGGATTTGGACTATATATAGGCTACTTGAGAGCATGATGTTTACAAACTATTTCAACTATTGCTATCTGACTTTGGAAGAATGAAGATCATACATCGAAAACTTACATTTTTTCCAGTATAATATTCGCCACCAAACATAAATAATTCTTCTTTATCTGGATTGGCTGTTAAACTCATGCTGCATCTAAAAATAGAATGAAAGTACATTTTCTAGAGTAATGGACCAAACCTCACATTGACATACTGTGGAAGAAATACTGGGACGGTCGATCCTATTCATAAAAGCTTAAAACTAAAATACTGATTGAGCACAATTAAAATATTTTCTTGACTAACAAAACCTCTGAATTATCAAGTTTTAGATTTTAAACACAACCATCCAATACTGAAATTTAGTCAGAAAGGTGGATATTGAAAAATAGAAAGTAAACATACCTTGGTGAAGGTGGTGGACATTTTTCTTCTAAAACTTCAGTTCGATCTTTAGCTTTATCTTGATATTCCGCTATTTGTTTCTTTATATCATCCTACAAGTATAAACAGCAAATAACACAATGACTGGAATCTTAGTATTAAATTAAAATCTGTGATAAAAAATTAAAAATGGTAATTGTGATTCTTCTCTAGATTTTCCACTATTGAGTGGAGCGAGTCATGGTGGCTAAGTAAGGCGCTGGCTCGCTAGCCTGGAGGTCGGGTGTTCGATCCCTGTATTGGATGAGAAAGTTCATCCAGATTTTCCGGCGTGGTTCCCCTTGTCAGTGATGCAGAACGGAGGGCTGGCAAAGACAGCTGTCTAGTCGTTTGGATGGGACAAAAAACCGAGGTCCCATGTATTGGCATGCACGAAAAAGATCCCTTGACAGTTGTGATTCAATATAAGAGTCGCAGTGCCGCTGTCCGGGCAAAATTTCCCTCATAGCACAGTGTATGACGTATGTCCGTCTTCATTAGCCCAGTTCGGGGCAAAACAGTAGGGCGTGTGGGAATAATATAAATATAACATCGATGATATTAATATTAGACTAAAATATCGATTTGTCAAATTTACATGTTTACCTCTCCAATTTCTGCCAGTTCTCTTTTAGCTCTCTTCTCGGCTTTTTTCTCTGTTTTTAATGCTGTCTTCTCTTGTCCCTTTCCTTTCTTGTCTTTTTTATTCTTTTTACCCATTTTGTATTTATAAACGATTTCTTAAATGGCAATACAATAATAAGTTTGGAATCAAAACAAACCCGATTACGCCATGTGCTATTGTAGTCGTACTCTTGAAAATCGAGTCTACATATATAATCACGTGGACGGAAATGAGGATACATTCGGGCGGTTTACAGTTTGAGATTTTTAAGGCACACGCTCGAATCTTACCAATGCTACCCCGCGCCACCCGCTCACTCACCTCCAAGCCCCACCTCTAAAAAAAAGTATTATTTCACCTATTACAATAGATGTTGAGATATAATCGATTGGGTGCTCCCATCACCAAAATCTATATATGACTAAAAATGAGCCTGAATGAATGGAAATCTAGTGTGCTCTGAGAGAATTCCAACTGCGAAGGATCTCCGTTATTTATAGTCCCACCGAACGACTAGACGCCGTTCCTTTCCAGGCCAGCCGTCCTGTATCACTGACAAGAGGAAACGCTGGATATTCCCGATTTATTTTCTCGGCCAACACCTCTGTTTAGTGAGCTAACGCCTCACCCGCTGAGTCCCCACCATAAAGCGAAACAATGAATCAGAACAATTGAACAATTCATTATGAGCAAAATCAGGAAAGAAATGGAGTTTAACGTCTCGTCAACAAGATGCGTTGGCCATTTTGATACTAATATGGTCAATTATTTCACTTGGTCCCTTGTGTAATGCTAAGGAGGAGAAGTTTGCCTACTATATGCTTCTAATTCCAACTTCTACCCCATAGGCCTACTCCTCGCAGTGTTTCGTTTGATTAGAGCTAATCCCACTTAACACAGCTGTAAAGAAAGCAAATTTCTGTTCCAAATTATGACTGGTCGATAGTCCGATTAATAACCAATAGCTAACTGCGTAACAATATCATTACGGTTTAAACACAGCTCCAAATTGGACCAAATAGGTTTACATAACGTTACGTCATGACTCACGATCTTATTATGCCCAATTATCCAGTGCATAGCAGAATATTGCAGAAAAACTAATTGCGTGACAAACGAGGCCATCAAGACGGATAAAATGTAAACAATACTGTTTGAAGACGTACAATGCTTTAACCGCTTTTATTCCTTAAACCGTTACTCTGAATCCCCTCATATAAATTTCGTTCTGACGGGCGTGATATATTATGTATTAGAGAATGTATCATCATGGGGATATACTGAAAATAATAATTACATGAAATGATATTTAACGTTTTACTTTTCTGCACCAATTAAAACGCCCATGCGGGATGCTGAAAGAAATTTGCTCGAACATGCAGCGTCACCACGGCCAACGCTGAAACCTCGGCATTTCGCCCTATCCGAAAGACTAGATGCTGTTTTTTGCCCAAGCGCCCACTCTGCACAATTGACAAGGGGGAAACAACGCGAGAGAATCCAAAGGAACCTTTTAGGGTTTATTGACATATTCGACCCCTTTTGTAGGAACAATTTCATTGTGCGGGACGGGGGATTGCCTGCGCAGCAAAACGGTGTTCCGGGAGCTTGTTCGGGTCATGGGGTTTCGAGTGCCTTTGTTATGATATTATGAAGAAGAGAAATGGGGTTTAATGTCCTAATGTTCTGCTCCGACTGTCCTACACTGTGCTATGAGGGAAATTTTGCCCGGACAGCTGCACTAAAACCTACTCTTATATCGAATTCCAACTACCAAGTGATCTTTTACGTGCACGCCAATGTATACACGGGACCTCGGTTTTTCGTGCCACCGGAACGACGAGACAACTGTCCTTGTCAGGCCCTCCGTCCTGCACCACTGACAAGGGGAAACCACGTCGGAAAATCCCGATGAACTTTCTCGGTCAATGCAGGGAACGAACACGCGACCTCCAGGCTATCGAACACGCGACCTCCAGGCTAGTGAGCCAGCTTCTGCCCACTTAGCCACCGTGACTCGGTTATGAAGAAGACATTGCTTTTTGTCATTCTATTAAACAAATCAACACATAAATTATGAAATCAAAATTTTTTTTTTTTTCACATTGTACCATTATTTGAAGTGTTCACGGTGATCTGTAGGCTTCATTAGACAAGCAATGTCTCTCGTTGCACGTAAAATCTAAATTATTTCGTCGAATCAGCATCATATTGATGAAAATGAAAGAGTCAAAATCAAGCTTTGTATTGTGTTTACAAGATAGCGCAGATGGGCATAACTGTGGGGGGAACTAACAAGAATTAAGAAAGGGAAGAGATTCGAAGTTTTCATAAACAATAGTTGACTGTTGAAAAGTCGGCGCCATACATACTTGCATACCACCACTATTCCAGAAACAACACAAAAATAACGTATTAGAAGGGTTTTAGCATTTAAAGAATATACTAATATACAAACATAGACGGGGGTTCTCAGCACCCACAACCTAATACGCTCGCCAGCAGCAAACGCATCTATGCTTGTTCTGAAACCACTCTTAACAAGGGTAAATGAACAATCTTACGAAGTTCTGATCTCTGTCATGTATTGCTGTAACAAGATTTCATCAATTTGAAAGTGATTACTCCAAGATTTGCGATCGAAAAATAAACTTTTTCAGAAGTGTTCCATATCAATTACAGTGAGAAACCCCATTAGGTTTTAAGCAGTTTCATTAAACAGAAGCTTAACATGTACCCGGAAACATAAGAAATTTTCAAATCCAACGTGGTTCTTCCTTAATCCTTAATTCGATCAACGCCATCTGGATTAAAACTTCACTTTGTCCTATAAAGCTTTCACAAGTTTTCCTAAGTTTAAAACCACAAAACTTACAACTGTGTAGTGTTCACAAGAAATTGTAGATGGACGACGGCCAATGTGAAACAGGTTCTTACAAACCGAACCGGTTTGGGGTGCATTTTAAGCATCTCTAGCATTGAAATGTTTTGACCCCCCCCCCACCATACTTTAGCTTTCTACGCGTGAAGATATCATAGTCCACGTTAACCGTGTAAATCAACTAATATACAAATAATATACGTGTTCAAATAATAAAACAGAGTCAAATAAGAAATACATGGCATTCTAGATATCTTGACAGCAAGAGATTTTTGGGACTTAGTTAAGGTCAGTTATTTGTTTGCCTGAATCTTCAAATACATTCGGGTGGATATCTTAAATATATAAATGATTATAAAACATGGGAAGAATGCAGAAAATCAAAGAGATTCTTGTTAATCATTATTAAATCTACGTTTAAAACAATGTGCCAGCGTACTACGGACCAGGATTTGTTACTTCATATCATCCAAGGAAATGTTCATAAACAGGTTTTGAAAGACTGAGATTGGATACATCTTAACACACAAATACATTTCTAAATAACCGGATCTGGCACCAGTTCATCTTTAAGTAATATATATGTAGCAGTAATGATTGCTGATAATGACACGATCGAAACAATAGCGCCAACTATGTATAAACCGGTAGCACGATAGCCAAATTTTTTCGCCCTCTTTTCAGATCCGTAGTCGTATTCATAATCCGACCGCTGCATCCAATAAACTGCTGGCGCACAGCACAAAAAACAGAAGAAAATGAAACACGGACAATGGAGAGTACTGTGGAATCGCTGGTTGATTGAGTTATAAGGATTGTCTAGTAAGATGCGCCTTTCGGGTGGTAGGGTAAAATGATCATCTGAAACGGCCTCCACATCTATGACCACGGGTTTAGGTTCCTCAACAATTGGCCTAGCACCATCATGCCTTTCTTCCTTTAGTTCAGCTACCGGAGAATCAATTTCCTCGCTAACAAGCATATCTGCTGGCATTGTAGCCACCTGATCTACATATGCACCACTCTCTTGTGTAGAATCCACCTGTCTCTGACCAGGCATACTACCAGATGCTCCAGCGTCCTTGCCAACTGGCATTTCAATGGACGTTCTTTGCTTTCGTAAACTTCTGTAGGAGAAAACGCTGGAGGATACAGAACCAACGTCAGATGTCGTCCTGGGTCTGGTTCCTCTAACATTTTCCCACTCTTCTCCAATATCCACAGAAAGTTGTCGTAGTCCTTTTCCTGTTCTTGAACTATCTGAAAGTTTCGAGGAAGACCGACTGACCCTGTTACTGTAAGGAGATTTAGGATGCCAAGTCGAACGAGAGTGTCCATATCTCTTCATCGTACTGCTGCCGGACATCCGACGTTCTGTATAATTGTCAGCCGCCTGAATTTCTCCCGATACGTTTAATGGAAGTCTATAATCATATTCAGTGAAACTCCGTATATTGCTGTCTGTTCGTATTCGTTCACTCATAGTTCTGGTTCTCCGGTAAAGCGGGTCTCTGTCGTTCTGTTCTACAATAATTTCAAAATGTTGCTGGGTTTCTACAGATTTTTTAGCTTTCATTGTATCGATTGCTGATTGTCTTTTCTTCATTAGGTATTGCTCCGGTTGACTGTAAGATCGGCTCACCGTTGGTCTTGTTGAAGTATAAAATTCGTCTTCGCGGGTGGTCTGTGATCGCCTCCTTTTCGGACCACCAAGCTCGCTGTCCAATAACGCGTACTCACCAAATGTGCTTAATTCAGTAAAATCATTTGTATCGTTAGGTACTTCCTCTGTTAGTTTCAACTTTGTTTTGTTGGAGGATTTTTGCTGAGTCCATGTTAAATGTTTTTCTGTCGTTCTGAAATCCTTCGCGTTTTTCCAGTCATCTGTCTCTTCATCAGTCTGTACATCTTTTAGTGTAGTGTCCGAAGAGGTCTCCGAAAAATCGCCTTTTGTCGGAGTTATCTTTCCATCGTCGCCACTGGAAGTGTCAATTTGTCTGTTAGTAGAGTCGGACTCATAGCTCATACTGGGAATTGGTGACAGACCTCGTGGGTCAAGATTGTTCGTCGTTCGAAACCTATCATTGTAATAATTAACGGATAGATTATTGGTTCGCTGCTGCTGTGCATCGTAAGCTTTAGATTGCTCAAATTGACCCGTTTGGTACACAGAGTAATCTGGATGATTGGAACTATCTGCATCACTGCTCGAAAAATCATCGCCATGATCGCTTAGTGAGTAGTCTGTTTGGGTTTTGTCGGAGTTTGCTGAAGAGTCAGTAGTTGGATCTGAGGATTCTGCGTCTTGCAGACTTTTGACCTCAGTATCGTGGATCATATAATCGGTAATGTTATTTTTGTGTTTTTTAGATTGTTTTTGTTGGACCATGTTAACATTTACATTGACATACACATTAATGTTATCGTCCTGAATCCGTTTCGGGAGTGCCACTTCGTCTGCGCCGATTAGCCCGTGCGGACTCATTGAGCTCTGGCTTGATGGGTAAACATTTGTGGATCCTCTTTTTGAAACGATGGGTTCAACTGTCCATCTAGGTCCATCATCAGGAGAACTAACGGATACTTGAATATCTGGTTGGTTATTTTTGCTCTTTTGTCTTTTAGATCCTGGTTTCGTGTCTAGTGAGCTTTGAGTTACGTCTCTCGAAGGGCCACTTGAAGAACCTTTTTTCTCCGCCAATGAATGTTTTCGCAATCCCTTTACATGGATTGTATTTTCGGTTACTCGAGAGGAAGTGGTTGTATCTTTAGTGAGATGCCCCTTTTCCATAGGTTTACCAACTGAATCATTATCATTTGCGGTATATTCTTTAACCCCCGATGAGATATCTGATGACTCTCCCGAAGAAGCGCCACTATTACCGCGGATATTCCGTCCTCTGTCTGCAGTTTGTTGGATCTCTTTTGAGTTTCGTTGTTTATGTGTGACAACTTGTTTATTTTCGCTAGAAATCACTGGATCATTTAGACTTGTTTGCAGATTTTGGACTGCTTGATCTCTACCTTTTGACTTACGGCTTTCAGTTACCAGTTCCTTACTTTCTGTTTTATTACTCTGAATTTGGTTTTCGTTTGGGATTAACTTTGAGTAATTTGAAGTCTTCGTAATATAAATGTTTCGAATGTGGTGTCCAGTTCCCGGTATATCCTCAAACGACCCACACCGGTTGCGGTTCATTATTGACGAAACCTCAGAACTGCGCGAATTGTCACCAAAATAAGTAATTGATTCTGAGTTTTGATTTGAAATTTTGATATCGGCAATGTGTAGGCTTTTTTCTCTGGATTTAGGAGTAATATCACTGTTTTGTGAATCTACGCGACTTGCCAAAGGCGTTCGTCCCTTCCAAGACTTCACCTTGGGGCTTGGATCATCTGGATCATCATTAGGTAGAAAAACGTCCATTCCTTTAATTGACTGTGGCTCTTTCGTTGCTTCCGGGGTGTTAAAATTAATTAAGCTCTCTTCATGTCGACTTTCTGTTACAAACGAGTCTCCTGTCATCAATAAATCATGAGACTCGGCATAATCGTTCTCATATCTAGCTTTCTTGACATCTCGTTTTACTGAATCTGTAGATGCAAATTCATCGCGATCAAAGCCTCCATTTATGAACGAAAACAAATCTTCCACACGCTGCGAGTCACGCATGTGATTAGGATGTACAAAATCGCCAGTGTGGGCACCGATTGATGAAACACCTTGAGCACCACGAGTTTCACTCGAAACTGCTGGTGCATGTAGATCCGTAAATCTATCTCGAATTTCAGAACTTGGTAGAATAATTTCTGAATATTGTCCAATGGTGGAACGATCTACAGATTCGGAGAACGTTTCCCCAAGACCAGTAACGCCAGAGGAAATGGTATTATTCGGATATGACGCGGTTTCACAAGGAATACTTGGTATGGTTTCTACGACGATTCGACTAGGATTAATTTGAAGAAATGTCTGTGGTGTCAGTATTTCCTGTGATTCTGGCAGGTAGTCTTGGTAACCTGACTTGTCCTCCATCTTGGATCTGTGATATAACCAACCACCTGAAAAGACAATACGTTCCTGTGAAATCATTATCATATTTATGAAACTTAAATTTAAAAAGTGTGTAGCTGAATATAGACAATCATTTTCTTCGGAATATGAGATACCACTTCTCACGTTTGCAATTCACATAAGAAATAAGAGTACATGGAGTCAGCTTTCGGGGGACAAATCGGGCAACGACAGAGCACGTCATTCGGAACGAGGGGGGAGTGGGGCGAATGGTTAGCACATGCGCACTGTATCATAAGGTCTGTCATTGAGTCAACTGGCGTGGTTTCGATTCCCGGTTGTACGTGACAAGGAGTAGGGTCGCCTGTCCAACCTTGTGGGTTTTCTCCGGGTCCCCCGATTTCCTCCCACTGCTAAAGACCCCTACGCGCAAGCGAATTGTTGAAATAGAATTGAACCATGTGTTAGTCCCAAAATTACCTAATTTGTGTCGAATGGACGTTAAAACCCATTTCTCTCTCTCTCTCTGTCATTTTAGAAGAACCAATACCACATTTCATTTAAAGGAGGTAAATCGTTAATATTTGAGACCTAAAAATTGACACAAATGGGTCGCAACGCATATAATAACGCAAAAGGAATGTAAATAAACTGATTTACATTTAATCGTTTCCGTTTTTACTCTAATTTCAAAGCAGTTATGTTCTGCGAAATACGCCAGAAGTCTTAATCCAATGACAATCTCTAGCGTCTGGTTATTCCAGTCTATACCGATAGTATTTATTGCGCATGCTCTCTAGATAAGATCATAAAGCCTGTCATTGAGTCAACTGGCGGGGTTTCGATTCCCCGGTTGTACGTGGCAAGGAGTAGGGTCGCCTGTCCAACCTCGTGGGTTTTCTCCGGGTCCTCCGGTTTCCTCAAATTGCTAAAGACCCCTACGCGCAAGCGAATTATTGAAATAAAAAATTAAAAACCATATGTTAGTCCCGAAATGACCTAGTTTGTGTCGAGTGGACGTTAAACCCCATTTCTCTCTCTCTCTCTAGATAAGAATATGGGGTCACCGTTTCACATGACTTTTGGAATATGTCTAACCTCGTTCTTCGAGTCGCTTGTTACAAATTGCGCTGAAACGCATTATGGTACACGATTCGTGTACCAATCGTAAAATGTTTATTTTGTCTTAAATATTGGATATCAGAAGCCCATCTTTTCCCGGTAAGATCACAACACCAATGTTGATTAAAATTGACAAATAATTCGTGTTTTCATTGTCGAAGGTTTTAGATGATTTTGAATTAGAGACTTAGCTACTTTAACGAATTCATTATGGTTAACATATTTCTCTTCTACTATTGTACTACGCTCCCACCCCGCGCTATCCTGTGATATATTTAGGTGATTAAGACAAACCCCGGAATATCAACATTTAGTCATGTAAATTGACAGAATGTTTTATTTGAATACAAATAGTTAATGTCAAATGTCTCTTGCTTACGTCAACATAAAATAAACACCCATCCTGACTGTTTAAATAGAGCACATTTGTCATCCACCAATATCTGATTAAACCAATATAACATATAACAGGTTGGTCTGAAAGTTATTAACAACATTCTATTATATTGTCTAGTCCCTCCACCCTCCACCCCACACCTATTCTAATTCCGAGAATATCCTGTCAGTGATATCTAATAAAAGATATATTTCATATGAAATCTGACTTTAATTTATCATCAAGTATAACACATAAGTCACAACCCACAATGTACTTTTATAATGTTTTGGGAAAAATTTTATCGTAGGTTTATATCAGAGTCAAGGGATCACTTCTTAAGTTGAATGGAATTTGGGGTGGTGGTGGTGTTTGGGAGGTGCGGGAGGGGGGGGGGGGGGTCTTCGCTTCGATTATTTCATTTTAATGTCATTATTTAATATAAATCTTCTATTTAATTTTTATGTCCCAATTAATGTTTATGTCCTATTTGATTTTTATTTTCTATTAATGTCAATATCATTTTTCATCTTATTGTCCCATTAAATATAATATACTAATTAATATGTGTAAACCAGTGATTGTGTTTCCAAATTGTGCTGTGTGTGTGGTTTTTTTTAGTATGCTCAATCGCTAAAAACCATCCAAGGATTATGTTAATATCCTATGTAATCTTAATAATAACCTATGTAATCTTAATAATAACCATGTAATCTTAATAATAACCTATGTAATCTTAATAATAACCTATGTAATCTTAATATCCCATTAAAGATACATTATGGGAGATTCGATAACGAGTTGGCAATTCTCACTATAATAATGAAAAATTAGATAACGTAAAGGCAATTTGGTGAAAATTTCATTCAAATTGATCCACTATGAACCGAGAACTAAGCGAATGAAATTTCTGCCTAGCCTCGATCATCATTACTAAAGTCAGTACGATAAACAACATAGTCTCGATTATCCATTTAATCGTTTAATCGAGAAGGAAAGTTATGCAGTAAATCGGCTCACAATCCACTTAAGATCGCAGGCTAGCGATGCCATCTAGAGTTGATTATGGTCTGGATAAGTTAATTAATGTCTAATTAATAATTTAGATAATATTTCAGGCCCAAAGAAAGACTTGCAATAGACAGATTTAGCTCTTGCATAATGTATGTTTAAATATAACGTGCTATTCAATGTTAATATCCTATTCAATCAATGTAAGTAACCTAATCATTGTTTGTACTAGTAAGTGTCACATTTAATGTCAGTGATTTTTTTTTTTAAATCTAATAAAATGTTGGTATTCTTTAGAGTTCATATTATTTTCGTATTTCTGAATTTTAACCAAATTTTATTGTTTGACATGTTATATAAAAATCGGTATCTTTGTATGTAAATGATTTTGATTTAGACTGACCCAGATCGATCCTATCCACGGTTATCAGAAAAGTTTTTATTAATAAATTTCCCTTACCACGCATAACGCCCGGCGGCTATAATAAATATGAATAAACAAATATCAATTTGGAAATTATTAATACATTTCGAATATCTACTAGTATATAAAACTGAGAAAGAGAGAGAGAGAGAGAGAGAGAGAGAGATATTTTAAATGTGTTGCTGCATGTCTTCATTGTTAACACTCTTAAGGCATACCTTGCATTACGCATAATACCACTTTTATAAAATTGAAAGTTATACGCCTCTTGGGACACTCGTTCGGATGGTGCTAAAATAGAGGTCTTGTGTACACGTTCACACCCTTGGCAATCGGAATTCCAAATAAGAGTTAGTCGTGGCGCCGCTGTCCAGATAAAATTTCTCTTATAGCCCATTGCATTGCATATTCTCGTCTTCATAATCAGCCCAGTTGGTGCAGTAAAGTAGGACGTTAAATCCCATTTCATTTCATTTGATTTCTACGCCTCTTCGGGAAAAAGCAATAACTCTTTTGGTGAATTTATTACCGCCTATAAAATGTTGAAAAGAAATATAACTAACCGCCCAAACCGTATTCTATCTTTTGATACAGAAAGATTTATTGAAATACTTAAATAGCTTAAATGAAAAATGAAATAAATTATATTTTCCGTCTCAACATAAACTATGTCAAATTGGGAAAACACATAATATTTTACTCAACAGTGAAACAAACATTATGCAAGAGCTAAATCTGCCTATAGCAGGTCTTTCTTTAGGCCTAAAATGTTATCTAAATTATTAATTAGACATTAATTAACTTATCCAGACCATAATCAACTCTGGATGTCATCGCTAGCCTGCGATGTTTATTGGATTGGGTTCCGATTTGATGTTCGACTTCCATTCATAATTTAATCATGAAATGGATAATCGAGACTATGTTGTTTTTTTTTATCGTACTGACTTTAGTAATGATGATCTAGGCTAGGCCGAAAATTTAATCGCTAAAATCTCGGTTCAGAGTGGATCAATTTGACTGAAATTTTCAGCAAATTCCCTTTACATTATCTAGTTTGTAATTATCATAATGAGAACTGTCAGCTATTTATCTAATCTCCCATAATCATAATGTATCTTTAAGGCAATTCCAAAAGCGGTGGGCCAAATCCATGACTTGCACAGGTGACACATCGTTAACATATCAGGGGATGTGGGCACTTTAAAATATTTTGCTTAAACCCAAATCGATATTAGAGAAGTGGATGATCAGTTAATTAAACAAACAACCCCCCCCCCCACAAAAAAAACAACTAAAACAAAACACCATTAAAGCCCAAAAGGGCAAGTTGCCAATTTGTTTAATAGAAAATTATTCATAAAATAAATTAGCTATGAGAACTTGTGAAATAGAAAAAGGTTACTTGTTTTAAATACGCCCTTTTCCAAAACTGGAAAATCACATTCATTTCAAATGCAGTATAAAAAAACTTAGTGAAATTGACAATCACACGGCACTTTTTGCTATAGAAAGGGTAATACTTGTTTATTTCAAAGAAAATCTTATCGCATATGTGACTTTTTGTTTTATAGCCGCCGTACTACCTTTTATGCTCGATATCTCCAGAAAACGTCAAATTCATTCAGTGCGAGTTTATTTATTTATTTTGTTAAAAAAAGAATTATTCTAATTAAAAAGTAATTTATTGTTTAAATAATAAATTCGACCGTGCGTGAAAATCATATTAAAACTACTCACCTTTAATCAATTAAACTCAGGTGAGTTTCCATAGAGTTAGCTCTGTTTCTAAATTATATTCCATTAAACTGCAAGTTGTGACATCATCAGGTGTGGTGTATAAGGTTTTTCATCACAGGTTTGTCTGTTGTATACGTGTATATACTCCACATATTAATTAGTTATTTAGCTACTGGCCTATAGCTACCCAATGACGATTGTTGTAGTCACAGAACACATTGTTTAATCACTCCGTCTAACAAAATGTCATTTAACATACCTTACTGTGTCATTTACGTGTTACCCAGAGGCATATTCTCGCGTGCTAGATTGAACATTCTGAATAAAAAATAAATAAAAAAGAAATTGTTTTAAAAAGAAGCAGGCGAAGTACAAAGAGAAAATGACACAGTACGAAGTTAGCGGTAAGATTATTTATTACGATTTAGATAAATTACTATAAAACTTCAGAGCAATCAATCTATAAGTCAAAATTTAAAGTTCAGGTCGTCACTATAATGAAAGTCGAAATGAAATGGGGTTTAACGTCCTACTGATAATGAAAGTCAACTCGTCAATGGTATCAAGGGAAACAGTCCTTGAATAAGAGCAGGGCCGGTGTTGGGGGCTGACTGGGCTCCAACTTGGGGCCCCAATATTAAAGGGCCCCCTAATTAGTAAAAACAAGCCAATAGTGAGGCTGATGTCCCCCGCCGAAAACCCAAAATAAATAGATGACACATTCATTAATCGCACATTTATTTTTTTTTCAAAAGTATCAAGCAATCAAACTGATTATCAACTATACACTAAGTTTCATCACTCTCTATCAGATAGAATCAAAGTTATATTGTCCCAAAGCATCGAACAATGAAATTGATACTCTGCTTAGCTTTAGCTCGAAATGTTAATCATTGAACTCAGTCAAGACATTCACCTAATGGACATCTGCATCAAGTTTAAACATTATACATCAATTAAAAGAAGAGTTGTTAATGTTCCAATGTCTTGACCAATCAAATTGCTTATCACTCCTTAGCCTAAGCAGAAAATTCCTATCATGGAACTTAATGAAGGTAATGATATAATGAATCTTTACTCGGAGTTTCATCACTCTCACTTAATTATAACCAAAGTTATCGTGCCGAAAGCTTCAACCAATCAGATTGCTTATTTCTGCTTACCGTAAGCAATGTTTATCGTCGAACTCCATCAAGGTATTCACCTAATGAACGCCTACACCAAGTTTGAACATTCTACCTCCATTAGGAGAGTTATTTGTGTTCCAAAGTCTCGACCAATCAAATTGCTTATCGCTCTGCTTACCCTGAGCAGAAAAAAAGCTCATTATCGAACATAGTCAAGGTATTGATGTAATAAAACTATACACCAGATTTCATCACTCTCACTTAATTAGAACTAAAATAATCGTGTACCAAAGCATCAGCCAATCAAATTGCTTATCTCTGCTTACCCTTGACAGAAAATGCTCACCTTCGAACACCATAAAGGCATTGACCTAATAAACACCTGCACCAAGTTTGAAAGTTCTAGCTCAATTAGAAGGAGGGTTATTGTGTTCCAGAGTCTCGGCCAATCAAATTGCTTATCGCTCTGCTTACCCTGAGCAGAAAATGCTCATTATCAAACTTAGTCAAGGTATTGATGTAATGAAACTATACACCAAGTTACATCACTCTCACTTAATTAGAACAAAAGTTTTCATGTCCCAAAGCACCAACCAATCAAATTGCTAATCTCTGCTTACCCTGGGCAGAAAATGCTCATGACCGAACTCCATCAACACATTGACCTAATAAGCAGCTACACCACGTTTGAACATTCTAGCTCAATTAGAAGGCAAGTTATTGTGTCCCAAATGGTGTGACAGACATACAGACACATTTTAATAGTCCCCTGCTTTCTTTAAAAGGCGAGGGACAAAAAAAGTGTATTTCTTTATGTTGTATACATTTGTCCCAAATAAATCTATGTACCATACTGACATACGGATTGTATTTGTGTGACGGTCCAATCCAAGCTTAAAGTAGCTAAGTCTCTAACTCAATATCACCCAAAGTCTTGGACATTGAAAACACGTATAATTTGTCAATTTAAATCAACATTGATGTTGTGATTTTACCTGGAAAAGATGGGCTTCTGATATCCAATATTTAAGACAAAATAAACATTTTACCATTGGTACACGAATCGTGTACCATAATGCGTTTCAGCGCCATTTGTAATAAGGGACTCGCAAAACGAGGCTAGACATATTCCATGTCAAATGGTGGCCCCATATTCTGATCTGGGGAGTATACGCAATAAATAAATCAGGTGTAAACTGGAATAACCAGGCGCTAGAGACTTTTGGAGTATTTCGCCGAACATAACTGATTTGAAATTAGAGTAAAAATGGAAACGATTAAATGTAAATCAGTTTATATAGCGGCATTTAGTTTATATACATTCATATTACATTATTATATGCGTTGCTATCCATTTGTGCCATTTTCTAGGGCCCAAATATTAGCGATTTAGCTCCTTTAATCTGGCCAGGAGTACGAGTATGATGGAACAAATACATCTGCAGTGAAAGCTATACACACCAACAATACCACACAATAATAACCACAGAGCGTTTAAGAAGAGTGAACTACATTATAGTTTTAAATATCCTAGTTTTTGGCAAGTTCCCAACAAACCAAGATTTCAAAAGATCGGATGATATAATTTTTGTCACCAGAGGGCTCACAATATCGTCAAAAGTGATCAAGGGCAATAACTCATGAAATTAGGAGAAATGGCTGACATTCTATAAATTTCTTCACTTCATTAACGTAAACATCAAAAGATAATACAACTTTGGTGGAAGCGGACATTAAACCCTGAACTTATGCCATTTGGTAAAACAAATGCCCCCTGTAGTTTCACTGGATATGACTAGACTAGTGAATAAAAAATATGCTAAATACAAATTTGATGACATTAAAACACTGCTATTTTAATGATGAATAATTTATTTACTGTCTTACAATTAAGTGACATGATTTAAAAAAAAAAAGGGTTATCTTGATGATATGCCATAAATAGTTCACATAATATATACACCACTAACATATTAATTTGTTCTCAGTAAAACTCATCTTGTGTATTCTTAACAATGTCTTACCTCCCGTTTTACAGTTGTCATATGATTATCATATTACAATGTCAGATAAAGCAATTGCCAATTAAATTTAATGAATTATATATATAAAAAAAAAACATTTAAGAAAGGGTAATATTATTAGAATATGATTGCTTTAAGCAGAACTGGATTTAGTTGACAAGAGGTCATATGCTATTCTACTATATAATGAGACCCATCCTAATCCCGTAATACTTACAGAAGATGAAAATGGGTTTAATACACAATGTAACAAAACCGAGGACGATGGCGGATGTTAATTAAGATTACATTATGTGTAAGAAAGGCTTATGACAGTGTCAAAATAGTATAAACTTCGACCGGAGTACCCCTAGATCTTGAGGTCCCAGTGCTTCCACCTACCAAGCCAAAGGGTAAACCCGGCAATGTCCTTAAAGTATGTTTAACAACTGTACCAAATCTGAAGTACTTGTAAGAAGAATTATTACTAAGAAGTAAGTAAAGCTGGTAGTGACATATTCAATAGAACAAGAAAATCCATCATACTATCACATTTAACCACAGTAAATTGTAATTTAGTAATTGAACTGTGAGTATACAGGTCACAATTCTATGGAATACAATTACTGCTTATTACTGAGCGACTTCGACTAGGCTTCTAGACTTGATAATGACTACAGCAGCCTAGTGGAAACGTCGCTCAGTAATAAGCACTAATTGTATTCCACAGAATTGTGACCTGTATTAACCAGAGTAAATGTTTGTATGGAATGTTAAGATTTAAAAAGAAAGTGGGTAACCCATTACTCTAGATTTATTTAATTTACATCTAGTTTAAAGCGTCACATTTCATTCCTGTTCATTTACAAACATTTGGGGAAAAATAACATACATAAGGAACCGTCGCAAAATTTCAGCACTTGGGTCTCAACGGATAACCCATGGAAAAATCTCGATCGATCACCTCACATTCCCTTCTTCTGTTGAAACAGATCCGAGTTTAAAACAAAATAACTGACATTTAATTTTTCATTTTCTCCCACGTGTTATTCTTTTGGAAGCAAGTGTTGAAATTGTGCGACGATCCCTACAAGTTTAATTAATAACTAATCCATTAAGGTTGTATTAACGAATAAAATGTCATACTGTACACTAATTGCGTAATATATTTCACATTCAATACTATATGTACAATTACATGTTCTTACATTTACATATAAACAACAAGCTTGGCATAAAATACAGATCATTTTATACAGTTCAGGGGGAAACTGTCATCACAGGTAATCCATCACATTATACATGCTCCTCACAGAGAATGCTCACTAGTCCGCGGGTTGAGTAGTCCACCAATATCTATTATTAGGGTTAGGGTTGGGTTATAGGGTTAGGTTTATTGATACCCATATTTATAGTATTTCTTACAGCGGCGTACTAGTGCACCCACGGACTATTGAACCCCCCTCCTCCTCACAGTGTTTTATTTGAAAAAAATGGAATCCGTGCAATGTGAAAAATGTTCATATTGCCGCTTTTGTACAACCATCTTATTTTTTACCTTGTGGTGCTAACTGGTATCCCACAGGGTCTAAGACTAAGTACCAACAGTGTTCACTATTCTCTCCTGGACAGTTTATTTGAAATCATATTTCTCAGTGGTTTTAGAACTGAACTGTATAAAACATGACATGGACATTCTTTGGAACATAAAGCATTAAAATAGGCCCATATGGGCCATTAAGCTTTCAAGTGCTATTAAATTGCTTTGACATTCATAACGGGAATCAGCCATTCATGACCACAACTTGATGAAGCTAGCTGGGGAGAGACAGAGAGAAATGGGTTTTAATGTCCACTTGACACAAACCAGGTCATTTTGGGACTAACATATGGTTTAATTTTATTTAAATAATTCGCTTGCACGTAGGGGTCTTTAGCAGTGGGAGGAAACTGGAGGAAACGGAGAAAACTAACGAGGTTGGACAGGCGACCATACAGTTGACTCAATGACAGACGTTTTGATACAGCGCACAGGTGCTAACCATTTGGCCATCCAACCCCCCAAAGCTAGCTGGAAACCATGGGGTTATTAATAGTTATATAGTAAATAATTTTCACAGCTGTTGATAGTTTAATTCAACATGGAAAGTGAAAAGATGACTTAAAATTACCACATCATTTGTAATCGTAGATAAATTTAACTATATTTGTTGTTGTGTAAGGTTAAATTCTTTTAATTTGACGGACAGGTATATATGTTCTGCAGTCGGTTAATTACACTGTCAGTCAGTCAAACAAGAATTGTGCTTTTATTACCGTACATAAACCACAAATATTAATCAATATACATATATACCATAATGCTTTACAGTCATAATAATAATAATAATATAATTACACATGTCCCTACTAATAAACATAATAATAACAATAACAACAAACAAAATAAATATACTGTAACAATTAGCATAATATTATCAATCCATTCTCTGTACTTTTACTCTTCACTTAATTGGCAAGATCATTAACTTATTACTGGTAAATTTTGATGGTAATGGTCCATCTCTTTCCATATACTCACATTGACAAACCTATTGTACAAAGCTTGTACTTAGGACTTCGATTATACAAAACCTTCTGTTTAGGACTTAGATTATACAAAACCTTGTATAGCAATCACCAAAGAAATAATATCTCCATGGACACACCATTGCACAAACAGCCCACAGTTACAGCATTCGCTGCAATAACTGATCAGTGCAATAATATGTTATATATTTTACAATCATGCACATGTTTGAGCTTTCACAGTGGTGATCTCCACATATTGTAGCCTTGATTATCAAAGATGGACTACAAGAGATCCAATGGACTATTTTGCAATGCGGAAGACTTTCAAGGTGAACAGTCTGATTTTTTTCACAATTTTTTTTTACCAATCAAACGCTTTATTGATGATATCTACAAATAAAGGCCCTGCATGATGTCCAAGGTGGTGGTCACAGAAATTCCAAAGGAATCCTGAGTGATAGTAGAAGAGAATAACAAGCCATATAATATTTTTGGCGATACTAAATATATATATATATATATATATATAATACATTGATCTTAGTAAATTCCTGTACATTTATGATACAATATTAAAAAAAAAAAAAAAATCATTACAATGTCATATTTCCAGAATATCAATGTAAATGATAATAAAGATATTAGGTTTAGAAATTAAGCATGGATGCTTTAAAATGATATTAAAAAATGTAATAAACCAGAAAAAAAAATACAAAAGTTAAACATTTCATGCAATCATTAATAGTGGTTTAAATTCATTTTTAAGTTTATTGATAATCAAATTAGAGTCGTATGACAATTTAAGTTTATCATTGAGATCAATTTGAAAAAGACTAAATCTAATACTGGTATTAATAATCTTGGAAAGCAATACAACAGTTCAAAAGATTTTTTTGTAGCTGTATGACCTTTCTAGAGAGAGAGAGAGCGAGAAATAGAGTGTAACGTCCACTTGATACAAACTAGGTCATTTCGGGACAAACATATGGTTCAATTTTATTTCAATAATTCGCTTGCGTGTAGGGATCTTTAGCAGTGGGATGAAACCGGAGGATCCAGGAAAAACCCATGAGGTTTGACAGGTAATCCTAATCCTTGTCACTACAAGTGGGGAATCGAAACCATGCCACCTGACTCAATGACAGACCTTATGAAATTGTATTGGTTTAAGGAATTCTACAAAGGATTTAGTTAGCTGCATGACCTTTCTAATACATGATATCGCATCATTTTAATGAATTCTACAAAGGAATTTGGTAGCTTTCTAGTACATTATATCAAACTGTTTTAAGGATTCTATGATGCGATATCTAAATGTGTGAAATATTCTTATAAACATACAGCACATGTATGTCACTGCCATTACAAAGCAATATTCCAAAAATTTGATGAGCCCACTTCATGAATTTAATTCAAACATGACATGTTGTTTAAAGCCAGGTTTATCCGATAATTAGAATATTTATTACGCTTCAAACGCCAATATATGAAATGAAATGAGGCTTAACTTCCTACTGTTCTGTTCCGACTGGGCTAATGAAGATTGACATATGCCATACAGTGTGTTATGGGGGAAATTTTGTCGTGATAGCGCCACTATATATGAAAGACAAGAATCAAATGCATGATCAGCTAGTTACTACATAAACAATACAATAGTAAAAGACACCACATTTTACAATTCAAAGAAATGAATCGATATACTTACGGCATCTAATTGTGAACAGTAAAAATGTAAACACTAGGTAAAAATGGTTTAAGTTTTTATAATAAGTGAAATGTCTGGGTGTATCAGGATGAAACTGAGGAATTAGTCGTCGATCGAATGTGTTTTTTTTATTTATGCTTATTATCATTATGATGAAAGTGAACTTAAGAGCGTTTGATACGGAGTGTCTGATTGGACCACAGCTTGGAATGTTGATATAAAAGCTCTTTTTTGGGAGTCTTCTGTTAATTGTCGATAAAAATCTATGGCTGAGAGACAAAAGAGACGTTTATCTACCACCTCCATCTTGCCCATGCGTTCTATAACATGTGGAAATCTACAATAATGTTAAGGTGAATAGTTCATTGGTGTGCAAATTGATCATATAAGTTTCAGAATGAACGTAACGCACTCTTGACCAAATTCAATCAATTGTATAGAACATTTTTCAATTTAGATAGTTTAAATGATTCTATTTTTGCCTGGGACTAAGGGGACGAGTTGAGTGAGAGCACATTAAGAAATTGCAACATGGCCTGTTCCTATTTCAATTTGCAAATGTGAGGAGATTTAACTATGCTGCAACCTTATCCAAACGAATATACATTTTTCTTGACAAGCACTCTGTTCTAAGAAGGGGGCATCAGGTTTGAAAATTCTGAGCAACTTTCTTGGACAACACCAGAATAAAACCTGGGACCCCCTGGTTACTCACAGAGCCACTGTGGCGCCAGCAGAAGACAATAATATTGACACTTCTGTGATCCCTGCACATGGGGGTGATCATGCCAATTTCCCTATATCTTTAGAACCTTTTCTTGTTTATCAAAGATTACTGATTAAAAGGATACAAAGCTTTAAGCCATGGATTTGTTGAAGCACTGATAAAGAAAGCAGTTAGACTCCATATCGCCATGGCAATAGGTGATCTCTGGGTAAAATTTGATAAAGACAGCATCACCCAGTCTCGCACTAATTTCTGTTGATTCTGTAGGTGAAGATTATTAAAAACCTAGAAATAAAAAGTTCCACAATTGAAAGATTACAAGTATATGTTGCAAACTATACATGTATAGGATAGATGTGACCAGTCGAAATAGGGTTTATCTGTTGCAATGATGTTACAATGTGATCTGTTTGGAGGAATTTGCCAAAATACAACAGTAAGCATTACTTAAAACTTTTTGAGCAATAATAAATGAATTGTAATATATTGGATGTTCCTCCATAGTCTGTTTTGGGGTAAATAAAAACATAGAATAGTGAAAATGTTTACAATTCAATTGTCATTACTCAAGGATTCTGATATCAACCCTCTGAATATATAAAAAAAAAATTCTCACAAGAAAAAAAGAGATCATTCATACCTGAAAGACAACTTTGGCTATTAACTGAGGATATGGCTGCTGACTGGAGAGGAATTCCCCAATAACCTTATTCATTATATCTTGTGGTGGGAAAAAATCCGAGAGAAATGCTGGTAGAAGACGAGTAATAACACGAGCCTCGTAAGGATAACCTTTCTTTATTCTAAAATACACAAATTCATGGTCAATCATTAAAGTGCAATGGATGCACCCCTGGGAATAAAAATGTATTAAAAATATAAAATAAAACACTGAAAAAGTCAAGGGAGAAATGAGGTTTAACATCCACTTGATAAAACAAGGTCATTTCAACACTAATGAGTGGTTCAATTATATTTTAATACTTTGCGTGTAGGTCTTCAGCAGTGGGAGGAATCAGATAAAACCGTCAAGGTTGACCAGACAACCATACTCAATTACAGAACTTATGGTCTAAAGCACACTTGTAAGACCACTCGACCCCCACAAGAAAGGTTGTGCCTCACAAAGTTCAAAAATGAATGGATGGGATTTTTATAATTCAATTCGTTTTGTGCATTTGAAATATAGTGGGTATAAATATAAAGTTGAACAATCCTTTTTAAAAATATATAAATAATGTACATGTAAGTAATAGATGCCTAATTCATATAGAATATGAATGATTTTAATTGAATATAAATCATATGTGCTTGGCAATGACAAGAGGATACTAGTCGAAAGGTGGTGCTTATATAATAAAACAAGTGTTCTAGGTGATTGTATTAAACCTATTGTATTTAAATCTAATATTACCTGTCAAAAAGAACCGTAACTCTTTCCATAGCTAGAATCAGAGACTCAGAATCTTGACAAATCATATCAAGAGCCTCATCAGAAAATGATGGCTGCGTTTCTCGTGGTCTAGGACTATAGCCATCTAAACTTTTTCCTGGGATAACAAAAAAAATACTTTCAATATCAAACAATAAAACTATTTTGGTTTTATCAGGACAAGAATCCATGATGTGTGAATGACTAAAACGTTGGCCTGCTAACCTGGAGGTCTCGTGTCAGATCCCTGTGATGACTGAGAAAGTTCATCAGGTTCCGTCTTGTCAGTGGTGTAGGACGGAGAGTCTGGTTTGGGTTAGAGACAATGTACAGTCGTTTGGCTGGGATGAAAAACTGAGGTCCTGTGCAGGCCAATGTATACCAACTGTCAAGGGTGCTTTCCCATGTACGCAAATGTATACACATGACCTCAGAATCCATGCAAATTATGTATAAATAAAGGAAAATATGTCCAGTTAAAAATATGAACAACTTTACTTCATTCTCACATAAAATCATAAGCTAGCTCTTTGCTTTATATTGAGACTCATCAGATGTTATAATGTATAACCAACGTACCTGAATACATACATGTAAACATTAGACCTAAAGCTGCTAACGCCCTCTGGGGACTAGGAAGACATAACCTACAACAAGCAAAGATACAGTGAATTGTTTCTAATAATGAGGTTATATTCAATTGTTTCTAATAATGAGGTTATATTCAATTGTTTCTAATGATGAGGTTATATTCAATTGTTTCTAATAATGAGGTTATATTCAATTGTTTCTAATGATGAGGTTATATTAAAATGTTTCTAATAATGAGGTTATATTCAATTGTAATGTTTCTAATAATGAGGTTATATTCAATTTGGCCAGAGAGAGGGTAATATCACTTAACGCAAATAAGTCATTTTGGGACTAACATATGGTCTGATTTTATTTCAATAAATTGCTTGCACATAGTGGTATCTAGCAGTGGGAGGAAACCGAAGGACCAGGAGAAAAGTCACAAGGTTGGACAGTTTCGTAAGTGAAAAATTTGGTTGCAGTGACGCTAAACTGGGAAACAAGAAAATCACTGAGATCATGCAAGTGACGCCAATACTCCTAGCAATCACTCACTGAATTAAAATTATAAAGACGACTGACCTATGTAATAAATCACAGGGCTAGACTTTAGTCTATTTGTCATACTTTGAAAGACAGTACTGCTAGTCAAGATTCAATGATTCATAAATGAAGAAGCAACGACTACAATATCTTTTATGCATACCTATCTAAACTAAGTTTAATTATTGTTTCATATTCTGATTTCGATAAAACATCAGCTAACAATAATCTCTCTAGACCTTTCATCAAAGTTATAAATACTGATGTTGATATACTGTCTTCACTACATGATGCTGTATTCACCACCAACTAAAAAAACAAGACAGTATAAATATGATAATTTAAAGTATAAATATAATAATATAAAGTATAAATATAATAATATAAAGTATAAATATGATAATTCAAAGTATAAATATAATAATTTAAAGTATAAATATAATAATTTAAAGTATAAGTATGTAAATCAATGTGTTAATGTGATGAAATGAAATGAAATGAAATGGAGTTTAACGTCCTACTGTTCTGCTCCTAACCTGGGCTAATGAAGACGGGCATACGCCATACAGTGTGCTATGAGGGAAATTTTGCCCGGACAGCGGCACTACGGCCTACTCTTATATCGAATTCCAACTGCCAAGGGATCTTTTACGTGCACGCCAATGTGTACACGGGACCTCGGTTTTTCGTCCCATCCGAACGACTAGACAGCTTTCCTTGTCAGCCCCTCCGTCCTGCATCACTGACAAGGGAGAACCACGCCGGAAAATCTGGATGAACTTTCTCGGCCAATGCAGGGATCGAACACCCGACCTCCAGGCTAGCGAGCTAGCGTCTTACCCACTTAGCCACGTGATCCCCTGTTAATGTGATACTTAAAAGTATAAATGTGATAAATAAAAGTATACAAAGTATAAGTATGATAATTTAAAGTATAAATATGATAATTCAAAGTATAAATATGATAATTTAAAGTATAATGAATAAAGTTTAAATGAATGTGTTAATGTGATATATAAAAGTATAAATGTGATATATAAAAGTATAAAAAAGTATAAATATGATAATTTAAAGTATAAGTATGATAATTTAAATTATACATATGATAATTTAAAGTATAAATATGATAATTTAAGGTATAAATATGAAAATTTAAAGTGTAATTAATAAAGTGTAAATGAATGTGTTAATGTCATAATTAAAGTATAAATGTGATAACTATAAATGTGGTAAGTAAGTATAAATGTGACAAATGAAAAACATTTTGTAGAAGACTGTAAAATCAATAAGTATTTCTGTAATTTCAGATATTAATATGTATTTCATACAGGCAAAAGCAGTTGCAAGTATGGTCATTACTTAAAATGTTACACTTTAATAAGAGAGGCACAAGAGCTTTGGAAATTTTTGCAAGTTTTTTTAAAAATAGTTTCACTAGACACGATTTGACTGTACAGTAATATCCAGATCTTCAAATTAGATTTTCGGTAAAATATCAGAGAAAAGTGGCACTGGCAAACAATCGCTGAAAGACAGATGGTTTAACTTTCAACACATTTTTTAAAGAAGTAAAGAAAACGTAATCTAAGTAGATCAGTGCTCGATTTTTTTCAATAAATATTAGTTTATAAGGTTATTTTAATTTTATTGATTATCATGATGAAAGTGATGAAACTCCTTGAAAGGTGTTACGTTCTTGTGCAAACAGCTCAAGTGATAGAAGCTTATCTAACAAAAGATGGGTAATGGACTTTAAAAAATACAAATAAAAATTAACCTGCATTATTTTAGATGGGAAATCCCCATCTTTAATATCCTCATGATAATTCTCCATCACATAAAAAGCTGTAGACCACATAGTTAAAGAGAACTGATCACTGGTTATATATGCCCTGAAATATACCAAACAGTAACTTCAAGAGAGGGAGATGTAAAATTCATAAAACAAATATGATGTTGGAAAATACACAAACATGTCTGAATATGGTCACTTTTGATAGTTTTTTTTTCTAAATATTAAAATTTATAGAGCAATTTAATATTTGGTCATTATTTATGTACTATAAAAATTCACAACTTTATTTGGTTATCTTTATTATAATATTTCAGTTTTAACATGCTAGGCTTTGCAAAGGGCAGTATAGGCTCATCATTTACAGAACACCTGGTACCACTTTCCATCAATGGCAATTTCTTCGTGGCTAGAACACTTGACTGCTTTTTGACTATTGGTGGTTGGGTGGCCTAATGGTTTAACGCATGTGCTTTAGATCATGTGACACGGAGTAGGGTCATCTGTGCAACCTTTCTCTAGGTTCATCCCACTCCTAAAGACCCCTACATGCAAGTGAATTATTGAAGTAAAATTGAATCATGTTAGTTCCAAAATGACCTGGTTTGTGTTGTGTGGACGTTAAGCTCATTTCTCTTTTTCTCTCTCATTTTGACTACTATTTATGATAGAATATATTTGACCAAGAGAAAATATATTTTAGAGACTTTTTTTTATTTTTACAAACAATATTTTAGAGACTTACGATGTAACTGCTGAGAGATGTTTTATAAGGAAATCTGTAATAAGTGGTAGTAACGATTTAGTTAATTCAGAAGTACTTGTTTCTAGTATATATAATATTCCATGTAGAGATGATATTTTACTAGGTAGATGTGTTGTACGTAATCCAGCATCAACTATTTTTATTAATCGCTCAGCTGTTGCAGAATCCTGAAAAAATACATTTATAATTTAACAAGTAATTTTTGGGATGTCAACTATTATTAAGACTTGTTAAATATTTGTTTATTTTGAGAAATACAAAATAATTTTTGCTCAGTGATTGTACTTTTGATATAATTTGTTTTCTTGTTGAAAGTTTTAGCAACTGTGTCCAAATTTCCCCCACAGAGTATTAAGGTGTAGTTTAAATACAGGACACATATTTTCAGGAATTCAACGCACATCTTATACCAATAATAACTTACCACACCAATAACTGCAGCTGCTTTACAAATACCAACTATTAGATACTGTAACAATATCTCATCTTCAGCAGGATGGACTTTATATAAATCTAAAAATGTATCTAACATCATCTCAAACTGTTCTCTCTCCATAAATAAATCAGATAAGCTTAACATCTGTAATAATACAAAATAAAATAACTTTCTTACAAGGGCTACAGAGTTATGCCAGAACCGAATTTCACAATATTAAGGAGGTTATATGCATAAACCGTTATCAAATAACAGTATCTAATCTTATAATAAAGAAAATAGTTCACATCTATTTAAAATATGATGAGTGATGTTGGAACAGTATATGCTATGTCATGATAGACCATAATCTATAACCACAAGTTCTCACAAAAACTGCATAAACCGTTATCAAATAACAGTATCTAATCTTATAATAAAGAAAATAGTTCACATCTATTTAAAATATGATGAGTGATGTTGGAACAGTATATGCTATGTCATGATAGACCATAATCTATAACAACAAGTTCTCACAAAAACTGATACCCTATGTCATGATAGACTATGAATAAATAACGGTTAAACCTATATGTATATTTATAAGTTCTCACAAAGACATATTTACTTTCTCATCATGCCATTCTTCTGAGGGCTATTTACTAAAGTTTAGTGATTGGTGATAAGTATCAGTAAAATTAACTTTAAAGGTTTTTTATACTATACTTACAGATTTGACTACGGCATTGAGTAACATTAATGGTGGTTTGGAACCTGTTTCTGGAGATAACCAAGGACCATATAATTCTGATAAAAACTGTAAACAGGAATTAATATCCAAACCATTGACAGACACAGAGCGATCTTTATTTTCTAAGGCTATTAGAGGAATCTGAGGTTTTTTCTTGTCATGTTGCGGACTTTCTGTAGAATCTGTTGTATCACTTTCAGAATGTGTTGTTTCTAAACATCCTACCACTGACCAGATGCCCTCTAATGAAATCTGAACAAAAATATAAATAAATATTTAACAACAAAGAATAATAATTGTTTAAAGATACAAAAACTGTTACAATAAAATACATAAAACTGATTTTACTCAGCCTTATACAAGGACAACTGTTGGCGGGACAACAGCGGCGGACAAGTGCTTGCAAGGACAACTGCCGGCTGGACAATTCTTACACGTATAGATACACGTTAGGGCTTATTCATCATTTAATAAACTATACTAAAATTCTTTTTAAAAAAAAGTGTCTGGCAATTGTCTTGCCTGTAGCTGTCCTCACAAGCAATTGTTCAGCCAGCAGTTGCCCCGTTGGCAGTTGTCCTGGATCCCCCTATGACATAATCAGGAAAATTTATCAAACAGAATAATTTAACAACATTTGTGTTTTGAATGGATGTTTGAAATCCAGTTGAACAAAATTAAAGTGATGATCGATGAATATTTTTATATATTGTTACCTGTCCAAGACTAAAATTTTCTGATCCAACTTTACGTTCCAGATTATCTTCAAAGAGTTCGGAACTATATGAATCTAGACGTCTTGTGGAGCGACTGTTGGAGTGATGAGTTTGTCGATCTGATTTATTGGAACAAAGATTACATATTTCTTGCTCAATTAAACCACGAATGATCACCAACTTCTTACCACATCTAGATAATTTACAAACATAAACATTTGAATACAAACAACTTACAGTATTTATGTATGTTAACTGGGGTCATGGTAAGGGGACTGAACTTTCGACTAGAATGTCTCAGGATTTTTCAAGCGTGATTTCCACTTGTCAGTGATAGATGTTGACAGTAGTTTAATAATAATAATAGTGCACTTCTAACATGCTAAACTCAATACACTAAGTATATGCTCATAACGCTACAAAAAGTCTAATGACATTATGGTTTGTGTGCTAAAGTTTTTATGTCTCATCTTATTCTTTAAACACTTGTGTTTTGCATAAACCTGTGAATTGCAATAAGGTTTGTGCATCTTTAACATCTGATGGTAGTTTATTCTGAGATGTTGCCGAGTTATACTTTTGGGACACAAACTAAGTTTTGGTTAGCTGATCGTGTGTTCGGCTAGGATGATATTTTGAAACAAAGTCTGATAGATAACTTGGTGTGGTTTGATGATAACACTGATAAGTGAGTGGGAGCCAGTGAAGTTATCTAAGAAATGCAGTTATATGTGCAGACTTTCTAGTCATAATTCTCGCAGTCTGTTGATTTTTATTTAGGCAAATTACAGTTACAGTTTGAATGGTATTTAAACCTGAAACACACCCATGTATGTAACACATCTCTTTACAGCTCTAATTCAATGAAGAGACAGCAGAAATGCCACTACCATTGTACATGTGGCCATAGGAAAAATTTAACATTATTTTATTCTCAAAATGACTGAAGTATTGTATTGATGACACATTAAACTTCATTCCTTTTCTTTCCTGTGGTAATTTTTCTGTTGACTTCTAGCCCTGTAGAATTGTGCTTGGATGGAAATAGGATGAAAATATTTCAATTGTCGTATACAGTAGAGATTCAAATGTTAGATCAAAGACTCCATTTGCATGAAACTGGGAAAGGCAGAGATATAGTGGTTAGGTCTGTTTTCAAAAGTTGCATAGCTATATTCCTACCCACAGATTAATCAATGTATGAACTTTCTTTAAATTCTTTATTCCTTCAACCTTAAAGATGCATTATGTAATAGCTAAATCTGTCTATTACAGGTCTTTTTTCGGGCTGCAAATGTTATATATAAACTATTATCTAGAATTTTATTAACATAAGCCCATAATCAACTTTGTAGGAAATTGGATGGTAGAAATCTAAAGGAATTAGAATACCTGCAAGATTTAAAGACTTAACGATAAAATGGATAATCAAGACTTAGCGCATGAAAACTAGAATATTTACCTAGTATGTAAAAATGCAAGTGGTTTATCTCTAGGACGGATCTCATAGACACTGTTACCAGGGTTACCAGCTTGTGGTATTAACGTTGATTGTAATAATAGTGATGTAATAGCTTTCACAGCAATAACCATTCCTTGACTTCTTTCAATTTCCTCCTGAAAATATAGGTAGAATTATTTCTCAACGACCAAAATCTCAGACAAAAATAAAGTAGTCTTGGTAAAATGCTTATCAAAATTAATGGGAAGAGCTGCATCATACTATGAATCACAATCCGTGTAGCAGGCTACTATCAAATAATTCTATCATTGATATGTTACCAGGAACACCGATCATCATCTTATTAATTAGGTTGCTCACTTCTTGCTCTATGGTCAAGGATACACTCCCATAAAAGTATTATCAGGTAGTTATTTCCAATAAAACGGAGCATAACAGTAGGATGTTAAACCCCATTATTGCAAATTTTGGTATATATGGAGAGTAGAGAGCCCCAATCGTACCAACAAAATACTGGATTATCTGAAAAACACCCACTGGGTGCGCACAAGATAAAATTGTAAAGGTATCCTTAAAAACAAGACTGTCTCCTCCAGTGACACAAGGAACTCTTCTTAAGAGGGATCAGACAGATTACTCCATTATAGCCTACATGTCTTACTTGCTCTCAAATTTGACAACTGGTCCAGACTGCCATGTATGACTGAGCTGGAACCCATTTAACAATTAGGACACATTTAACACATTGATTTCATGCTCATTCTTTTCATAGTATTCACTGTACTGACATAACTTTAGACTTAAATAATTTTACTCTCTTTTTTTGTTTAAACTCATATAAGATATAAATAAATCAGGTAAGCTTACCTCAGGAGAGAGCTGATTAGTATCTGTCAATGACACTGGATTTAAAACACCCAATAAACTCATCCATGTTTCTTCAAACTGGTGGCGACTCACCCAACCTATAAAAAGAAATATATATCAGATTACTACAAAATCATTGATTATATCAGAATTAGCCTGACAAATATATAACTATGGAGAAATTAATAAAAGCATAAGGATACATTAATAGCTTTGCACCCATATCAGCATGTTGCAGGGACCTTATAACTTAAAAGAAAAGGCTATAAAGTAAAGTTCTTGCTAACCAATATTCAGAGATTACTGAATTGATTTACTTTAGTTAAACTTTAAAATTCATTAGACTTTGAGTGTGATCTGATTTTAGCGAAATATATAAGAAAACTCACATTATTGTTCTAAACAGACATATATCATATGGATACTATACTGAGACCGAAGTGATAATTCTAGTACATACAGATGCTTATATCATGATCAAATATTTTACAGTTTTGTTACAGAAGATGACAATACACTTACCCTTGGAATTATTTAGAATTGCCTTTCTGGTTATTTTAAACTGGATGTCGAGATTATTTACCTTTTAAAATGATGGTACTACTCACCTAGGGTATTTATCCTAAACACAAACTCTTCCAGAACATCTTTCTCTTGTAGAAAATCTACTGGCAGTGGAGGCAATTGGGTTTTAAGGTTTCCTGTTGGTGAAGGCGACCATCCCAATTTCCATACCAGAGGTGGAACTCTGGCATAGGAATTTACTAATGGCAATCTGGCTAACCCTGGTAACATATCACAAAATTGAAATGATCAAAATTCAAAAATATTTTTAATTGTACATCAAAACCATCAAGTTAACAAAAGCTGTTAAATATCAAATCATGGCAATTTCACTTTTGGTACTAAGCCTATTGGCAAGAATTGAACTGAACGGAATGGGGTTTTATATCTTGTCAAAGGAATACATCAGTCATTTCGAGACTGACATAAGCCAAATTACTTTTCTATGGAAGGGGGGAAATTTTAACCACATAGCAGTGTCTCTACCTACTGTTCTTTGACTTCCATCTGCCAAGTATTCTTTTACGTGCATGCCAATATATACTAGCCACTAGGCACATTTTCCTTTTCAATCCGACAAGTGAGAACTGGGCTGAAAGATCCTAAAGGTATTCTCTGACAATCTGAGACATTCAGCTTCCACAGTCCTTGGTAAAAAAAAAACCTGGTCGGAAAGTCGGGGGCGGCTTTGGAAACATACACGGAAATTTGATCTTTGGGGTATATTCTATGCCCGGAATAACTTGCGGTCTGAAAGTTGGGGGCGGCTTTGAATACATACACTGAAATTTGGGGTTATTATTCTGAAAGTTTTTCTTTAAACCTGTACCGGGTTATTCTTCCAGGGTAGATTTTTTTCCATAAGAAAACATATAAGGTTTTTCTAACGGGAATTCTGGGAAATTCTCATCTTGCTTAAATGTAAACATTGACGGTTTATAAGCAAGATAAAGTCCTCGACTTCGGTTATGCTGGGGAAGAAAGACCTCAGAAAAAACCCTTGGCAGAAAAAACTCGCCCTGCCGGCTTCGGTTTTTCTTTTTCTCAGGTTATTTTCTTCAGTCTTTCTTTCCCCAGCATAACCTCAGTCTCATGCTTTATCCTACACATAACGCATGAATATAAATTCCTACCTGTTACAATGTTTCTGATTGGTGAAGCAAGGAATGGTGGTAGTTTCTGGGTTTCTGTTGATTTTGGTCGTAATCTAGTTTTCAAACACTGAAGTAATTCTGAGATTTGATCACATGATGTAATAAGGTGTATCGATTCTAGAAAAAAAAATGGCAACATAATAATTCAACGGGATTTATTTATAATACTATTCATAATATAGCCCAACACCTTGATTACACCTGCCATACAATAAAATTCACCTTTATATAGAACAGTACTGTAGTAAGCAGCATGACAGCTGACACATATGAAATATCAAATATCAAATATGAATATATTTCATGCTTTAGCACCATCTGGTGTCTTTATAAGCCAACTGCTAGTTGAATAAATGCTGTTACACAATTATATAAATAAAAGCATAATATCTATTTGATGAAATAACACACTATTTATGGAATAACAATTACTATGGTCTATTACACTGTTACACTGCAATGTTTCAACAAGATTTCACAAGTCGTTATCAAGTATATATAACCACAAGCAAATAAAAGGAGATTTATTTGTGTTAATAAGCTTGATATTTATTTGTGTTAATAAGCTTGAAATTTATTTGTGCTAATAAGCTTGAAATTAATTTGTGCTCATACACTTGATAAAGCTTTGTGTAATCTTGTTGAAACATTGCAGCGTAATAACCCATAGTAATTGTTCACCATAAAATTTGATTATGTTCCTATTACTAATTTATAAATGCCTGTTAGAATGTAATAAATCCTCTTACCATCATCTTCACTTTCCTCATGTCTGTCTTTATGTGGTAAAACATAAACTTTTTCACCAGGTAATACCACCACTAAAATATAAAAATAAATAACAATAAGACCATATTCTTCTTGTCTATTACATCATAATCAGACACATTATGTATGAAAATAGTTATATTTGTTTATTTCTCCTTTACTACATCAAATGTTTTTTTGTCCTTGTATATTACATCATAATCAGGCACATTATGTTTAATAATAATAATAATAATAAATTTGATACAGGGTATCGTTTTTGTGTCACTGCTGAACTTGAACTATCTTATGTGTGATTAAGGATGTATTATACTATCAAAAATATATGGCTAAAAAATCCCATGGATTCTTCTCAGTTACACAATCAATATTTTGTATTCCACAATAAAACTACTTACATGAAATACACAGAACAAAATTTATGGAATACAGTTCCTGTTTATTATTTGAATAGGGTTCTCTAATTTTTATCAGGCAACAATAAAGACCAGTGAATCCTAGCCCAAACATTTCTCAGTATAAAATAGTAATAATATTCCATAAAATGGTGTCCTGTGTATTTCCGGTTCAATTATCATATCCCATTAAAACATTTACTTACATGAAGAAATTAGTTGATAAACTGAAGAAGTTATTGCACTAACATATGTACTATATTCACTCTGACCAATAATCGCGGTAAAATCTTTATTCTGTAAAACTAATGCCACACACTCTAAACACATCTGTATCTGTTCTGATGTTGGTAGCTGATTATGATGAAGTTGCCAGTTTAACATCTAAGATAAAAACAGTTAAAGATGCATTACGTAAGATTTACATAAAGAGCTGCACGTTCTTGCTATAATAGCTCAATCAAATTACTTTGTTCTAAGTGAAGTTATGAGTATTTGAAGTTTTGATTGTCAAGTTCCATTGGTACGACTATAAACAAAGCCTTGATTATCCATTTTAATGTCAAATTATTAAATGATGAGTGTTCTAATCCATTTAATGTCACAGCCATCTGATGTTCTAGAGAGAGAGAGAGAAATGGGGTTTAACATCCACTCGACACAAACTAGGTCATTTTGGGACCAACATACAATTCATTTTTATTTCAATAATTCGCTTTCACGTAGGGGTATTTTGCAGTGGGAGGAAACTGGAGAAAACCCACGAGGTTGGACAGGTGACCCTACTCCTTATCACGTACAAGCGGGGTATCCCATCCAAGACACTTAACTCAATGACAGACCTTATAATCCAATGCGCACGGGTTGACCATTCGGCCATCCAACCCCCTCATGACATAGCATATCTATGATTTACTGTTCCAACATCACTCATCATATTTTAAATATTTTAAAACCTAGATGATCTAGATTGTTGATTATGGACTTGCTATGCGAATAAATGTCTAAATAAATATACAGAAGAAATAAGTTAATAATCTCACCTCCATACATAAAACACAAAATCTACAAATATCAGGAATGGATTCTGTTGGAATGACAGCTACCCATGGGAATCTCCGAATACACATCAGATACTGTGATAAGGAAGATGCAAGGTGAAAGTTCATATCAAACCAAGCACAATCCTGGAACAAGTCATCAACACGTTCGTAATATCGCAAATTTTTTGTACTCTGTATTCGACTGTAGCTAAGAAGTTGGTGCGGTACTGGTAGATGATTAATGATATTGTTTATATGACGGAACATTGTAAGTTGAGCGGCAGAAAAAAGTTGATCTATGGTGGCTTCAGGTTTTGTGTTAGTTGGTAAACTTTCTTTATCTCTGTTATATCGAACTATTGATCTGTAGGCTCCTAGTGCTATACACTCTTCTAATATCGACAAACAAAACTCCTAGAAAAAAGCAAAATTAACATTAGTCATTTTATAAAAAAAAAAAGGTTTTTCTATCAAATTTTAATTGAAATGAACTGGAAATGAACTGGAAATGAAATGGGGTTTTACTGTCCTACTCTTCTGCTCCAACTGGGTTAATGAAGACGGCCATACACCAGACAATGTGCTATGAGAAAAATTTTGCCCGGGCAGCAGTACCATGGCCTACTCTTATATCGCATTCCAACTGCTATGGGATCGTTAACGTGCACGCCAATGTATACATGGGAACTCAGTTTTTTGTCCCATCCGAATGACTACTCAACTGTCCTTGTCAGGTCCTCCGTCCTGCACCACTGACAAAGAGAAACCACGCTAGAAAATCACGACAAACATTCTCAGCCAACACCGGGAGTGAACCCGCAACCTCCAGACTAGTGAACCAGCATCTTACTCACTTAGCCACTGTGGCTCCGAGAAATGAAATGGGGTTTAACAAACAAATTCCTTGGTTATAGTTATAGTCTAAATAATTAAAAGGGATTCACGATGAATAATTTACAACTATACTACAGATTAATTTACCTTAGTCATGGTGATAGATAGTATATCTGCATAGTCTAATCTCTGTAGTAGAAAGGCACATTCTCTTACATTAGGATCAACACCAAAACACTGATCTTTTACTATAGATAGATAAAAATCCTGAAACATAAAGGATCCATAATCAAAGTCAATAGACCAGATTTCAAATAAAGTCAACAGACTTGATTTAAAATAATTTCACAAATCCCGCAGGTTGACGTTTTTGGGCAAGTTTGCATGTTTGTCTCATGGACGTGTTCTTAATGATATTTTTAATACATGCCAAAGATTAAATAAATTCAAAGGACTTAATCTAAAATAATGTCAAAAGACTTAATGTAAAATGTTTTTTTTTGCAAGGATGTCTCACAGACGGGTTCTTAATGATATATTTAAATTTAATAAATATCTAGCAAAAAGTTAAAAATTTCAGGTTCAGTAGTACCTGACATTTTGTCATGTATAACTAAAATCATTGGGATATGCTAATTGCAGGCTGTTTGGGGAGGTTCGGGCATTTCTTAAGTCCAAAATGGTCGCTTTATATAAATGAGTATTTGATGGAATGCTAACCCGAACCCTAGCCCAATAGGTAAATTGGATCCAAGTTCACTCTTCTGAAAAGGGTTAGGGTTAGTATTCCCCAAAATTCTCATTTATATAAAGTGGGCATTTTGGACTCTGGAAACACCAGAACCTCCCCAAATGGCCAGTTTATTTTAGTTTATTACCTTATTGACATTTATATCTGATACCTCACCAGGTGTCAGTACTAGTGGATGGGTTCGCTCTGGTGAAAGGTTCAGTTCTGTCTCTGGTGTAAATATTGTACGGAATTTTGCTAGAAGAGAAGCTAATCGAGCATGCCTGAAATAAACAGAATATACTTTTCAATAAACCAAGTCTCAATTACCCATTTTGACGATAAATTATTAAGATGTAAGTGTGCGTTAATCTATTCTAAATCAACCTCACAGCCATCGGATGAACTAGAGAACTGATTAGGGGCTGATCGTGTGAATAAATGTCTAATAATAATTCATATTTGAAGCCAGAAAAAAGACCTCAAATAGGCAGATTTAGCTCCTACATAATGGATCTTTAAACTAATTGCGATCCAAAATACTAATATTGTTAAGATTTGTACGGAAATTGATTGAAGTTATATCGTACCTTTTGACTAGATTATGTGTTTTCATGAATTGAAGAAGTTTATCCAAATCTTCTAATGGCAGCTGATGTTTACTTTCCTGAAAATTTAAAGAAATTAATGAATAACCCATGAGTCAGGTCAGGGTATGCTTCTAACATAATTTCCCACTATAAGGCTTATCAGTGAGACAATACTGGCAAATTTCTGGGTTCCTGCAGCCAGCAGCTTTGACCCCCTCCAATTTCAAGAGCATTAGTCAAAGAGAGAGAGAGAAATGGGGTTTACCGTCTACTCGACACAAACTAGGTCATTTCAGGACTAACATATGGTTCAATTTTTAATTCAATAATTCGCTTGCACGTAGGGTTGTTTAGCAGTGGGATGAAACCGGAGGACCCTTAACTTAGTGACAATTTTAATGTTTACAATAGTGCATATCTCAGTACTACAATTTGTTATAGCTGCAGACCATCAGTTGTGACAGCCGGTACACAAAACCAGTTATATACAAACATTGGCTCTACTTGAGTCGTTGTTGTTTGTATTTTAGAGGAGAGACGAAAAAAGCTCCCTTTAATCAACAAATTGAAAAAATCGCTCCACTAAAAAAGCTCTCTCAGTTTCCATAAGAAATGAAATGGGGTTTAACGTCCTACTGTTCTGCTCCTATACTGGGCTAATGAAGACGGGCATACGCCATACAGTGTGCTATGAGGGAAATTTTGCCAGGACAGCGGCACTACGGCCTACTCTTCTATCGAATTCCAACTGTCAAGGGATCTTTTACGTGCCACGCCAATGTGTACATGGGACCTCAGTTTTTCGTCTCATCCGAATGACTAGACAGCTGTCCTTGTCAGGCCCTCCGTCCTGCATCACTGACAAGGGGGAACCACCCCGGAAAATCTGGGTGAACTTTCTCGGCCAATGCAGGGATCAAACACCCGACCTCCAGGCTAGTGAGCCAGCGTCTTATCCACTTAGCCACATTATCCCCAGTTTCCATAAGAAGAGTGATTTAGAAATTATGGAGAGTGATCTAATATCAAAGAGAGTGATTAGTTGTGTGTATGGGAAATGGTTCTGAAGATCAAAAACTGCATATAAGAGGGTTTCATAGTAAAGGAGAGTGTTTTCAATTTTAAGGAGAGGGAAAAAAAATTCCTCTCGATCGACATTTTTTACTAAAATATTGTTACTGTACACAGACACACCATTCACAAAAAAAAATCAACACTTCAAATTCAATCTCTCTCGCACTCTCTCTCAAAAGTCAAGTAATTTTAAACAATATTACCTCAACTGTTTCGACAAGCAACATTTCCACACGTCTACATGCGATCGTATCACACATTCTGGCAACAGATAGTTGATGTGTATTGAGAAATTTATCTATTAATAGTTGTAATAATGATCCACTCTGACTCAAATGTATGGCTTCTAATGATTTTAATGTCTTTCTTATTAATGAGGGCTAAAAAAAAAAAAAAATGAGAGATACAGTAATTGTAAATCCTTGAGTGGCATTTAGTAATCAAGCAAAATAAAAAAACACAACACAATTAAATCGGGAAACAATCACTAGTATGCATATATATATCTCAATGTTTCAACATGTGTTCTATTGTTGTTTTCAAGCACAAATGATATAGTAATATACAGATCCTTCAAAGTTTTACAAAAATCAATTTCTGGCTAAAAATAATATTTATTCTATTATCCTGGGATTTCACTTAAAACTTTGACAGAAGAACATCTGTATTAGTGGTGGGATTTCAAATTTTTTCTTGTCTGACATTTTTACTGAAAAATATCGTTATTTAAGCAGGCGGTTTCAGACCGCAATTAAAAATCACGTGTCAACAAAATATTCAAATTCGTACGTAATAAAAAATAGGTGCGCCTCGTTATTTTTCATATACTTGTTACATTTAAGACATCCAAATATGAAAAACTATAAAAGAATAAGACCGGTTTTTATCCCAAAACAATTTAATTAACTGGCTTACAAATTGGAGGACAGATGGAGTAAATCATATAAATGTATACTGGCAAGAAATATTGTGAGAATCAGACAATATTGAAGGACTTACCCGAGTGACGTGATCACATCTTGTATTGATAGCTTGTACAAACATACTACTAGCAGCTGGATTACGATGTATAGCACTGTAAATAAACACAAATTATATACACTTACATATAAGAGCAATAAATGGAGTTTAACATCCATTTGACACAAATTAGGTCATTTTGGGACTAACAAATGGTTCAATCTTATTTCAAGAATTCATTACCGTTAGGAGTCTTTAGTAGTAATAGGAAACCGGAGGTTAGATTGGCGACTCTACTCATTGTCACGTACAGACGGGGGATTCGAAATCACACCACTTGAGGCTCAATGACAAACCTCCTGATCCAATGCACATGCACTAAGCATTAGGCCACATTGTTTAGGTTTATATTTTACAACCTCAATTGGCTCAAGATACTCTATTATACAAATTATTTACTATTACCGTGTATTTATAAAAAGGGGGCCACAGTGGCTCAGTGAGTAAGACGTTGGGTTGCTAACCTGGAGGTCCCGTTTTCAATTCCTGTGTTGACCGAGAAAGTTCATCCCTTGTCAGTGGTGAAGGACGGATGACCTGGTAAGGACAACAAAGTTGTTCAGATGGGACAATAAACCAAGGTCCTGTGAACACTAATTGGTGTGTATGTAAAAGAACCCTTGATAGTTGGAATTTAATATAAGAGTAGGCTGTAGTGCCGCTGTCCAAGCCAAATTTCCATCATAGCACATTTCATTTCATTTTTTATTTATAAAATAAGATTACCTTATAAAATCTTGCACAGGTGATTCAGGTGTTAATTCTATTAAATCACTAACATGATTGACAGTTAACCATGTAATATGCTCAGCATTACTCAAATTCTCTACCTGTAAACAAAAGGTAAAATTAGACAATTATGTTTATATTCACTACAACTGGCAAAGCTGCTTTGATTTTTATCAAAATAGAGCGTTGATTAAGGTTGATCTTATGTAGGTCTTACTAGCTACATCTATGAACTTTCAATATAACATCTTGTCTAAGCATTAGCTTCATCTATCAACTTTCAATATAATACTTAGTCTAAACATTGGCTGCATCTTAGGACTTTCAATATAACATTTCTAGATCAGGAATTTGGCCTTAAGTGCTACTGATCTTGTTGTTCTTGGGGGTGACGCTCTTTGAAAAAAGTTTATGGTTCAGCCAATTCCAGTATGGAGAATGGAGCATTGATTGACGGACTTCGCTTTTTGATATGACGTTACAATTCCGAGATGGCTGTGAAGACATCATACTTGATTCCTGGTCCGTAGTACTTATCAATATAAGAAGAAACTCAAAACAACGACTCAACACATCAAAACGATCTCTCTCTGACTAAATATAATATTCTTACCACATAATCACAGTATAAGATAAGACCTCCTCTTCTTAATATTTCTAAATTACAACACTGTAATAATTTCCGTGATGGCTCCATTATATTACCAGTCTGAAGTCTGAAATAAAGTCATCTTATTTTTAATATCTACATCTAATACATTATAAATTACTAATCTGAAGTCTGAAAAAAAAGTCATCTTATTTTTAATATCTACATAAGATACTTTATTTTACAAGTCTGAAATAAAATCATCTTCTACTAATTTATGGCTGATGTTTCGAATAGTATTCTCTCAACGTTATCAAGCTGTAGTTTAAAATTTGACCTCAAGGAAATTTTTGTGCCTGACCCTAAGTAGTTTTGGACGTTGTGTATGAGGTACAATATACAAAATGAATGTTGCTTACATTTTGCTCTAGTAATAATAATTGAATGTCTTTTATATAGAACTATCTTATATCTGAAAGTAATTTCTAAGCGCTTTACAACAAGTTTATAGTGTTCATGCACAGATATTTCGCAAAAAGAAAAGTCTTTGACGGTGTCTTAAAACCATAGTGAATGCTCGATTTTCTTGAACGTGTCTTGGAAGATCATTCCAGATGATTTCACCATTAACTAGTACTGAATGTTTCCCATAAAGTATACTATATTTTAAAAACACACAGCAATATTGAATCTGTAGATCAAGTCTAGGCAATTTACAGACACAAAAAAGTCTTTAATAAATCCTACAATAAATCTAATGGACGGATGTGAGCAGGGCTGGATTTAAGACTCATAAAGCCCTATACACTTAAGTGATGTGATCACTTAACTCCAGACACAACTACTGACAGATCACATTATCTACACTGTAGCAGCCTTTAGTGACATCCATCCACTGTGGGTAAACTTCTAAATACACTGAAGATATTAATCATGAAAAGTGAGAATCAGCATTCTACACTGCATCAGCCTACTGTGGGTAAACATCTAAATGTGCATTGCAGATATTAATCATGAAAAGTGAGAATCAGCATTCTACACTGCATCAGCCTCTAGTGACATCTATCTACTGTTGGTAAACTTCTAACCACATTGAAGATATTAATCATGAAAAGTTAGAATCAGCCTTCAAAAAAAAAAAAGAAGCCTACAATATATGACATTTTGCATTTCCTTACCCTGGAATGACTAGATGATATTTTTGTGGTGTTTGTAAAATTTGATTCCAGAGTTTTTGATTATCATAGTTCAACAAGATCAGTATATTACTCCAGTGAAGAGCTAATGTCGGCCATCTTGTACCCAAACCTAGTAGAAAACCATTAATTTCCTTCACACTGTACAGACAATTTGGTCGATCACGATTTATTAATCTCATAGCTGCTGTAGCTACTCTTCTATATAACCCTAGAAAATACACAGAAATCCAATAAAGCATTACGAATAAACAAACATAATTCAGAGAGAGAGAGAAATGGGGTTTAACGTTGATTCGACACAAACTAGGTCATTTCGGGACTAACACATTGTTCAATTTTATTTCAATAATTTGCTTGCGCGTTGGGGTCTTTAGCAGTGGGAGGAAACCGGAGAACCCGGAGAAAACAAACCCACAAGGTTGGAGGGTGACCCTACTCCTCGTCATGTACAACTGGGGAATCGAAACCCCGCCAGTTGACACAATGACAGATCGTATGATACAGCGCGCGCGTGCTAACCATTCAGCCATCCAACCCCCAACATAATACAAAAGCAGTTTATAGTTAATCTGGTGCAGAAGAGTAATTCACAAAAACTTGAACTAATATATTTTAGAAATGCAGTCTTTTCATTGGCCAGTAGATACCATCTGTACTAGGAATTAAACACTCAGTCAATGAAGTGGGTGAATAAGGTCACAGCATCCCAACCATCATGCCCACTAGCTAATTATAAGTCTATATGATAGCTGTTTCTGTGTATATTCACTGATACATTGTTTATGGTAGGAGATACTGATAGGGTGACCCGTGCACTCTACTGAAAGTTGTAAACACTCAGTCAATGAAGTGGGTGAATAAGGTCACAGCATCCCAACCATCATGCCCACTAGCTAATTATAAGTCTATATGATAGCTGTTTCTGTGTATATTCACTGATACATTGTTTATGGTAGGAGATACTGATAGGGTGACCCGTGCACTCTACTGAAAGTTGGTCTCGACACGGCTAAATGTGCATGCTTCAGTTGCGTGTCTCGAACTGATTTCTGACTACCCCGCACTCTCTTTGAGTCGATAAATAGCCATGGCACATGCAATTCTCTACAAATATATCAACTATTACAGCGGTAAAAAATCTATTGTTGACGATTTTGAATAGCAATAAAATTTAGTTTCTTGGTTATTACAGCAGCTTTAGAAATTACGTTTGTTTTATTTTTTAAATTGCTTTATCATTAACTGTACCGTTAAGAGCGGCTTATTTTGGTTTAGTACAAATACTATCTCTGAATCACTTTCTTTAGCAGGAACATAATACTAGCAGTAGTTTCATTTTACTTTTACAAGTTTCTTAAAACAATTGTTGAGTTGTCTAAAGTGCTTATTTCTAAATTCAATTTCTTGTTCTAGCTTTCTGTTGTTTCGTAAAAAAGTAGTCTTGATTATCCCGACCTGTCAATCAGACGAAGATTGGTCGATAGACTGGTTAAGCAAGACTAATTTCAAAACAAGGGCATGTAACCTATCTTTTACTCAAAAGTGTCTGGATGTTATGGACGACACTTGGAACCAGTTATCAGTCTATTATTTATAGATGATTAATGGTCATAGCTTATTAAGTACAACGTGATCGTTTATTTATTGACTATAATTGTGTGAAACTGATTTGAGGCTTGGTATATATATAAATATTGTGGCGTAATTGTCGAGATATTTGGAGATATTTATTTATGGTGGGTCACCCTAATACTGATGCATTGTTTATGGTAGTAGAGACTGATATATTGTTTAGAGTAGGAGATACTGATACATTGTTTTCTTATGGAAGATAATTATGATACATTGTTTAGAGTAGGAGATACTGATAAATTGTTTTCTTATGGAAGATAATTATGATACATTGTTTAGAGTAGGAGATACTGATAAATTGTTTATTGCACGAGATACTACTGATATATTGTTTTTTTATGGAAGATAATACTGATACATTGTTTAGAGTAGGAGATATTGATATATTCTTTACTATAGGAGATGCTACTGATATATTGTTTATTATAAGAGATACTGGCACAATGTAGGAGGTACTATGTCTGATACATTGTTTATTGTAGGAGATACTGACCTGATTGAAACATATATGTAATATATAGTAATAAATGAGATGTCTGTGTAACAAGAAAATCACAAACACTCTGACTATTGGTTACTATAGCTGTTTCACGATTTAATATTTCACTACATACACCAACAGCTTGTAATAAAAACCTGAATTAAACAATATTATTATAAATCACCTTACAGTTGTTTAACAAAACTGTTTAAAAACATTTCATTAGATGAAATTTTTAATAACTTCATAGGACAGAGGAAAATATGTCCTTATTCCATTAAGCAAGAAATTATTGCTAGTATTTTAATAATACTATTGGTACAGGGTCACAATGAAGCTCATATTCTTGCAAACATTCTTTATTTCAAGAGTTCTTTAGCAGTAGGGTGGAAACCACAAGAAAAAACAAAATCAAATTAGTAACCCAGTCGAGAGACGCTCCAGACTTTTAGGAAAACCCACCAGTTTACAACTATAGAACAGTATTTCAGAGTTTTAGCTCTGCCCCTCTGACATCACGAACGCTTGTTTGGGATACTCGATTGAACATTTCGGAATTGAATTCTCTCAATCCCCAAAATATTAAGAATCGAGTGAAAAGGGGGATTTTGGGCTAGAATGCATGTGCCGACAGTATGAGAAAATATCTCAACTAACCATGACAGATGAACATATTGGTTTTGTGTAATTACATCACCCCCTCGTTTGTCGGGACTCATAGAATGGTTACGGGACAGAATACCACTTCACTCGATTGCAATTCTGTCAATTCAGGACGATCAAGACTGACAACTGAGTAACCCCCCTTGTTTTATAAAGATAAAGAATTATCTCATACATACCAAGCACAAGTTTCTTCAGGATTAATATCAGTTAAAGATACTGGTTCAGCTTTAGGCTTTATTAATTCTCTCGTTAAACACAGTGGTAGATTTAACTCTAACAATCGTGACAACATCACTTCTTCTTTTGACTGGGCCATTAAAACACGTAATATAGCTAACACTAAACATAACCATCTCTGTAAACCTTCTACACAACTCTGAAAATGTCAAAAACACATTAGCCCTTGTCAGTGGTGCAGGGCGGAGGGCCTGACAATCTGGTTAAAACACAGATCCTATTTCGTTTCGTTTTTTATAATTCAAAATTTCGTTTTACTTGTCTTTACTACACTAGGATCTGGTTGAAGGGAGGGATAAGCCAATGAAACAGTCTGTTACAACGAATTCTTGGCGTGCCATGCACAGAACTGTGGGTAAACCACTAGAAACGCCCACTCTGATTGATTGATTAATCAATGTCTGACGTCATAGGGTCAAAAGCTGCTCGTACGACCCCTGACACAACCTTCGAGTACAACTTGTCAGATCTTCATGTAGTGTAGGCCGTCGAAAGTATAAAAAAAACGAAATGAAATATCTGTATTTTAATCCGATTGAGGGCCTGGCAAGGACAGTGTCTAGTTGACAAACCCGAGGTCCAGTATACATATTGGCATGCACGTATAAAAGAACACTTGACAGTTGGATATTTGAAATAAGAATACACCATATTGCCGCCGACCGGGCAAAATTTCCCTCATGGCACTGTTTGGCATATATCCATCCTATTTAGCCCACAAGTCAATTCAGAAAAGTAAGATGTTAAACCCCATTTCATTTCATTTCAAAAACACATTACATATTTCATAATGAACAATAAGTTATAAGTCTATTCCCAAATGCACGCTATATTTATTCTTCCTCTTCCAACCACCCGAGTCACAATAATAGCTGTAACTATTTAAGGACTGTATACTAGTTATTTGATTTGGATTAGCCCAGTCGGAGCAGAACAGTAAACCCCATTTCATTTATTTGACTTGTATGGTGGTTTGAGACATTCTAGGAAGCAGTAGTTTCAGGCCTTTTTCAAAAATAAGATCCAAATTTCAATGTAAAAAGAATATTCTCTCGTTTTTTCAAGGAAGTTGAGTAGTCTCTCTTTACTTGTACTTGGTGCTTGAGGGTATAGTCCTTGACTGTGGTCACCGCGTTTATTTTTGTATAAATTTTCAATCGATGAAAAACACTTTAATTACAATCCAAAACAATTTGATTACAAAATACACTAGATTACTGTGCTTAAAAAATATTAATTGGTAACCCTTGATTACAATTACAAATCATGATTACCAGGTCTGAGAAGAAGTAACTATTTCAAAGATAAGACATATTACAAAGATAGGTTGCCAGGCAACGAAACATACGCCCAGAGCAGCTAAGTATTTCAAAGATAGATATATATTACGAAAACAATGACTTTAACCTCTGTAATTCACCATCACCACATCATCATCATTTAGATACTTACAATATCACCTGGTGGTGCTAGTAATGTCTTGAGTAGAATATCTACAGGTCTAAATACACTTGGTGCTACACACTCAAATAACTGATGTAAAACATCCAAGCTTTTACCACAATCCATATTTATCTATAAAATAGAAAGAATCCATATTTATCTATTGGACAATCTATATTTATCTATAAAATAGAAACAATCCATATTTATCTATAAAATAGAAACAATCTATATGCATCCATTGAACAATTTATATTTATCTATTAAAAAAAATAGTTAATATTTATCTATTAAATCGAGTGGTCTCACACATGTGCTTTAGATAATAAGATCTGTCATTGAGTCAAGTGGCATGGTATTGATCCCATACTTGTACAAGACAAGAAGTAGAGTTACCTGCCCCATCTTGTGGATTTTGTCCAGGTTCTACAGTTTATTACCACTGCTAATAAAGACCCCTACGCACAAACAAACTATGGAAATAAAATTGTTTTAGTTCCGAAATCACCTGATTTGTGTCGAGTGGAAATCAATTGTGTGTAAATATTTGTTTATAGATTGTCAAGTAAAACTAACCTGTTGTTTAGAAAGAGCTGGCAAAACCAGATCCATAACTTGACGAGATAATCTTTTCCATTTTTCTTCACTTTCACGATGACATTGTTGTAGGACAATCACAAACATCTCTAAAGCCTAGTGAAATAATGGGTATAGTCATATCAATAGGTTTTTCACAGGGTTATTTAAAGTTTTCAATCCGTATTGTCTATATTTCGAACAATATCTCATCTTTCACTACTTAATCCACGATAAAATGAACTCAATTAAGATTATTAAATGTTTAACCAATAGATTAAAAATCCCTCAATCAGAGACTTTAAGAGATATGTTTAAATTCATGGCATCGATATTGCATGAATTTGTTAAATATTCCTTTTCTAAAACTCAATCTGATTAAAACACAGATCCTATTTCGTTTCGTTTCTTTTTATAGTTCAAAGTTTTGTTTTACTTGTCCTTACTACACTAGGATCTGGAAGAGTTTTTATATAACCAGTGTTCTGGTTCATGTGAGGGATTAGCCAATGAAACGGTCTTTTACAGCTATTTTTGGTGTATGGTGCAAGGAACGGTGGGAATTCCTCCAGAAACATCAATGCTGACTGGTTTATCAAATGTCAGATGTCACAAGGTCAAAAGCCGCTAGTATGACCCCTGACGCGACGTTCCTCTACAACTGGTCAGATCTTCATTTAGTGTAGGCCATCGAAAGTATAAAAACAAAACGAAATATAGATCTGTGTTTTAATCAGATTACTAAACCTACCAACTTTATTTTTATTATTTTTATTCATCTGAATATAACATTACCTGGTAATAATTGATTAAACGTAACAACATGGAGACAACTACTTCTCGCTGTGTATCTTGTTCTTTACCAACCTCTGATTTAATATTACCACGTAATAAAAATAGATCATAAACTATTGGTCGTAATGCTGGGATAGCTGAAATATTTACAAAAAATAATTTTCTACTGATAAATGAATTAAAATAAAATATGATAAGTAAATACAGAATTATGATTATATCTGACCATCATCTGCTGCAGAGAAGCATACTAAAGTTAGGCTGCCTTGAGAACAGACACTAAGCTAGTTGACCGACATTTTAAGTCCTAAATCAATGATTTTACTCGAAAACACTAAGTATACACCAAGAATTTTGAGAAGTATTTGTTCTGCTTCCATTTAAAGGAATTCAGTAGGTTTATTTAGTCTTTGTGTGTATAACAGATGTGAAACGGAGTAGAACCGCATTACAAAACAGTATACTAATTTTTGGATATGACGGCCATTCAGGACAGAGATTTATTCTCGAAGTAGATGGATCTCTGTGTGCAGAACGGCGGAGAAGTTGTCACTGAGTTATTGCACCATAATTCCTTTACCAAGCGTATACATTGGTATGTATATGATTTAACCTCATACACTCCCAATTATGTTGGAAACAAAAGTGATGTACATGCACATCATAAAAAAACATGTTTCTGTACTGATAACTCATTTTCTTCTTGGTATACATAAATTATTTCAGGGATTGTACCATAATAATAAATCATAAATTATTTCATGGATTGTACGATAATAATAAGTCATAAATTATTTCAGGGATTGTATCATAATAATAAGTCATAAATTATTTCATGAATTGTACAAAAATAATAAGTCATAAATAATAATAATATATTGTAATAATAATAAATGGATTGTACAATAAAAGTAAGTCATAAATTATTTCATGGATTGTACCATAATAATAAGTCATAAATTCTAAAACTAGAAGTAGACATACCATGTTTAGTTGGCTGTAAACCACTAGCCATTATACCATCACATCTATGTATAACACCTGGCATATCTATTATAACTTTACCTGGGAACTTCTCATAACTTAACATCACTAAAAACCGGAATATATGGGGAATCAACATCTCAGAATCTCTGAAAAATAATATAATTAGTATCAATGTATGATAGGTCATACAACAATGTAGACATGTAACACCTAATTATGAATGATAATTTTCTTTCAAAAACCCTGTGTACATAGTATTATACACCACCGAAATTTACAAATGCTAAAAGTTATCTAATATCCTATCACATAAAATCGTGGGAGAGTAGTCTTAATTAAAACTAGACCATAGCTTTTCGTGTTATTTTTGCTCTGTTTAATATCCTGACTCATAATACACCCCTACCCCCGGACAAATATAGAAGTTGAGACAGAACTCCTCTAGACCAATGGAAGCCCCTCATGGCACCAAGCTCGGGGTCCTTGAGCCCCTAAGTTCAACCCTGATTAGACTTCTAGGTCAACGAGTCTGGACTCATTTCTTTCCATGAGATGAAGGGGTAATTATAACAAGTAGCAATAACATTATTACCTTATTTGCCCCTCCTCTATATATTCAAACTGTTTTAGAACAAAACCGATAAAGATTTGATCAGAATCTAGAAGACAGTAGTTAACACGTAACTGTACAAGTTGAGCCAGTAGATTCAATACTTGATGTTGGAGATCTAATGAACTTGTAACTGTATACTGTTTTAAAGCTTTTATCACTAACGGTTCAAATAAACGAATGTATGAAGCTATAGCTGACTGAAAGTATAACATATTCATTTCATAAATATTTCATTAGAAAGTATCTTTTTCCCTAACTATTCAATGGCTAATATGTGTAAGTAATCGCATGTAATTAAATACAACATTTGGGTAAATGTAATTTATTTCAAAAACTGTTTAGTGCTTTTGTTCATTACATTCAAGCTCTGCCACTTTCATTTTTATTTAAACATGCACTATTACAAATAGGAGGTATTCTTCTTTTTCTAATCCTTATAATTATTTGCTATATTACTTTAATATTGTATATATAATTTCTGCAATGTCTTTCTTATAACTTACTTTATCAACTTTACTGCCAGGTTTCAATATTGCTGGTACTTTCCTCTCTACTCTTTTCTTTAACCATATTAATGGACTGAAAATACAGACAGTGGTTACTGATTTATCATAGGTATAAGATTATTATACTAGTACCCAAACTATTCAAAAGTGGTGTTCCACAGGGTTCTGTATTAGGGGCTTAACCATTTTTACAACACTATCATTCCTTAAACAATATGGAGCAACAGTTAGATTGGATTGATGATGTAAGTACGGATTGCTGAGAATAATTTGATAATTGAGACATATAACTTACTTCTGAGTGGCATCTTGTTCTGATTGTGTTTTATCTGTAGTAGTATCTAGTGATTTTGTCAGTGTTGAATACGGTTGATTTAAACAACTCTGATATAAACCAGGTTTAAAACCAGTACCAGTTGATCGTGAAGTTCGTGATCGTTGGTTGTATGTAGATATTAATGCTGGCTCCCATTGGTTGGCAATATTAGTACCAAATAAAGCTTTTAATAACTGTGAATAAAATCAAAGACAAATAAGGAATGAAGGCTGGAGTGCGATCAAATATATCATACTTAAACGTCAAGCAAAGAAATAGTTTATTATCAACAAGAGTACATTGGCCAATATCATTCACATTTCCATCGAGATGCAATATAACAGAGTAAGTAATGTTTCAATTTAATTAAAGAAGAATATACCTTTAGGCTCTGTGAGAGTCAATTATTATACGACTTCATTATATTCAAAGATAATAACTATCATTATCTAAAATTTTACTTTAGAAATTTAGTAAATGTACACATGAAGAAATTTCAGAAAGAAGACTAACCTGTTGAACACATAAAACAGTGTATGTTGGTTCCAGAGAAAATGTACACTTAAAATATCCTAGGAATTCTTCTGCGTATTTACCAATATCAAACAAAGTTGTAATCTCCAAAATTTGAGACAGAACTCGTAGAGTAACTCTCAACAAATTACAAAACTTGTCAGAATTGTTTAAATCTAAGGATGTCTGCAAAATATAACAATATAAAAATATATATAAAGACCAAATATTACATATAACAAAGAGTCTACGTTTGACAGTGCAAACATACTACTACTGATTGTAAACATTATAATTGCTATCTGATAATATGCTCTTGGACTGTTAATTAATTACTGTACGGGAGCAGGACAACTAGTAGTGGGACAAGGTCAATTTTTGCTACATTCTTTTTGTTTCCATAATAAATTAAATATAACAAATAAATTTATTTTATTACGTTTTGATAAAGATTACATGTACATGTATATATCCAAAATAGTTCTTTATCATCATTTCTATACTAAATAAACAAATAAAATGGCTGACAATTGTCCAGATGGCAGTAGTCCTCACAGCAGTTGTTCCACTGGCATTCCTACTGTACATAAAAAACCTTTCTCACCTTATAATTTGAGTAAGCCCCTTTTATCACATCAAATAATTTCATATATTGTGGTAAATTATAAAATGTTCCCAGTCCTTCTTTCTTCCCTTTCTCCTTCTCTCCTTCTTTCTGATCTGTTATATTAATATAATTTAATTTTAAAAATGAAATGAAGCATCAACAAGAAGATAAAGTTTTTTTTTAATGGAAATGGAAGCAGCAACAGACAAAAGTATAATAGAATCTGATCCATCATGATATTGGTGAGGAACAATTTGTAAAATCGTTTGTTTTTTTTATCTGTGTAAAAATATTCATAGAGGAGTCTTAAGATCAAGAGGGAGGTTGGATGGCCGAATGGTTAGCACGTGCGCGCTGTATCATAAGGTCTGTCATTGAGTCAACTGGCGTGATTTCGAATCCCCGGTTGTACGTGAGAAGAAGTAGGGTCGCCTGTCCAACCTCGTGGGTTTTCTCCGGGTCCTCCGGTTTCTGCCCACCGCTAAAGACCCCTAAGCGCAAGCGAATTATAGAAATAAAATTGAACCATGTGTTAGTCCTGAAATGACCTAGTTTGTGTCGAGTGGACGTTAAACCCCATTTCTCTCTCTCTCTCTTAACATCAAGTCATATTTTCTTGACTGTACTGGCTAAATATAACTAATGTAAAACATTTATCTTGTCTTAAACTGAATATTTTTCTATGATATTTGGAAAGAAATGATCATATTTTGGGTATGATTTTAGAATCCTACATTTGAAACCAAAATAGCATCTGTATGCTTTTAAATATCCTTTGCAATAATTAAAAAATTTAAAAATACCTTTCTGTGGTGTTTTCTGTGGTGTTTTACTGTCTGCCTGAGCTGCGTTACCCGCTGGTGATGCAGCCTCCTTATCTCCCTTAACTTTACGTTTAACTGGACTGAGAGAAGGAGCATTCGGTAAAGATGGTAATGAGGGTTTAACTTGAGGAGGACCGGGGCTTTGTTCCTCAAAGACATGACTATAACAACTCATTAATCTGCAAAACAAAGTACCAATTTTATATTCTGATCAATATTGTAAAGGAATTATTCTGGGACTAACAAGATCATTTTTTCGGGAAAGAATTCAAGCTAATTTTCTCAATCAATTTACCTCCAACACAGGAAGAGGGGTTGCAGTAGTTGAGAAGCATGATCACCAAACCGTCCACTGATTTGTCCCAGATTCAAATTGGGGCATTGACCGAGAAGAACCTTATATTTTTTCCATGTCTGGTTCAAATTTGTAAGGGAAGTATTGCCCTGTCATTTGGATAGAATGAAGAAAAAAAAACCTCATGTTCACATTGCTGTGCATAATAAAAAGCTCTGAACAGTGGGGATTCTTCTTCCAAGCATTGCTTGTGATAACAGAAAGAAAATCTAACTGCATCAAAGTATTATTTCAAATGGTGTTTCATGTGTCTTATATTTTTCTCATTTGTGTGTTTACAGGAAAATTTGAAACGCTGACTTATTTCTATCGTAATGTCATATATATTTCTTGTGAAATCTTGTAGAAACGTCAAAGCGTAATAAACCATTTTAATTGTTATCCATAATTAAAGAGGATGGGGCGTATTGGATAGCTGAATATTTTAATGCGTACACGTAAGGTTGTATGGTCCGTCCTTGAGTTGAGTGGCATGGTTTTGATCCCCTGCTTGTACGTGACAAGGAGGTTGTATGGTCCGTCCTTGAGTTGAGTGGCATGGTTTTGATCCCCTGCTTGTACGTGACAAGGAGTAAGGTTGCCTGTCCAACCTCGTGGGTTTTCTCCGTGTCCTCCAGTTTCCTCCCACTGCTGAAGACCCCTACACACAATCGTTTTATTGAAATAAAAACTGAACCACATGTTAGTCCTGAAATGACATAGCTTTTGTCGAGTGGATGCTAAACACCATTTCTCTCTCTCTATTTATCCATAAATAGTGTTTTATTTGATCATATATTCTTATTTTAACCAACCTGGCTACATGAGTTAGTAGCTGATCAATCAATGATCCTAGCTGTACATCTCCTATAGCTGCCCACTTCCCAGCATCTCCTGTACCATTTAAACTAGCTAATTCTTCACTAGACCGCAAACATTTAAATGCTGAACCTGAAAATGATACAAGAAGGAAAAATACAAGTAAATGAAACGAAATGGTGTTTAAGGTTTTACTTTTCAGCACCAAACCATGTAATGAAGACAGGGATACACAATGTAGTTTGTTATGCAGCAACGCTACGGCTTAGAACACAAAATCTATAAAAAGTTGCCAAAATAATACATGGACCTTGTTTATTTTTCCCATTCGAATGACTAGACGCATCACTAATTATATGGGAAATGGAAATACCAAGAACACGATAATCAGTATTGAGGTGTTAAGATCTTTGTAAAATTAGTAATAAAATTTAAGGACAAAAATTGATAAGAAAAGAGTTCTAGACGTTAGAAAGAATAACTCTCTTTCAATTTCTTCAATTTTAACATACCTGCCATTAAATTGCCTGTTAACTGTAGTACATCTTGATGTGCAGAGAGATCTAATGCTACAGATGATGACATGAGAACACTTATAACCATTGGTAATGGTCCACCACCAGTTGATGAGGATAGTTCTTCTAGGCTAAATGTACTAGAAAATCCAACAGATACAGAATTAAGCATACATTATGCCAGAACTAAATCTGTCAATTGCACATCTTTCTTTAGGCCTGAAATGCTATCTAAATTATTAATTAGACATTAATTAACTTATCCAGACCATAATCAACTCTCAATGTCATCACTAGCCTGCGATATTTACTGGATTTGAATCCTATCGGCTGATTAATGCTCATTGATATTTAAATCAAAAAATGGATAATCCAGACTATGTTTTTTATCGTACCAACTTTAGTAATGATGATCGAGGCTAGACTTAAAATTCAATTTGATTGAAATTTTCAGCAAATTCCCTTTACATTATCTAGTTTTTAACTATTATAGTGAGAACTGCCAGCTCTTTATCTAATTTCCCTTAACCCTTTCAATGCTAGACGTAAATCCACTGCCTGTGCTAGACCCGTTTTTGACGAAAAAGAGGACTTTTGAACTAGATGCCAAACAATACTTATAAAAGCTTTTTGGGGAATTCTTTTTGTGTGTTGGGATGGGTATAAGGTTGGACTAAGAGGAAAAAATAGAATTTTGGAAATATGCATAATCATATAGTCACGTGACGTCATGGCCGCCATTTTGGATTTTTCTTTTTTTACTAAATCTATGGCAAAAACAATTTTTTCTCCATGAAATACTTATGGGATATTGTTTATTTCACTTGATTTTGATAAATATATATAAAATGAACAAAAATATCAAGTTTTGATTATTTATTGTTTGATTTCTTCACAAGAAGACAGGAATGTATGAAAGATACCAGAATCGTGAATAACCATGAAAGTTGAACATTTACTCGTCTCCATCGGAAGAATCTCCATTGCCTCCATTAGAACTTACAGAGTAATCAAATTGTGTGTGATAGGCCTTGAAACAATCCTGATCTGCATGAAGACCTGGCTGGCTTGGACAGTCAGGGCAAATCCAAACCGTCCTGATTTCTCTACCAGCCCTGCTGCGAAGTCCACGCGCCCAGCACACACGACACATTTTGTCCTTTCTGTACCCTGTGTTGCCAGCCTCTGCCTCTCTTTTCTGAGGAAAGTGTCGCCCTGTAAGCCGGTGTACTGTGTCTGTCCTTATAACTTCTTTGTTCAGTTTTGGACTGGAACTTATGAGTATAGCCAGGAGGTCCTTGAGGTGCGCTAGGAAATCTTTGGTAGACGGAGTGAACTTGCGATGAAGTTTATGCGCACACAATACGCATGCCATGAACAACCTCAAAGCTACCTTTTTGTACCATTTGTATGTCTTCCGCACCACGGTGACACTGTGGAGTTGCTGATCTACCATATCAACCCCACCCATCTTGTGGTTATAAGCAATGATGCAGGCAGGTTTAGAAATAGGATTTCCATCTTTGTCATCTTTTCCAGTAGGAAACATAGCAGCACTTCCCTCTGTGGTCAACATACATACTTCTTTAGGTTTGCCATTTGATTTGTCCTTTTTTGCCCTGAACTTGACAGCTAGCATGTGCCCTGTTTGTGATTTCATGAAACATGATGACCCCTTCTCAAGTCGTCTAGTGCCAAGGTCACCAGGATAATTAGCGCGCTTTGGGTTGATGGTCCCACAGAGGTATGTATCGTGATCAAGGAGGTAGGTAGCCAAAGCAGGAGATGTGTAGTAGTTATCAAGATACAACGTGTGGCCCAGGCCAAGATATGGTTGGATCAGATTCAGAGGGATTCGCTCAGTTACCAGCATTTGAGGCTCTGGATCATCATGATCTCTAAATGTGTTTTCACCGGAGTAGACTATAAAATCAAGACAAATACCCTCGGATGTAGTAAGTTCATAGAACTTTATTCCAAAGCGAGACCTCTTAGTTCGGATACATTGTTTGAATAGAAGTCTGCCCTTAAATAATAAAAGAGACTCATCAACGCAGAGATCTTTATCGGGGGCATATACCCGCCTCATGCGGTCCCTCACCTTTCTAATCAGTGGCCTTACCTTGTAAAGCCTGTCCCTATTGGGGTCTTTTGGGTCATATGCCGGGTCTTGATTATTTGCAAAATGCAGGAATTTCAGAAGAAGGAAGAACCTATCCCTTGTCATTATTTGCCCAAATATAGGGGTTTCTACCAGATCTAGCTTTGACCAATACATCTCCAGCCTTGGTTTATGAATAATACCCATCAGTCCAAGTAAACCAAAGAATGTCTTCATTTCTGGTACAGTAGTGTCTTTCCAAGAATGAACCCTGGAAAACTCTTTGAAGTTGTTCTGGTTCCCCTGAATGAACTGGTGAGCATATCGATTTGTTTCATCTGCAATATAGCTGAAGATATCGTCAGTGAAGTACTGGGCAAAGAATTCATCAATAGTAGCATTGTCACCAATTCTAACTTTGAGTCTCTCGCCACCGACAAATGGAATTTGTTTTGGCATATAACTGTCATTCTGATCAATGTCCCAAACTATCCTGGGGTTCTGAGCTCTGGCAGGCCTCCGCCCCTGCCCCTGTCCTCTAGCGCGCGGTCGGCCCCGCTGATCCCTAACAGGGCCACCTCTGTCACCACCATGGCCACCACGAACACGGACACGGTGTCCACGAGCCGAGCCACCACAAACATGTGGGCCACGTCTACCACTACCAAGACCACTATTGTCATTCAATAAAGGCTTACCAGGAACCGGACCACGAGCAATGCCACCACGAACACGCGGACCACGCCTGCTTCTGACAAAAACACGTGCGGCTTGCACTACTTCGTTTTCACCATCACTTTTATCGCCCGTTCCCATATCATTATCACTATAGTCAGTCAATTTATGTACACGTTCGGGACTCGGGGATTGCCTACGTCTTTTACGATCTAGCAGCCCAGCATCATTATCAACATCCGTATTATCGTCAGAATCTACTGCAGACATAGGGCTATCATGGTCATCTTGGCCTTGTTCATCATGCACAGGAGACATAGGCGGAACGTCGAGTAACAAATCGCCGACGTCATACTCCCCATCACTGTCCTGACTACTATCATTATCAACTGGAAATGAATTACGTGTATCATCCGCCTCGAAATTGTCTTCACTGTCTTGGTCAGCGAAGATGTCATCCACGATTTCGTCGAGCGTGAATCGTCTACGTGGGACTCTGCACCCCGCCATTTTACGGTTTGACGCTTTGAAACACGTGGAAATATGTTCTAGTGTATAGAAAAAACAATAGATGGCACTTGCAGTTACGACGTTAGATTTAGCGAGGGCTTTATTGAGTACACGGTAATACCGGGTACGCGCATTTTACCGACATTTTATATTACCCGGTACTACCGGGTATACGCAGTGAAAGGGTTAATGTATCTTTATTAATTACTGGATATTCAGTGAAATATAAGTGTTACAGTTGTTTTTGTTTTTTTAAGAGAAAGGTTGTAATGTAAACAATGAATCCAGTGTAAATGTTAAGGAATTTGGTTGTCAGAGGGTTAATCGTAACTTGTTGGTACTCCACTTACCTTGAAGAACTGAGAGATCTACTAGGAGGTCGTTTCATATTAGATCGTGTGGTTGAGTCTTTAGTTGATATATGTGTAGCTGGACCACATCCCCAACACGATGAGTAACATGATACCATATACTCTTCACATAATAAACACAGCGCATGACAACAACCATTCTATAATGATATAATCATACAAATATCCTTATTTAATCTGATACCAAAAAGGAAACCAGGGAAGGATCATTTCAAATTCATCATTTTCAGTTACGCCAAACTTCTATCATGAACCTTATTTTAACCGTTTACCTTTGAAACTGTTAATTTTTTAACCAGTGACACAAGCTGCATATTAATCAATACAATTTATGGACAACCAACTCTTACAGCAACTGATAACTCACACAACAGTAGTTAAATGACATTAAATTCTGTAAGATCTAAAACACTGTGGAGTACAAGGACAAACAGATTAATTCTAGAACTTTTAACATCACTTACAGAAGGCTAATCCCACAATTTAAACCTGTCTTGTAAAGCCAAACAAAAAAATATTCTGGTTATCAGTCAATCCTAACCATATATCTGATGTGGAAGGAATTTTTTATTTTTGTGTTTTTATTTTGTCAAAGGATAACCACTGGAATAAATGACTTCTATAAACATTATATTTCAAGACATTAGATTTATTTCATTATGTTGTTTATAAGAAGGTATGATTATTCAGTATCATTTATAATTGTTAATAACACAGGGTTGTATATTTGATAAATGAGCTTACGACACATTTCTGGATTCATACAAAGTTTGTTATAGAGTAACTTTCTGAAACCAGAGTAAAACTATTTATATGCGGTAATTAAATAAGATTGTTTTTTTTAGATTTTTTTGAAAATATAAACAGGTCATGGCGCATTTAATCTTGTGTATTTAGCACTAATTTCTTTCACATTTGTTAAATATCAAATCTTTGTTTAAAAATTCGTAAAAATCATTTAAAATCACCAAAATTCATCTAATTTTTACTTGTGTTCAGTTTAAAGCTGACCATTCAATTTTGATAGTGTCCAATTTACAAATGTTTAATTTCTCGATCACTGTTAAAAAATAAACAACCCAATTGATTATTGATGTATATTGATTAATTTTTGAACAGGTGTCAGGAAATTAAATACTTGTAAATTGAACACACATTATCAAAATTAATCAGTCAGCTTTAAACTGAACACAAGTACAAATTAGATGATTTTGGATGATTTTTACGAATTTTTAAACAAAGATTTGATATAAAATGAATGTTAAAAAATTTAGAGCTAAATACACAAGATTAAATGATACCCAGGTTACAGTGTTATATACATTATGCAAGAGCTAAATCTGCCTATTGCAGGCCTTTCTTTAGGCCTGAAATGTTTTCTAAATTATTAATTAGACATTAATTAACATATCAAGGTCATAATCAACTCTCGATGGCATCAGATTTCTCCGATATTAAATAGATTAGAATAGTTCAGCCATATTTTGATTTAAGCTAAAATTGGAGGAGCAAGACTTAGCTTCGAACAACCAGTACGGTGGTTGAAATTATTGTACATGTCTTGTCAAACCTTCAAAGGCTAATATCTTCTCTCACAATAGAATAATTTGAATGAAATTTTCAAATTATTCATTTTACATGATCTATTTTTGAACTATTATAGCAAGAGCAGTCAGCTCTTTATCTAAATCTTACATAATGTATCTTTAAGTGACGCAGAATTATCTGAGAACCAGAATATTATTATAAGGTCTAATATTGTGTATAAACTTACCGTTAGATATTTCGATTGTGATATATGTATCTGATGTAATAAAGCTTGTATAAGACGGGATAAACTACTTTCTACTGTCTGTTTCACTATAGTTATAGGTGAGAAATGATATGGTTTCACCAAGCCTTGAACTATCGGAGGTAAATCCTCCACCAGTTGATGGGAAAGACAACTAAATGCACAATCCGTCATATCCTGAGCACAGGCGGTCACTGGATCATGCTGAGCATTGTCAACTGAGAAAAATAAATTTGGAATGAGCCTGAAATATAAATGAAAAATACATATTCATAAAATGAAGGTATAGAAATCAGAAATAGGTTCAAAGAATAAATCACACCTATTTACAACTGTTAAAGGCTCAATACCACTCTTGTTGTAACTGAATATGTCCCAATCGTTATTCTGGTCAACAAATTGTACTATTTTACCATATTCCAAATAATTGATGATACAAATTTCATCTTAACACATCTAATTTAAAAAATTGGAAAAATTCAACTAAATGATTTGAAAAGCCTAGCGTAAACCTTTTCAAATGTGACTTGGATTTAAAAATATTTTTGAACCCTCTGGACAAGTAAAATAGGATGTAATGGATAATTTACACAACAGGTAGGACACTTAAACATCTAATACTTAGAATAAGGCTAATATTTATTTACTGGAGCTGTCAAGCCAGCAAGAGTGTTATTGTCCCTTTAATAAAGCTTTAATATGTCTTGATTAAATCTAAATCTTAATGATATTTGTGCTTCATCTTGCATAAAAATAGAATTGAAAAAAGATTTTTCTCTTTGAAATTGAATCTTATATAATAATGCTAGGTTCCCACTATCACGATTCGTGCTGCGATTAAAATCGTGATTTTAATTTAGGAGTAATCATGATGATCCTATCAGGTCTTATCATATATTGAGGCCAGTCGTAGCAATCATGTTGATTGTATCGAAACGTACTCAAACGTACCAGATCGTGGACTCAATAGGGACATTCCTATTGTAAAGCATCGGACGACAGTGGGAACCTAGCATAACAGTGGAATGTTCAAGTCATGGGCTCCGTGGATGAAGTGAAACCACGAAGTACCAGTACCACAATTTAATAAATAGTTAAATTGTTTATTTTATTACCAATTTTCAAATGTAATAAATTGATAATAAATTTTATTCCAGATCCTAAGATCAAACCATTGTAATTTTAGTTCTTTGTGGTATCAATCAATTAAATAGACTCTGGAATCTTGGTTTATTCAATATTTAAAAAGAAAAAAAATTGAAACTGAAAGATATTCCCGAAGGACAAAAATTCAAATTGGTGTGGCTTATCTAAAAATGTTTCCAATCATAAATAATTCTGTGAAATAAGACTTTTATTTTTTTAAAATCATCTCCAACTACTGAACTAATGAGGGTAAGAGGGTAAGAATACAATTTCTGGACATGATCGATTCGTTCAATCAGACGAATCAGAATTTTTGTGTGTAACGAACCTAACATGAAATATGTTTATATATCTTACTTGACTAGAGCTGTAGCAGCAGCATGTCGTACTCGAGTATCTTCATCAGCTAATAGATGCAACACAACATTATGTATATAATATTCCTGTATTTCTAACTTCTGTAATTATTAAACAAATGGTCAATATCCTTCCAATAAAGCTCTTTCTTCATTGAGAAAAAAGTTAAAGCTATCGATTGTCATTTCTATTCTTAAGATAATATCTTATTTTTCAAAGCTGACTGTTTATTTTAGATAATTAACATCCCAGTTAATTATTTAACGCTTAAAAATTAAACTATGTATTATCAAAATTTAACAGTCAGCTTTAAACTGGACACAAGTACAAATTTGATGATTTTGGGTGATTCTATTCTAGACAATATTTACATATTTATGAATTTTCAAACAAAGATTTGTTATTGAATGGATGTGTAAGAAATTAGAGCTAAATATGCTAAATTACAGTGTAACTGTGCTCAAATTGATTATTTAACTTTTAAAAAAGAAAATAAAACCAAAATAACAAAGGTAGATTATCTCCCAATTGGATTATCAGATTAAAATAGTTCCATCAAAAGATTTTACTGAAGATTTATAGGCTTGTTATATACAGTATTCATAGGATCTCAAATGTTCCCAAATTTGAATTCCTCATATCTTTGTAAATACTGAACAGAAATGACTCATTTTGGATCGATATTCCTTTTGTAGAGATTTAACTTTCATAATATTGTAGTTTGTAAAGGATTCAGAATCATTAAATCAATGATGATTTAGTGGTCTTGATATATATAGAGAAATGGCACAATGGTTTGCGAGGTTATATCCTATGTATATTTGATCTGTCAAGGTTTCGATTCAAAGCAGTTTTGATTTTTATCATTTTTAAAAGAAATGACTTGATGAAAAACAAATCTCTTTGATCCTATGTATATATGGTCTGTCAAGGTTTCTATTAGGAGCATTTTTGATGTCTTATTACTTTTAAAGAAACGAAATCAATAACAAAGAATTCTCCATACATGAACATGAAAACCACGACCAGAAACAGAACATTTCTTACCCCTAGATAATGATGTTTGCCAGTTTCTATTTCTTCACAGATATTTTCTAAATATGCTACAACTTTAAAATTAATGCTGCTAACAATATCTAATAATTCTACCTGAAAATAAATTAAAATATCACATTGTATTTCTTTGCATGAAATGTGAATTGAATAAAACAGTGGCTGCTCTACATTCATAATCTGGGGAGGGGGTGGAAAAGGAGTCATAGTGTCATATAGTTATGTATTGTATATCATTGCGGTCTGCAGGACGGAGTGCCTGACAAGGACAGCTGTCTAGTCATTAGAATGGGATGAAAAACCAAGGTCCCGTGTACTTAAAAGATCCCTTGACTGTTGGAATTCGATATAAGAGTAGGCCGTAGTGCCGCTGTCTGGGCAAAATTTCCCTCATTGCACACTGTATGGCATATGCCCGTCTTCATTAGCCCAGTTCAGAGCAGAACAGTAGGATGTTAAACCCCGTTTCATTTCATTTGATTTCATTTCATCATTGTGGTCATCAAGCTGTCTCCCTTATGTTATAGTTCTTCTGTCTTTTGAGTAATAAAGATAGAGATTGGAATTCTAACATGGAGAATAGTTGTGTTTCCTTTCACCTCCCCCCCCCTCCCCAGGATTCAAGGATCCCAATATAACAATAAAGAAACGGATAGAGTTGGGTGTCTTATTGTTACCCATACGCTGTGTTTGTTCAACTGTCTTTCTTACAAAACAAACAGAGCTGGTTTTCACTTACTTTAACTAACCAATATGGGTTATTTCTAATCTCTAACAATTCTAATAAGACCTGTAGACCCAGTCCACCATGACAACTTTCTATAAGACTCGATAAACACATCTGTAGAGCTATAAGAGCTTGTCTTGTTGCTACTGAAGATTCATCTTCTATCACATGTATTAATGTTTCTACTAGATTATCCAGACATACTTCACCTGTAATTTAAATCAATAAAGAAATAAAAGCATGCCTAATTCTTTATTCTAAAAGTGACAAGCGACCAATAAATTATAATTATTACATGTAACAATTTAAAGTGTTTTTGAATAAATGAAAATGAAATGAAATTTAACGTCCTACTGTTCTGCTCCGACTGGGCTAATGAAGAGGGGCACCGTTAAATATCTATCCAAAAATGCTTCAATTCCGAGGAGCATAATTAATACAAGTGAATTCAAGACGGGGGGGGGGGGGGCTTATCTTCTGATTTTCTAAAAAAATTGGAAGTGACGATCAGCAGCTTCTTTGGACATAAACAGATGATAAATAAATTTATTAGATTACCTACCAATATCAGCTGGTGAATTCAGTTTTAACCATTTGTTAAAATCCCCTCGACCCTCAATTAAAACTCCCTTTATAAAACTACTGATAACCACAGACGTTTGACCTTTTAAAATAGGGTCAGGATGTGACGCATATAAAACGACTTCACGGATATCTTGATCACCTGAAATAAATAAAAACGTATTATGTATTAACCCTTTTGTCGGTTGCTTTGTTATGGAAGATGAGTAAACACAAATTTATGAACGATTTCTAGGCAAGCTTACTTTTAAACAAGATGAAAAAAGTTGTGGACTGCTTATACACCTGGAATAGGTTATATCAGCTTGATCAGTTACATGTTGATCTTTAAAAGTTATTTAAATACCACCTACCTAATTCACCTGGCAGTAATTTTAATAAAAATATCTTTGGACACATAAAAACAGCCGATGCTATACAACCTAAAGCTAGAGATTTGGAACTAACTCGAACACATTTATCTAAAATCAGTCCTTGTTTTGTTCCACTTAATAAAAATCTTCGACACAACAATCTCACACAATATATCAATGGCATCTCATTGTCTGTAATATCACCAAAATCGTGCAGCTCTTTTGTTGGTGTTGCTTTGGTTATTTCAATTGTTGGCATTTCTTCATTCTGTGGTAAAGGACTCACAGCTCCTGATGTGTCAATATATTCTGGATTTCCATTCATATCTTGTGCCACTTCCAGCAAACTTCTTGTTTGGTGTTTTGGACTGATACTTTTAACACTTACTAAAGTATCTTGACTTGGACTATGAGAGAGTGTAACCTTTTCAGATTTTTCTTCATTCAGGTCCCCGATATCAAGGCTTGAGTAATTTGTATCTGATGTGAACTTAACGGACGAGTCAACAGCTTGACAAACATCCGTTTCTGTGTCAACCAAGTCAGAATTCATCGATTCCAAAGGCAGATCCTCTGATTGGTCAATGTCATCATCTAGAGCAGACGTGTTAGATTTGATTGGTTGATCTGTTGCTATGGAAATATCAGCATCTTCCTCCAATCCTTGGTCATCAGCCATTACAGAGAGTTCAGCAGTGCCTATAGAGGATACAAATATACAGAACAGATTTGATTCAAGTTTTTAAGCTTTAATATTTGTTAAAACTCAGTTATCAGCACATCCAGCCCATCTATTCCAGAAACTAAGTTGAACACAAAAATTATTACATCCTATAAATGCTCATTAGCCAAGAACACAACTACTAGTGGTCAGGAAATTAAATACTTGTAAATTGAACACTCATTATCGTAATCAGTCAGCTTTAAACTGGACACAAGTACAAATTAAACGATTTTGGGTGATTTTAAATGATTTTTACTAATTTTTAAACAAAGATTTGATGTTTAACGAATGTGAGAGAAATTAGTGCTATTTACACAAGATTAACTAAACAAAATTTTGTAAAATTCTTACTTTCGACTCTCATTCTTTCTCTTTCATCTATAAAATCTTGTTGATATATATGAGTTCTGACAATACTACCAGGCTTGAGTAGTAAAGATTGTATGTTGTCTGGGGGGTGGCGTAATAGTTGCTGCAGTGCCTCTAAAGATGCCGTCACAACATTATGATCAGTATGACCCGAGTAATATAATAACAGCTGAAATATCTGTAATAATAACATTAACACAATCGAATTTTGTTTAAAGTTGTAATTTCATATTTCGACATTATATTTTTAAAATTTATTAAAATAAAGCCTTAAAATAGATGGTATCTATAAACAGTCCTACCTTGTTAAAGAATAATCCTATTAATCCTATAACTCACTATTGCCAGTTGAGAAATTTGCAAAAATATCATTTTCCTCTTCAAATTCAAATGTTTGATGATAGCTTCTCCATGGGGGAGAATAGAAAACAAGGGAGGTAATTGGGAGGTAATTGTGTTATTATTTCCGGTGTAAATGAGTTTTAAGTGTGAGAATGACACCTATGATCGTATAATAGTGAGATGACAACCTATTGAGCAAAAGACATAGAAATAATTATGTTTTGACTTTCTTAGAAAATATGAAATTGTAACTTTAAAGAGAGAGAGAGAGAGAGAGAGAGAGAGAGAGAGAGAGAGAGAGAGAGAGAGAGAAATGGGGTTTAACATCCACTCGACACAAACTAGGTCATTTTGGGACCAACATATGGTTCATTTTTATTTCCATAATTCGTTTGCGCGTAGGGATCTTTAGCAGTGGGAGGAAACCGGAGGACCCAGAGAAAACCCAAGAGGTTGGCCAGGCGACCCTACTCCTTGTCACTTACAACCGGAGAATCGAAACCACGCCAGTTGACTCAATGACAGACTTTATGATACAGCGCGCATGTGCTAACCATTCAGCCATCCAACCCCCCTTTTTTGTTTAAAATACAGACAAATAAGGTGAATAATTAATAATATGACAAAGATCATAATATAATCAATTAAAAAGAAAACGAAATTGTGATATTTTGCATAACAATCACTGCCAACAAATAAAGACACACACACAAAAATAAATCAAAATCTGTTACTGCTAGGATGCTTTTTTATGCAGCTAAACCTCCAGCATGATCAAAAGTAAACTTAAAGATGCATTATGTATGAGCTAAATCTGCCTACTGCAGGTCTTTTTTATGGCTTTAAATGTTATATAACATTTATTTACAAGACACGACCCATAATTAACTCACTATATCATCGGATGGCTGTGATACTGAATTGATTAGAACACTCCATCTAATAATTTAACCATAAAATGGGTAATCAAATTTGTTTATTATCGTAGAAATTGTACTTGACATAATGACAATCTAGACTATCTGGTCAAATTTCAAAACACTCCTTTTTTCAATTGAAATAAATTAATTTAACTGAAATTTCCAGTATATTCATTTTTCATCATCTACTTTTGAACTATCATAGCAAGAACAGCCAGCTCTTTATCTAAATTTTACATAATGTATCTTTAAAATACGCTACAAACAAATTACATGCTAAGACTGGGTAATAGTGTAAATATAAAAATGTCTATTCAGATGAATGAAATATTAGCATTGCCAAATACCAGTACCAAACTAATACACAGTTTTAATGGGTATACAGAAATGAAATGGGGTTTAACATCCTACTGTTCTGTTTTATTATCATAATATCCATGTGTTACATATATAATCCAATTGTCAATAGGTGATTGAGCAAACTATGGAAAACAATCACAGGTTTGTACCTGTACACATATAGCCAGACAGGGAAACATACATATTTGTCATTATGAAACAAATTTACCAGAATCCCAGCAAGTAGAAAATGAAATGAAATGGGGTTTAATCATTCCTGGTCGGACAATTTATGATGTTTGGAAAATAGCGTCGGACATGTCTGGAATATACGGGCGAAATCCCATCACTGGTTTAATGTTCTACACCAACTGGGCTAATGAAGACAGGTATATGCCATACAGTGTGCTACGAGGAAAATTTCGTCCAGACAGAGGCGCTATGGCCTACTCTTATATCGAATTTTCGTAACATCCAAACAACTACACATTATATAGAACCAGTTGTATAGAAAAGAAAAGAAATTTTTTCACCTTTTCAACTTGTATTGCACTGACTCCTTCTTCTTTATCTTTCTGAACCAATCCAAAGCTTCCTTTCATTCCCTGATCTTTATCATCTGTGGAACTCATGACAGGTATAGCGTGACGTAAACATAGAATAACGCCCAGTAATGTATATACTTCATGATTTACATCCACTGGTAAAACTTGATCTACAAATTAAACATTATGTACAAAACCTTGAATATTACATAAATATCTAGTTCAATGGTCTGATATTCCAATAAATAACATTTTCTACAAATTACATATCGAAATTACCTATCCTGCAAAGTAGTGATAATTGGTGGACATATTATCACATTCAATTGTCACAAGTCTTGCTGCCTATTTTCGTGTGTTTACTCAATTGTCGCTGGCTAGTTCAGAGAGAGTGAGACAGAAATGGGGTTTAACGACCACTCAACACAAATGAGGTCATTTCGGGACTAACATATGGTTCACTTCTATTTCAATAATTCACTTACACGTAGGGATCTTCAGAAGTGGGAGGAAACCAGAGGACCTGGAGAAAACCCACGAGGTCGGACAGGCGACCCTACTCCTTGTCACGTACAACCGAGATAACCGAAACCATGCCAGTTGACTCAATGACGGATCTTATGATACAGCGTGCACGTGCTAACCATTTGGCAATCCAACCTCGCTGGCTAGTTCAGAATACAATATGTTATTTTATGAAATGAACATAGTTTGTTGATTTGTTGTCCTACTGTTCTGCTCCGGACTGGGCTAATGAAGACGGGCATACACCATACAGTGTGCTATGAGGGAAATTTTGCCCGGACAGTGGCACTATGGCCTACTCCTATATCGAATTCAAGGGATCTTTCATGTGCATGCCAATGTGTACACGGGGCCTCCGTTCTTCGTCCCATCCTAACGACTAGACAGTTGTCCTTGTCAGGCCCTCCATCCTGCATCACTGACAAGGGAGAACCATGCCGGAAAATCTGGAGGAACTTTCTTGGCCAATGCAGGGATCGAACACCCGACCTCCAGGCTAGCGAGCTAGCATCTTACCCACTTAGCCACCGTGATCCCTGTTTTTGACTTACCTAATAGTACTGTTATAAGATAGGAGAAGAATGACATAGGATTGCGGGAGTATTGACAGATTAGCACAAGAGATGTAGCTGTAGTACGCCGACAGACGGCAGTCCCTGAACGTAGATTTGGCATAAATGCTTTCAACAAGCTCTGAAATAAATACAAGACAAAGTTGCCTGTTCAATCATCTTGAAGGAAATCAAATTTGTTTTTTAATTGATTCTAGTATAAATGGAGCAAATTTATGAAGACAAAACATACACAAATACCTTCATTGGTTTATCTTATTTGCCAGAGGTGATGAAAATATTTTAAATATGGACTGTCCAAAATGGCATTAATTATTGCCTGATTAACAAAAATTAATCAATAATAAAATTTAGATTTTTGGCACCCCAAGAAGATTCCATAAAATGTCAGTTAATTGCAGATATACACGCTTAATCATATACTTAAGCAGGCATTATGCAAGAGCTTAATCTGCCTATTGCATGTCTTTCTTTAGGCCTTAAATGTTATATAAACTATTAATTAGACATTTATTAACGTGACAAGACCACAATTGTCCCTCGATGCCATTTGAATCTGATCTGTGGTTGATGATTAACTGTATAAAGGGATAATCAAGACTTTGTTTATTATCATTCAGAGTGAAGTAATTATATTGGACTTTTCAGCATATTCCCTTTACATCTTTTTTTTTATCTATTACAGTGAGAATTGTCAGCATAATGCTGCTTTAAAAAAACAATTGTTACCTTGACTTCTGTGTCATTAGCAAAACCCATTAAAGAAGGGCAAATTTTAGACATGGCTATTCCTAGTGTATCTTGAACGGCTTCTTCATCTCTCTGACAGATCCGAGTAAGACATGGTAACAGGTTTACTATATATGGTCTGAAATAAACAAATGTAACATCTCTTAGCTTAGGGCACAGTGGGCTGGGGGTATAAGGATTTGTGCTAAATTCAGGCACTAATGAATTAATACCTGAGGCTGACCTTAAAAATATCTTTGTTTCGCCAAACCCGACCCACAATCGAGGAGAAGGGTCGGTAGGTCGGGGTTTTTTTTCAGATTTTTTTTTAAAGAGCTAATTTGACAGCTTGATAATTTTCTGGGGGGGGGGGAAACATTCGTCTTTTTTTATTGTCAAACAAATCAATGAGTATGACATCGGGATTTTTCGTGATGCACGACTCCGAGACTCGCACACGATTTGCCACGAACTCTAAGTGTGAAACCCCTTCAACACGTTTTTAACGATCGTGCGGGTTGTGCCTTCATTTTTCTCGAAAACGGATAGTGAAAATATCTTCGTCATGTTTAAAACGACGCCCCACAGACATAGAGGCAGAATCATTTCGTGGGAATAGACGTGCTTTCGTCTGCAACCATTTTGTTGAGAAGCGACACCTATAACGCTTTCGTCTTGATCAACCAGTTTCAATAATGAATCAAACTATAGCCATAGTAAAGGGAAATAACTCTCGTGATATATTTCAGGTTGACACACAAAATAAAATAAAAAGATCGCGGAAAAGTGCAATAAAATAATTTAAGTCGGGGGTGGTTTTAGTTAGTCGGTCGCGTTAGGCGAAACAAAGATATTTTTAAGGTCAGCCTGATACTTTGAACTTTGAACAAGTGGGTATCAATAATACCACTGCAAAAATGTCTGGGACAGGTGCCTTATTTCCAGGCTTGCAAGGAATACCAACTGTTAATCAAATATATATGTGAACCATACGATATGAGAATGCTTATTCTTTCTGATAAGCAGATACATGTGCCACTTGTCAGAGTGTGCAATCGATGAAAGCAATGTTGTCCTATTCAAATTAGATCGTTATCCAAAACCATCCTATGTACAGATTTTAACTTTCAAATCGTACAAATTTATTAGTGGTTTTTATTTCTAAGGAATGTGAAGTACACTTATAAAAAATGCCTTAATCTGAATCTTAAGTACAATCTATAGGTAGATGCTGGATTTTTGATACAGTTATTTTGTGTATAATAATGTCCAAAATTAAATGATTTGATTTTTTTGTAGAGAAGGATACTGCCTTTTCATTTTGAAACTTGTGTAATGATACATGATGGATCGATGTATCATAACAAATCTTATCAAAGCACATGCACCTGTACTTTTACGATTTCACTCTTAAATCTTACCTGCATTTTAATGGTCTAATTAAATGACACATTTCAGCAAATCTCCATAAAGCTGCTCTAAGAGTTCTTGATGTTCCATTTTTCTTTATTTCTTTATAAAGTTCAACTTGTAATCGACCCAGGTTTGTTTCAAGCAAAGTCTGTAAATCAAAGAAATATAGGGTGAAGACATAAGAAACATCCAAATGAAAAATTATAAAATAAATTAACATTAGATCTTCTCTAAATTTACATACGTGCAGATGATTGGACCTAACTATCTAGCTTTCGCCTTGTCAGCGATGCAGGACGGAGGGCCCACAGCTGTCTAGTCTTTTGGATGGGACGAAAAACCGAAGTCCCATGTACACTTTGGCATTCATGTAAAAGATCCCATGGTGAGAGAGAGAGAGAGAAATGGGGTTTAATGTCCACTCGATACAAACTAGGTCATTTCGGGACCAACATATGGTTTAAGTTTATTTCAATAATAAAGGACCCGGAGAAAACCCACGAGGTTGGACAGGCGACCCTACTCCTTGCCACGTACAACCGGGGATTCGAAACCACGCCAGTCGACTCAATGGCAGACTTTATGATACAGCACGCGCACGCTAACCATTCAGCCATCCAACCCCCCAGATCCCACGGTAGCACACAGTATGGCATATGCCCGTCTTTATTAACCCAGTCAGAGCAGAACAGTAGGATGATAAACTCTATACACTGATACATGTACATTGTGTATGGCAATATTTTCTACCACAATACGATACAGCCAACTTAATTTTACAGTACTAATGATAACTTATATGAAATCACTTTACATCAAAATTTTGTATTTTTATGTTTTTACTAACATGCACAGAAAATGTGAGGAGTCATAAACCTTTGTATCTTGCGAATAAAATTACTTTTGTATTTTCATGTACTTTTACCAACCTAAACACTTGTATCACGAGTAAACACGCTGGAAAATCCTGATGAACTTTCTCGGTCAACACAGGGATCGAACACAGGACCTCCAGCTTAGCGACCAAGAGTTTTACTCGCTGAGCCACAGTGGCTTCGCTCCTTGAGAATATCTTGTGTTACTTTATTTCAAATTGTATTACTACCTTTATTGTTCTGTTAAGACATTCATCAGCTACCATCCTAATATCAGACTCGACATCATCACATAAAGTTAAAAATGCTTCAACTGCTATTCCTAAAAACTTTGGGAAATCTGGAACAGATCTACAATTAACAGAAAAATCAGTAAAGCCAATTTGAAGAAAACACAACAAATGCCTACTGGTGACCTATGTCAGGGGAAATGACAAGCCTAGCCACAGGATGGTGGCTTTTATTTGTACATGCTACACAAATTGCAGTTTGTTAACATTGGATCCTGACTCCAACAACATTACACCCACAGCACAAAGTTCAAAATGTCAAGTACAATTCTGCAATGCTTAGGGCTCACACTGTCGCAAAAGTTGCAATTTGCGATAAAAATATGAAAGTGGCGATTGAAATTTGATTTTGGCGATAATGTTTTGCAGTACTGGCGATTCTTTTTAAGAACTGGCAGAAGAAATTGTAAAATTCTAACCATATTTATCCTGGATTAACCATTATTGAGTGTCAATCATGTGGCAAACTACTATAAATTAATCAACTGGCTGATAATCTGGATCGCATCGATGAGTGATACTAATCATTTGTCTTTTATTAATGATTAGTTGATTTATAATTGCCAATGATATGTATAAAGCCTATCTCAAGTCATTATTTACTCCTAATGATTAATTCAAGCGGTCATTATTTGATGTTTCATTTTGCTTTTTTAAAAAAAAGAGTAATACATGTAATCAAAATGACCAACAGTTCCTTTCGAAGAGAATTAAACATTTTAATAGTTGAATTCCGTTTCCTGTGGCTTCATATACAGAATGGAAAATATACAAGCATGCCTATGGTCGAAAGCGTAAGTACGAGTTGAATAGCAACGATTCTTGTCTTTTTTATTCCAGTTGGTGGAATAAAAATATGAACATTTTCTTATATAAAAATTATTATCCATTTTGGCGGAAAAATATTGAAAGCCAGTGTGAGCCCTGGCAGTGGCAATGCTTGATATTTTGTCAGGTGAAAATAAAACCATTAATCCTGTGCTGTTCAAATTCATAACTAGGCTACTCAAAGTAAAATTGTGTTATCATTGTTGAGAATGTCAAAGTGTAGTGGTGTCCATATATATATGATAAGTTAAAGTTAGAGAATTCATATCATTTTACCTCATGTTAACAGCACAAATACAATCAGCCACAATATTACAATTCACCATTTTATCTTTCTTACTTGGTGGTTGATCTTTCTTCCTGAAATCAAAAATGAGAAAATTTGTAGTCAACTGGTAGCCTACATCATATCAGGTTCAGGATCTAGTAGGCCTTGAGGCCTTTCTCCTGATCCTGATTTCTTTGACTACCTTTGCATCAAGGTGGGTGGAGTAGTGTGGGTGGCAAGCTCACTACTCCAGTTTCGCAGCAAATTTGTTGTCTGCCATATGCAAGTCAAGTCTGTTTTTGAAGGTCTGTAGTGATGGGGAGTCAACCACTGAAATGTTGTTGTAAAGAGTCAGATTGAAGATTGTTCTTATCAATATGTTTTAATTGGGCTACATGTCAACAACCTTTTTTTTAAACACCCAGTAGTCTTGGTAGACACTCATTACATTAATACTTTTGTTACTGTTACATGCCGGCTCTTGGCAGCATGTCCTTGTGAATAATAAACACATTTTCCAGTCCACATAATATGAATCATTGTCCTGAAAGCCTCATACATAACATAACGAATAAATTTATTCTATCTTATCTCAAAATGTTGTAATATTTATGTGCCACTGCATGTCATCAATAAATACAACGTAATTATCTATTGACTTTATATTCAACTTACTTTGTTGATGTTGTGATTTCTTCGATTCCACTGGCTGCAGGTTGGAAAACTTTCAAAGCCTCAAAGGCTTTGATTAATTTTTCAATAGTCGCCATTTTCGGTTGGAATATCGACGACTGTTTTCTGCTAATAAATATTCATAAAATCTATGACGATCAACGTTTGAGTAGTCTACATGGCGTCAATTTGTTTTGTTTATCACATTTTCATTTCCATTTCGACGCCATTGCTGCTGTAAGGTAAAGATAGTACAGATATTGACAGCAATAGTTTCGAATAAATATTGCCATCAAAATATTTTATGACAAGTTAATTCGTAAGAATATTCATAATAAAAAACAATTTCATCCGTAAAGCCCAGTAAAAAGTGTGACTTTTGCATATAATTTGGTTTAATTACAGAAAGAAAAACGATCTTGCAGAAAAGGGGAAACGACTCTTCTTAAACAGAATTACCTCCCATGCATTGTAAATCTGTAACACTATAACGATATATTAGAAGTCGTCTTCTAACTCTGCAGAGGATGATTGCTTTTTACATGTGACATCACCTCATGGGGCGTCGATCATTGGCTCAATGGCGCGTGCATTTTTGTAAACATAAGACACTGTAGTGTAAAAAATGATCCTCGCGTTTTACTCATTTTATGTACCCATTTACACTAAACAGGAAATATATTTTACCTACATATACTTCAAACACCCTTATCTATTGTTCTAATATTTCAAAAAATGTTCTAGTAATTAATTTGCAGAAGGAAAAAAGCTTATATTGCGAGCTCATTAACCCGCACTGATGCCATCCCTATCAGTGATTATAGCGGCCTAGCGAATATTCAATTATGATCAGTGTGGCACTATATAATAACAAGTCTGCCATATTATAAAACTTACGAAAATCGTGGCCCAATATTCATTTCGGCTCAACAAACATAATTTATGACAAAGTTCAAGTTATTAAATTCGGTTTAATTTATAAACAAAATCAACTTCAGATTGTTCTAGCCACCGTTTCGCTTACCTCACTTATCTCGTTTCATTTTTTGATTAATCTGGTTTCTGTAAGTATTTGCCCGAGTGAAAGGATTGCTTGTATATTATGACCCCTTTATAATAATGGTTTCAAACTCGTATAGTTTTATTAGATAGGACAAAAAGGAAAGGCTAAACGCTGGAAAGTACTGACTAACGCAATATCTCCAGCCGATTATCCAAATAAGATATGAATACCAAGCATATTTCTGGCACAATTTAACTAATTAAATAATTAATAAATCCCACATCCCAGAAATCAGGGTTATAAAAGAGACCAGTGCGCGACTGTCTACGATATCACCCTTGGTGGAAGTGAACGTAAAACTCCAGAAACGAACGAATGAACGAGAGTCTAATTAGAGACAATTCGGCGTTCCTATAGGGACAGTATGTAGAATTTTCAGAGGTTAGCAGGTCTGGCTAGAGCGATTGAAGGAGGCCAGGAGTTGTTTTATTTTGGACTTGATTTTTTAACAGATTTATGATTTAATTCAAAAGTGACCATCGAGACTAAGCTCTTCTGTAAACGACGATAACTCCTCTCAGAATGAAGTAACTTGACTGAAACTTTAAACATATTCCCCTTTCATTATCTATTTTTAAAACTATTATTGCGAGACTGTCGGCTCTTTATCTAAATCTTATGAAATATGCATCTTTAACTTTCCCTGATTGACCACCGTGGTCATGCTATATTAATAATACAAGATACCTTTACACCATCATGTTATACATCAATAGATATATTTGAATTTGAATAATTCAAAGACGATAAAGCGAAAGCGAATTCAAATGATACTCAATAAAATCAAGTATATAATATAGATTGAAATAAAGGAGAGAGAGAGAGAGAGAGAGAGAGAGAGAGAGAGAGAGAGAGAGAGAGAGGGGGGGAGGGGGAAATGGGGTTTAACGTGCACTCTATACAAACTAGGTCATTTCCGGACTAATACATGGTTCAATTCTATTACAATAATTTGCATGGTCTTAAGCAGTGGGTGGAAACCGGGGGGCCCGGTGAAAACCCACGAGGTTTGAAAGGTGACTATACTCCTTGTCGCGTACAACCGGGGAATCGAAACCACGCCAGTTGACTCAATAACAGACCTTTTGATACCACGCGCACATTCTAACCATTAAACATTTATTTCTTTGAGTTAAAGGTAAACGAAATGGGGTTTAACGTCCGACAGGGCTAATGAAGACAGGCATACGCCATATCGTGTCCTATAGATAAGGGAAATTCTGCCCGAGACCAGCGCTAATCCAGCTGCCAAGAATTCTTTTACGTCTCATCCGAATGAGTATACGTTGTCCTGCACCAGTGACAAGGGGGAACCACGCCGGTGGATTTCGGTGGATTTTCAGTATGATGCACATGGAAAGGACATCTATATCTACAACTTGGTACCTAAAAACCTTCTAAAGCAATTTGTGGTGGGTCTGTCAGTATTTTGACCAGACCAATACTCAAATAGACTATCGCGAGACTAGATTCACGCATATTACTGTAATAGAAGTCTTCCATGTGAGCTATTGCGGGACATTTTGGCTGGTTTTCGGGACGCGGGACTTGTAAACATTTTGCGGGACTGTCCCGCGAAATGCGGAACGGGTGGTCACCCTAACCTTCAGGTATAAGATGACGGATTTCTCCCATTCTTCAAAGATGAAAATACAAATCTTGCAGATGTTGTTTATGTGAGTGTTAAAGCTGAGGTTGAATCTATTAATACGCCAAGATTTTTCACAACATTTGAAATCGGAATATCTAAATTGCCTATTTTGAGAGATTTGACAATGCAAGTATTAAGTCTGTGATCAGATCCAATAAGGAGAAGCTCGGTTTTGTCGTCGTTAAGCTTTAATATGTTGGCGAACATCCAGTTCTTAATACCGTGTGTAACCTTCCAAAATACCAATTGTGGAGAGCTGACTGACATTGTTGAGGTTAAATTTATCGATCAGCTGTGTGTCGTCAGTATAAAAATGGTGCTGTATATCATAATTATCAATGAAGTTTCCAAGGAATTTTGTATACAGTGTAAATAAGAGGTCGCAACACTGAACTTTGAGGTACCCCACAGGATAGTTGCTCTTGCTTTGACGCAAAGTTATGAATGTTGACATCAGTGCCGGACTGGTGGGCCGAAGGCCCACCTGTCAGGTCATTGACCAAGGCCCACACAAGTACGCGCCGAAAGCGCGCGAACGTCCCAGGGGGGTCGGGGGAGGGGTCTCCCCCCAGGAAAATTTTGAAAATTGACAACCGCAAACCCATTTTCCAAGCATTTCAGACCGAGGCAGAAGAAGGCAAATTTTTGATTTCCTGATACAATTCGATAACAGAATGACCTAAGAGCACTATCATTAGATGAATTTGAGAATTCACTCCAGTGTCAAAAACAAAAGATGAATTACACGGTTCTCGGTATAATGAGGTCAAACTCATAAAGTTCTTTCCTTGAAGTACACTTCTTTTTTTGTGTTGTTTGTCAGTCATTTTTTCCCCTATCTTTTCGTTCTCCTGTCCTGTGTCCTTTCCTCTCCCGCCTTCTTTCCTTTCTTCCTCTTTTCTTTCTCTTTTTTTTCTTTTCAGGCTTAGGCCCACTTTTTTTTAATGACCTTAGGTACTGGTTGACATACTGATATCGACCGGTTAGATATGAGCCGGATCACTGTAGAGAAGATCCAACTATCCCGTGAGAAGATCAAACTATTCTGTAGTCAGAATCCAGTCGGTCAAGTAGCTTGTTATGGTCGAACGTGTCAAAAGCAGCCGACAAATCTAAAAGAACTAGCACACTGATACTTTCTGAATTGACGTTTGAGTCCTGAAAATCGGACCGAAACTTCCCGTCGAATGGCCGCTACCCTTTACGCTAATAGTGTAAATTATGTAATACAAAGGTTGTGGACACTCGAGAGGCACCAATTTTTATCTGGTTTCGATTAAACTTAAAACAAGTGTTACGTATCACTAGTTCATTGATGAGTTCACGTTTGGTGCGCATTCGTTCTGGAGTTATGGCCTCTGTGAAATATGAATTAAGTGTGTGAACCTTCCAGAAGCGAGAATTTTTGTCCCATTTGTGGTAGTGTATATTTGTATTTATTGTATCTTGAATATTTGTTGTATTATTGTCCCTTTTATATATTAGTTATTTATGGTATATTTGGTGTTCGTTGTATTGTCCCTTTAATAGTCCATCTCTAAGCTGGTTAAGAATATCTTTACAACAGCAAGTCTAAACTCTACTCACTTTTAACTCACTAAAATAACCACATCTCAGCTTCTCTTTCAAATCTCACTTGCATCTTAACCTTGTTACAAGGAGGATCACATTCTGTCACTTGGTAAGTTTTATATTTATTTGACTGACTTTAATATTTTATCTGTTTAATATGGTAATGTAATTAGAATATATTTATATATGAAATAATTAAGTTATTAGTATATTTCTATAAGTATTTCCATAAGTATGTTTGTGTAATTGAGAATATTCTACTCTCGGCTATTTAGTGTTAATTTATTCATAACCTTAATTTCAGTCTTTGTGTCATCCTGTGTCTGTATGGTAGCCATATTTAAGACATCAACCCTATTATAAACTCCTATTTTATAGGGTATGTATATGTATTTGTATGTAATTGTATTAGTTAAAACTCATTGTAAATATATCTTATCCATTCCTTTGTTTCAAATCAATTATTTCCCGCCACTATTTTTAATAAATGTATATAGTGTAAACTATTACTATTCTTGATTTTTATACATTTCTTTATGTCTTTCAGAGTTTTTTTTTATATGTATACTAAATTGATGATCCACAATAAAATCCTGAACCCATGACCTGGTGTTTTGTTCGTCTTTGTGAATAGAACCCTGCTACAAATTTGGCGCCCAACGTGGTTTTGGTGGATTGATATTTTCAACGTATTTCAAGTTCACCATTTTCAAGTTCTACAGCTACAAACAGTTTCAAACGTGTGTCAGTGTTAAGTGTTAATTACTAATTCATTGGATCCAATGTAAGTTTTATAAAATTATATTATTTAAGTAATTAAGTACTGGCCAGAGTGTGTGAGAGTGAAGGGTGATAACCGGTTTGTTTTGTCTTGTCCTTTATGTTCTGTGTTATTTTGTGTATAAATATCTATATAATAA